TAGCGAGATTCATACGGCGCTCACGGCCTTATAACGCAAACCTTTCGCTCAAAGTCAAGCCTGGAAAGCCATGGGGCAACCCCTAGCTTGACTAATTCTCTCTCTCGTACGTTCCATGTACTCCTTGCCTTTGCATCTCTGTGCGTCTGGGCCAACTTCCGGGATGGTGTATCCATCCGGATGATACTTTGAGCCTTCATCGCCAGGTAAGTGTCCGCCTATCAGTCTGGTATACAGAGCCGAAGGACTCCATCGCCACCAGAAGCTCGGCTTCACGTAGTATGGGTGCGCGAGGTAGCTTGGCAAGTACATTCGGCCAGTCTTCTTGTCCACATCTTGGATCATTGGGTTGGTCCACCATTTTGGCCGAGGCAGACAGAAGTACTTGAGGACATTGCGTCGGAAAGCGACTAGGTTCTCGAAAATGAAGAAGTCCAACTTGCTAGGGTCCTCGTACCTAAGGCCATAATGGGTCAGCTGTTGACTCTGTACCTAGTACGTCCAAAACATCAGTCAGTCGGGCGACTCACCCCATGGCTCGTCGGAGTACAGGTTCCATCAGGCAACGCAATTGCCTGAACACGAAGTTATGCGTAAACTTAGGGAAATCCATCAGAAGAAGAGTGATGTTCGCGTGTGCTAGCTTTTCGTTTGAGATGGCGTGGACCATGTTGTGCTCTTGGTAGTCCAAGCACCACTTCTGTAGTGCTTCCAACCAGGCTAAAGCATCATCTTTTTGGCTCATGTGGGGGACTAAGCACTCGTAGGAGATGCCCATCTCGTTGCCTAAATCTTTCCAAAAGATAGCTAAGGCATTCTTCTCGAACATTGTCAGGTCCCTCCATTCGTATAATGCGGTCCAGCGCATAGGTTCGAGGACGAAAAGGCTCAGAGTGTAGAGCATGTCATCGTTCGATATCTTGCCGGCTTCTCTCCAGCGGCTATGGAGGAAGTTGACGCGAGAGATGGCATCAATGTTGCGTCGTGAGTCCGGTGTGTTGTAGATGATTTCGTACATCAATACGCCGGTGTCTGTCCGACGTTTTGATGCTGTGCGATCGCCTGAAAGCTGGCTGGTAGCTACCAAGAGCTTGGAGATCGTCGGAATCCCATACGTCTGCGGACGGCTTAGCTCGAGGGCCTATTTCAGCACTGCTTCTCGCTTCTTGACTAACCTTAAAGAGCGCGAAAGACACGGATGTATAAAATGTTATGGGGAATTCCCTTTCCGAAAGCTCACGCATTATAGAAGCTGCGTCTGACAACGGCAATGAAGCCATTTCTTCTCTGGTCTTGTACTGGGGGAACCTCCGCTGGAACCCATCTCGGCGACGGTATCGCAGGGCCCGAACTGCGAGCACGTAGGCGGTGATTACCGCAATCACTGGTAAAAAGTACATGGTGTATTTTTTCCTGGCTCGCAGGTGAAGAGTAAGAAGGGTGGAAAAATGAATGTCTCGAAAGCGAAGATGATGGGACCGCATGGCCTTTGTTTTATTTCCCTAGGCATCATGCGGTGCGACTTTGGAAAGGAGTTTCCACATTACCCCAGGCAATGCATTTGATTTAGCCCATCTTCTCGTTTCTTTGACCCTGGTCCTCGGGTGACGCCCCAAAACCGTCTTCTTTTGACATCAACAATGCGAGTCGACTTACACGTGTGATGCGGGGGTGTCTCAGAGCCACCAATCATCAAATTGGGTAAAATTCATGCAGTAGTGCAGATCTGCCGGGACGGGGGCGTTCTGTAGTGCGGTTGGCGCAAGCCAAGAGAATTAGAACAGCACTTAATGGGGCTAAATCTGACAAGAAACCGGAACCCGTCGGGCTTCCGGGCGCGACTATCAGACGAGGTTTGGACTGAATCGAGTTAGCTGGTCAGTTGGAGTCATACAATTCGACTCAGACCTGATCGGATTGGTAGGCTTTGAACTTCAGGTCGTCGGAAAGGGCAGTTCCCAAGGATCCGGTTCACACACACGGGCCAGGCGCCATTCTTCTAGTACTTGGACCGTCCCCGGATGACAGCTGATAGCCTCCCCGGAAAGCAAGTTTCCTCAATTTGCCCAGTGATCAAGGTGATGAGTATTGCAGATAGAATTATTCTGATTCGTTGACCCATGCCCGAGGTCGTGACTTGGTCGCGTCGTTGTCTGCTTGGTTCAAGAATGGAAGCTTGGGCAGGCCCTGGTTATCAATGTACGCTGAGGGATTGTATGTACCTGTGAGGCACCTGTTTCCCCCGGTCGCGTAGAGGGTGTTGATTAAGCTCATGGGGCAAAATGCTGAAACTGAGAGCTAAGTTGGCAGATCTTCGATCTCGGTAATGACCCACCCAAGTTGAAACTGTCAATAGGACTGATGCTCCAACTCTAGATGTAGTCGGTGGTTTCCCACATTCACCTTCTTGACTCGACAGTGTCTGTGAGTCCGGGGTAACATCTGTGCCACATTTAACTTAGTTTAGTCGTCTCAACGTCGAAATTCCAAGGTATTCACTAGGTAGAATCAACCGCGGCATTCGGACACCTATGCACGATGCGATAGTCATGAGATGTTGGTGAACAATGAGTCCAATCTGATACTTTGCGTTGAGATCATAGCAGTCTATCATATGCCGACGCACTGATTTGGCGCCTTTGATCTACGAGACAGGAGACCTCGGCGATCAGCGTGCTGAAGCGAAGGGCTCGCCGACGTAAGGTAGCCGCCTAAAGTAAGTAGAAGCCGGCACGCCCAGCCAACTTTGCCAAAGTTGCACCTCGAGTTTAGGTTATCTATAGACCATACTTAAACGCGAGCTTTTGAGCTTTTTCAGTCATCTACACCGGGCTCAAGAGACGGACACCCGCTCCGTGGCCCCGCCGGCTCGATGTTGAGCCTTGGAGTGAATGACAACACGTCATATGCCAACACCCTAATATACCAAACGTTTCTTATACTCAACTTTCGCAATCCTGGACAAACTGACTCACTATGTACACTCGTAGTCAAGCTGTAGAACGGGAGTGCGGATGCCATGAAAAGGTGTCGTGCTATTTCGGGACCACCCGCCCTGTAGACGTCGATGGTATTGGCATGTGTCCTCGGCAATAGTAGCAATGTACTCGGTCGCATTGCAACTACCACCCACATATTCTCGGTCTAAATCTCGAAGTGGCGGATGAATAATTCGAATAATCATATCTTACGTTGTGCCATAGTGTTGAGAGTTAGTATGCAATGCCCCATGTTGACTGAAGGGATTGGGATATCTCAAATCCTGTGGGGTTTAGAATCAATGGCTTCTCTTTGTAAGATCAACAAGTCTGCTCCCTGGTTGCTGGTGAGATTTCGCGAAAGATAGGTACTTCACCTTACTCAAGTACATTTGAGTCAGCTCTGACTTTTGCCTTCTTTACGTCGATGTTTGCAGAGTTCCAGGGTGATTTGGGATCTCAGCCTCAAGTGTTTAGGCATACTAAGTCTAGTCCAGTCCTTATTATGAAAACCCGGCTTAAGTGCGAGTATCGCAACTGCCGGCTGATCTTTTGCTCAACAATGATAAACAAGCACATGAGTACAGGTGCCTAGCTTTTACCGCGGTTTAAACCATAGATTCGGAGCCTATGGTGAATATTTCTAGCCTCTGACAGTCCCATTTTGCTGTCGGGATACCAATCAAAAGTGACGCTCGTGTGCTGACAGCTTTTTCCCTTCTATGTCAATAAAGTAGAACCAGGGATAGTCACTACAAAACCTGTTAGTCTAAGCAACCGACTAATGCTCCATGGCAAATCTGAACTCCTATCTCAAGATGGCAGTTCAAGATATTGATCTATTCTCTTGTCAACGCGTGATCAGTTACCTAACCAGACTGCTGCCGCTCTCCATGGATGCTACCACAAGCGCGATGAATGTTATCTGCTGAATGCTGTTGAATTTACAAGAAATGTGCTATTGTTCAGCTTTTACAGCCCCTGAAATCTTTCACATTGTTGAAATCTTAGTTGCGGTGACAACTATGATGATTGGTGCATTATGTGTTTATTCTTCTTACTCTCATATCCAGGTAAATACCTAGCTACAGATATCTCAAAGACGTCAACGGATATGGTCATGCAAGATGGTGAAAGTCTGAGCATCCCGATTGCCTTCATCATCACCTCAGATGAATAGCATTATCTTCAACTTCCGTTCAAAGCAATGCGATAGTAGTCCGCGGAGTGTACCTGTAGCGTTCTCAGAAGGCTGAATTTGATGACGAATTGCTTAATTGCAGACAGAGTGAACTAACGCGAGGGAGAAACGGTCCGTCAATCCGCACGCCTACGCAAAGCCGCATAGCCTCACCGAGACTTACGAGTCATTTGTTCGGGAAGGTAGAAGGGGAAGGGCGAGCCGCCGCCCTCATCTCAGCCCCCTCCTAATGCCCGCGTTCCCGACTGCCTGCCGCCCACAGCACTGGCCCCATTTTGGCAAAGGTCAAGAGCCCCCGTTAGCGTGAAAGAGACCAGGTGCTCCGACCCGCGTTATATCCCCCACGAATCCACACGTATCAAACCTTGAAACCTGGGGGGCCCATGGGCAGCGTGGTGTGAGAAGCGGAGTTTCTCGCAACCGCTTGTGTCTTGACAAGTCGTGTCCGGGGCCTGATCATCAGCGTCATTGGCCCACTACCGCGCTTGAAGCAACAGGGAGCTATGCGGGGTTTTCTCTCCGCAAGTAACGTGGGCATTGGCACATCAGTAACATCGGACGACCTAGCAGGCTTGCATCAGCCATTGAGCCATGTTGATTCCTCCCGAAGTTCACGCGGATGCTGCCATTCCCCGGCCATCAAAGACCGAGCCGAGCAATATTTGTTACTTTGAACGCCAAGGAAGAAAGGCAACCCCATGGGGCACGCTATGGATCCCAGACAAACGATATATAGCAACGACATGTCCCGTCCATCTGGTAGAACTTCTGCTTGAGACATCACCATCTCGACCTTTTCCTCAGACCTCACATCTTCAATAATGGGCCACGCAAAAGAAGCAAACGCCAAAGCCGTCGGCGCTGAACTCGCTGCCGTCCTACCGGATATTGGCCCCTGGTACAAGCAGCCCCATATCCTCCGCCTGAATCTCTGCATCGCCTCCCTCATCATGTGTGCCTCCGCGAACGGGTACGATGGCTCCATGATGAACGGCCTCCTTGCGCTACCCCAGTGGCATGCCTTCATGAAGCAACCGACAGGTGCCTGGCTAGGCTTTGTCAACGCCGCCTACTCCCTCGGCAACGTCCTCGTGTACCCCGTCGCTGCGTGGGTCTGCAACAAGTACGGCCGCAAGATGGGCATCTACATCTCGTGGGTCTGTCTGGGCACCGGATCCATCCTGCAGACTGCAGCACCCAACGACGCTGCCTTTGTTTGCGCTCGCTTTCTCATCGGCTGTGCTTCTGGGTTCTTTCTCTCAGCACCTCTTTTGATCACGGAAAATGCGTACCCAACACATCGAGGGATGGTGTCTGCTCTGTACAACTGTGGCTGGTACTTTGGTGCGGTCGTGGCTGCCTGGGCGACGTACGGCACGAGAAACCTTGATCACTGGGCGTGGAGACTGCCCTCGCTGTTGCAAGTGACTCTGCCCGTGCTCTCGATCCCCGGTCTTCTCTTCATCGGGGAGTCTCCTAGGTGGCTTGTCTCGGTAGACCGAACCGACGAAGCGAGGACCATTATTGCTCGAAACCACGCCGGCGGCGACACCCACTCACCTCTCGTTAACTTTGAGATGATGGAAATCGAAGACACTATCCGAGCGGAGAAGGAAGCTCATTCGGAGACAAAGTGGTCTGATCTCTGGGCTACTCCCGGAAACCGACACCGACTCTTCATCTCCGTCAGCTTGGGCGTATTTGCACAATGGGTCAGTATTTTGAAATCACCTATCAGGATGGTATACTTATTCGACTCTAGTGCGGTGTCGGCGTCGTCAGCTACTATCTGGCCATGGTGCTTGTAAGTGACACCCATCCACAATACTTGACCCCTTGCACAGTGGAACCAAGCTCTGACATATGACATTCTAGTCCTCTGTCGGCATTACCTCTGTTGACGACCAGACTCTCATTTCAGCTTGCATCCAAATCTGGAATCTGATATGCGCCTCCACTGCTGCCATCATGGTTGACAGGGCTGGCCGGCGAGGACTGTTCCTTGCTTCGGTCAGTCAAGACACATACCAAGATCCAGCAATAACCACTGACAGGAAGATAGGGAACCATCATGTTGATCTCGTTCTCCATTGTCACTGGTCTCTCCGGTAGCTTCGCCAACACCGGCAACGCCCCAACCGGCACAGCAGTAATCCCCTTCCTCTTCATGTAAGATCCCTCCATCCCTAGTGATCACTGGTCCCAAGAACAAGAAAGGGGACACAACCAACTAACATTCCCACAGCTTCTACCTCGGCTACGACATCGCCCTGACCCCGCTCATGGTATCCTACCCTGTCGAGATCTGGCCCTACCGCCTGCGCGCCAAGGGCCTTACGGTAGCTCTCATGGTGAGCATCGGCTGCGTCTTTTTCAACACCTTCGTCAACCCTGTTGCCCTCGAGGCCATTGAATGGAAGTACTACTTTGTCTTCCTCGCCGTCCTCGTCATCATGCTCATCAGCGTCTGGTTCTACTACCCCGAGACGAGGGGCCGGACGCTGGAGAACATGGCGTACATCTTTGATGGTGAGTCTGCTGAGGTGGGCACGGGTAATGCCTCGAGCGCACTCAAGGAGGCGGAGGCTTCTCATGTGGAGGTCACGCACAAGAGTTAGAAGGTGGAGACTGGGCGCTGCCGCATGCGAAGGTCTAGATTCATATGGGTCTATAGACAAGAGTGGAAAGTCAGGCGTAGGATGGAATACGTATACCTTATAGTACCAATCGATCATTATTGCCATTTTGCCAATGCAAGATACCGGGTCCTTCAAAGTACTTGCTGGGGGCTTCCAACTGGGCAGGGATGGTCGACCACGGAGAGTATCCATACCAGCGGATTCGTCCCTCAACCCAGAACCGAACATACGGCTCAATCTGTTACGGCCTGAAGCCATTGTGAACCTATCCCGACAAACCTATCCCGACAGAGTTCCCAGAGCCTCACTGAACGGCATCTTTCTTTCTCAAATCTACTAGTCACTTGACTCCATTCTCGCAGCATGCTTCATCCCAAGTGCGACGCTCACCCACAGCCCCTATCAACAAGGATCTCCGCTCCCCAAAAAGTCCAATTCCAGTCTTACCCCTGTCCAACCCCATAACGGCAAGTCAACTACTAACGCCCATTGGACCAATTCTCCCCCTTCAGCTACCGGGATGGGTAACAATCCGGCGGCTCTTAGCTTCGGCATCCAACGCGGTGGCCGCCCGCGCAAATTCCGGAACCGAGAGCAGTCTGTTTGACGCTTGCGCAGACAAACAGACCACCAAGCGCGACATATTGTCCGACACTCCCCGCGCTGATTTTTGCTAGCACGCCGATACTCCCCGGACCCGAGCTAAGCTCATCGAACATCCCCCGATACGCGTGTTCACTTGAGCCATGATCTGACTAGAAGCGACAGCCGAGTCCTGACAGACTTTGATTGAGGTGAGACTCGGTGACTCGGCGAGGGAGAGGAATCGACCTGCGAAAAGCTGAGCCTGCCAAGACCTCACCCATGTTCACAGAGTCCTGCTTCCGCGTCACGCCAAGGTTCCTCGCAAGGCAGCTGTAGGCGTCCTTTGTGCATGTTTAAACAGGTCTTGTCTCCTAGCTGTAGGCGAAAATGATACCTGGCGGCGCTATACTCGGCCTTGGTAAGGGCATAGAGGGAAACTTATGATTCCTGGACACAGTAGCCAGGCTGGGCACGTATCCTGTAAGATCTTACTTTACACAAGAGACAACGCTTCCATTCGACTATTTCCGGAATCTGTTTACCGCGGAAGCCGCGATGGTTTGCAGGAAAGAAATTATCCGGTTGCAAAGCAATCATCCAATCTGACAGACTAGTTCAACGAGGCCAAAAAACATCGTTCAGATCAAGCGACTCATCATCGTCCTCCTCCTCCGAATCATCCACAGCATCGACCCGCCTGAACAGCTTCAACACCCCCTTGTTCCCACACGCAGCCGCGACATCGACCGCCGTCTTCCTGCTCTTGTCCTCCAACAAAGGATCCAGTCCCCTCGCTGTCAGTGTCTTGAACCGAAGAACATGGCCCTCCGCCGCAACGTGTAACAAGCTCCGTCCATCGTCATCTACCGCCCCAAAGTCCGCGCCCGCCGCCTCGAACGCTCCGATCCCGCCCTCTTCGTCGTACAATTGCGGATCACGATTGTACGTGTAAAACCCATACTGCTTTTCCTCGAACCCCGCGTAGTACCAGAACAGCGGCGTCTCGCCCTTTGAATTGCGAGCGTTGACGTCGCATCCGCGCTCGACGAGGGTGTTGAACAACGGCCGCATAGAGGAGACCCAAAGCATGCGAGAGAGGACGTGCAGTACAGTGTTGCCTTCGTTGTCTGGAATGAGGGGGTCCGCTCCGGCTCTGAGAAGTGTGTCCGCGGCTGTCGTCCTCTTTTCGTACAGAGCTCGGTAGATGGCTAGGTACAGCGGCGTCTTCCCCTCATTGTCTCTTTGATCGATAATCGATGGGTGCTTCTCTATCGTGTAGGTGAGTGACTTCTCGATGATTGGTGTCTCGTAAATGTGCTTTGAAGGAGGGCTCAGCATGTGGTGAAGTATGTTTTGCCTGTGGCTGTCTCGCGCTTCCACATCGGCGCCGAGGGAGACGAGATGGTCGAAGACCGATACCTCTTTCGATGTCTGGGGGTCCCATGGATCTCCTGGTAGTAAGTCCAAGGGCACATCGGGACCCCGTCTAGAGGAGCAAGCAGCATGGAGAAGAGTTCGACCACTACCGTCACGATGGTTTGCGTCGATCGCCGGCAGCCTCAAGAAAGGATGCACGATGTGTCCATCAGCTAAGAGCTGGTGTAGAACGACACAGTCCTCATGGAGGTGCGGCTCAAAAGAGTAGTCTGGGTCACCCACAGCGTCATAACTATCAGGCGCTTCGTCAAACATGTACGACAAACCTTTAGCTCGCAGCCGGGAGTAAATCTTTTGATGGTAGCAGTATTGACCAGAGCATCTTGAAAAGGTGGACAGTGGGTCGGCTCCGTGGGACAACAGGACTTCGATCAAGCTAAGAGCTGATGAGTGAAGCTTGGTTCTCTCCTTCTGGTCATAAGTCTTGTTACCAGATTTCGCTGCAACGCGATGTAAGGGGTACCATTCGGCGTCTGGGAGCTTGCTCAGGTCCCACCGATTGGTTCCGCGCTCCCATGGTTCTTTGTCGTTCTTCTCGATCCGGATGTTGGCATCGCCCCCGGCAGACAAGAGAGCATCTAGCACTCCTGGTTGCATCTTGTTGATAGCACCAAAGATCGCATCCGCGTGAACGATCGCGCCGTGCTTCACCAGAAAACGAGTAAGGTTGACATCGTGCCCTGCATAAGAAAGACAGCTTCGTCCAGCCTTGTCCACAGCGTTAACATCTGCTCCACTCAGGATCAACTGATGAGCGGCATCCACGTGGAATATTCCGACGCCATCTTCCGTGCCCAAGGCTACATGAAGTGGTGTCTGCCCTCTTGAGTTTCTAGTTTCGAGGTTTGCACCTTTACTGAGTAGGTACGGTAAAGCTTGGGCGACATGCCACCAGTGATAGCCTTTGGCAAGCGAGTGAAGGACACCATCTTCATTGATATCAACGCCAAAGGTCTCTACGAGGAGACGTACCATACCGAACACGGGAACCGCCTGATGGACTGCCTCCAACAGAAATTCCGGACGAGATTCTTTGCCGCTGCGGTCTGGCACGTCGTGGGTTGATGTCTTATTGTGGCCAAATCCAGGTTGCATCCCATCAACTGGAGCGGGCCAACTGCCCTTTTCAACCTGTGCTTGCGACACGAGCAAGCCAATGCGATTGACAAGACAATCGAAACCTCCTCTGACGAGGATCTCCAAGTTGGTAAGCCCACTGATCTGGTGAGGGGCCAGAAAGTCCACGCCCAGGTTGAACAACTCTTCCATGACATCGTACTCGCGACGTCTAAGTCGCGTGATGAACAAAGCCTCGTTTGCTTGGCCTGGTACGATGACTCCAGGCTCACGGAGTGCCTTGAAAACGGCGTCGCGACGGTGAGGGATGAGTATCTCGTCATAGGTAGGCAATCTCTGGCCAAGATGTGATGCTGCCTGCGAGCTCTTCAACGAGTGCTTCTTGGCTGCACCTGATAGGCACTTGAGCGCATAGTCTCGACAGCCGGAAGTGGTTGTGTCGGTTAGAGAACCGTATGCTGTGTCAAACGTGCCCCAGAGATTCTGCTGGGTCAGATCAGCGCCGTGTTCCAAGACCATCTCTATAATCTCTTCCAATCTTGCCGTGTCCTCGAGGGGATCGAGGTTATTCCTGCCGTTGCGCCCATTACTCGAATACGGCCGTGTGGCATCTTCCTTCGTAAGACCCCCACACGCTCCATTCTCCTTGTCATGAGGTAATTTCATACGCCATAGTTCGAGCTCATCCTCGAATCCGGTAATCGCAGGCCGCAAATTCACCCCCTTGACATTGGCTCCTGCGGCGAACAACATTGACACTATCTCTGGTCTCCCTGAAAGAGCAGCATAGTAGAGCGGTGTGCATTCGCACCCATTTACGTAGCCGTTGGCTGTGGCGTTGACTCCATGGATTGGGCTTGCACTCGCCGCTTTCAGCCAGGCTCCTCGCCACATCGGACCGTCAAGTGGTTTGTCCAAACCTCGATTGTGAAGAGCGTCAAGAAGCATACCAACAATATTGCCCTGCCGACATCTAGCAGCAAGGTGAAGCGGTGTCAATCCTTCGTATGTCTCGATCGTAGGGTCCGCACCGGCATCAAGCAGCTTCTTCGTGAGGTCCTCTGACACCGTTACGGCTAGGTGCAACGGGGCAATGCCGTCCCTGTCGCGGACATTGATGTCTTTCGTAAGAGATACAATCAGTGAAAGGCAGGTCTCGTCCTTGTCGATGTGACCACTGTCGGCCTTAATACATAGTCGATGAAGTGGTGTTCGACCACGACTATTGGGTTGATTGACGTCGAGGCCCAAGTTGAGCAGCCCCCTCAGCATATAGATCATGTCCTCGGATCTGTAATCGGTATTGATTCGCCAGCATAACTCGTGAATCAAATTGTTGCCTTGGTAATCTGTGTCTTGAATGTCCAGACCTAGACTGACGAGGAAATCCAAGGTGGAAGGAACAGGCTCCTGTCGACTAAAAGAAGCCCGAGGCCCTTTCTGTGACTTGACTACCTCGTGTAGAAGGGTCCTCCCCTCAAAGTCTCGAGTTTTCAATAAGGCACCCCTGTCCAGGAGCTTCATGATCGTGTCTTGCAGTTCAGTCTCTGAGCTGGAGGCCTTCCCTGAGACAGCCTGAAAGAGAATTGTTGCGCCATTCTTGTCTCTTGTATTGATATCCACGCCGGCTTGAATCATCACGTCCAACAAGTCGAAGACTCGTGAGTTCCGAGAGAACATGGCGTCCAAGGGCGTTTGTCCAGATTTATTTCTCAAAGTCAGGTCTGCGCCAGCGCGTAAGAGTGCTTCTATGACTTCGGGTTCTGCGCTGTAGGATTGCAAGGCAATATGCAGAGGCCCATTGCCGTCTTTATCAACCATGGTGCAGTCTGCGCCGTACTCGATGAGCTTGAGGGTCGTGTCTGTGTGATAGTCGTCAAGCGAAATGAGAAGCGGCGTTTTCCCATTAGAAGTGGCCTTCCTATTGATGTCGGCCTTACCGGTCTCTACGAGAAGAGACAGAGACTCTGCCATCATCTTCCCGTGAAGGGCAGTGCATCCATCGCTATTGACGGCATTGACATCGACGCCCGCATCAAGCAGAATTCTCAGCCATACGGGATTGCTGGTTGTTATGTGCAGCAGAGAATCACCAGAAGGAGATCGATCGTTAATGTCGGCCCCCTTCTCTATGAATAACTCTAGCAGGCTCTTGAGCTTATCTGGCTCCGCCTTTAGAGAATTTCCTCTGCGGCACTGTTCGAGAGCGGCGTACAAAGGTGTGGTTCCAACAATTCGATTCCGATCGGTCTCATCACGAGGCAGGAACATTCTCATGCGGCCCATCCCAGCAAATTCGTCATAAAACTCACATCGGATTGTTGGGTCCGCTCCTTCATTGAGGAGAAGCTCGATGGTCTTGATTTGAGCGCTCTGGCTTGCCATGTACAGAGGGGTTCCGCCATGGACCTTGCGATTGATATCAACCTCAGGAAGTTGGAGGATTCGTTGGACTAAATCGTGCCGGCCCGATCCAGCGGACCAGGCAAGGGCTCGATGGAGGGATTCTTCATCTTTGAGAAAAGGCAAAAATGCCTCCAATACCTCCAGATGACCGTTTTGGCAAGCATACTGGATAAATAAAGGTTAGCGAAACGAGCAATAGACCCGCAAGGAAGTATCCGGCAAAGACGTGGTCACTCACCATCAGGGGTGTATGCCCGATCGATCGAGGTGCGTTTCCACACCGACGCCCAGGGTTTTCCCTTGTCTTCTCAGTCAAGGGGTTTACACCAGCGCTTAGGAGGACTTTGACGACCTCGGGGTGGTTTTTGGAGGCGGCCTCGTGCAACGGCTTGCGACCACTACCAGTCTCATCATGATCGGGATTTGCACCAGCGTCTATGAGGACCCGAATAACGCCGGCCATCCCATTTGTAGCAGCCCACCATAAGGGAGTCATTCCGTGAACGTCCACCGCGTCAATCTCAGTCTCGGGAGACAAAAGAAGATGTTTTGCGTATGCAGTGAGCCCATGCATTGCGGCGATGTGGAGGGGCGTTGTGCCAGATTTCGCATTACCGATTGTGAAAAACTGAAGTTTAGTCCAAATGTCCTGAGAATCAGGGTCACGCATTAGTTGGTCCAGTGCCACATTGATTCCGGTCTGATCATGGCCTGTGGCTGTTGATCTAGCAACATGGACATGCCAGTTATCCAACGCATAAGCTAGAAATGGATATCTGAGCTTCAGTTTGACAAGTGGAGTGTCTTGTGCTTCTTTGCCTTCGCCGAAGACCCCGGAGAGAAGATACGCCAGACATGCTGAGCCGAGGCAAGCATGCGTGTCTCCACAGCGAAGTACCGGGTAGCCGTCATCATATGATGATCTGGTCGTGCCCTTGAGGTACTCTGTGAAGGAATGATGGATCACACAGACGGTCTCGTCCGGCAAGATTTCCAAGAGAGGGCCACACGCAGCCCTAACAAGGTCTTTAGTGCCCCTCAAATCATGAGCCACATTGTTGTAGGTGACGTCAATCATCTCAGCTATCTCGAGGAGCCTGAGCGGACGGGTCGCATGGGTAACCCACTGCAGAATCAGACGTTGAATCGCGTCGGGCACTCTTGATCTGCGGGAGTGTTCGTTGAGCAAGTCGGTGTACATCTGGTTCATGTCGGCTGGCAAGGAGGCGAGAACTGCCTTGACATCGGCCCCTGCCTCGAGGAAAGAGTCCATGGCCAACTTGGCATAGAGGAAGAGGCCATTGGCCCGACCTGGAATGGCCGCCTGGATGAGTTGTCGATCATGGTCGGAGATATCTGAAACATTCAGTGCCTGTCGCACAAATGTCGAAATGTCGGCATCGACTACGTTCTCTTGAAGACGAATCTGATTGCATTTGGCATGTCGGAGAGGACCCTCAACGGCGGGGACCGGACGACTTGTGATGAGAACTTTCACTTTCGAAGGGTTCCAGTTGCCAAGCTTGGCTAGTTCCTGTAGAAAGATATCGTTGCCACGATCCATCTCGTCGAGAGCATCAGCAATGCAGTAGACTCTACCAGGCAGTCCCGAAAATGCCAGTCGAAGATCGTCCCACAAGTCTTGCATCGACATGGTGGCAAGTAATCGAGTTTTGTCGCTGAACTTCTCCTTCACCACATACTCTTTCAAACGCTTCTGGAGTGGTGGGCTGTATGCCAAGACCTGGTCCAGCCAGTCCCTGAGGAGTGCAGCCGGTTCATGATTCGCGTCAATGATTTGTCGAAAGAAAAAGTACAGTACCGGACTCCCATCGTTGTTATCCGAGAGTTCCTTGATGATCTTCGAAGCCAACACCGACTTTCCAGACCCTGGGATCCCTTTGACCCATAGCAGACCGGTATCTTCGCTTTGTAGCCATTGCTTGTACGAATGACTGGCCGTCAGCCAGTCTCCTGTGCCTGGGATGTGCGAACCAAGATGCTTGCGGTACTCGCTGCTTCCGAAGTCGTATGAAGTGGGTTTCAGCCAAACTCTGAGTTTCTGGATAACTTCGGGAGACTCGGGGAGAATTTGTTCGGGATTGTAGTTGCTGACATCGTCGCGGTCAATAATCACAGCATCATCTTCGCTTTGGGAAGACATGGCTTGTTGGCGACGAAATGAGTCCGAGGAGCCTGCCTGACCTGAGAAAGTAGTGAGCCGAGGACAGATTCAAGGAGGTGATAATGATTTAGATGAGCAGAAATTTGATGGCGGAATGATATACTGATCATCCAGCAACGCTGAACAAGGGCTAGTGCGGGATCAAATAGACAACTGCTGAGGTTCTTTTGACTCACATCATCGAATAAGGCGACCAGGCAGTTGCATATCAACGGGGTTGAGCTGTTGCCTGCTTGTATCCTACCTTAGTAAGCGGGTTAACCGAGGCGGCTGCTCCCCGTAAGCTGTTGGTTCCACCACGGTTGCCTGGTGGGATCAGCAACAATGGAAAGCAACACCTTGGCTGCAGCCTTCCGATATTATTAGACACAGCAATTGTTTGTGAGGGGTAATGGGCTGTTGGATCGCAACTGTCTTGCCGCAATTGGAAAGTTCAGGTACATGGTTGACTTATTGCCCAACAACGATTGGTGCATCATTCGTGTCGAATCTCACACACTGTACTAATTAGTAGGTAAGCATAAATGAGTTCTAAATCATTTCCTATCAAAGTTTGTAGCAAAGACTGGCCACGTTTTCCTCAAAAGAAAGCCCAAAAGTAAAATAGAGTGGGACGATATAATGAACAAGAATTGAAAACCGTGTCATCGAAGTCAAGGGAGCTCTTGAGAAACATGGAGCGTGGAGACTGTTGAGCCTACGTGATAATTCAACGGAGGACCCTGACCCTAGTCTTCAGACTCAAGCTGATAGAATGGAACAAGGCTAGATCAATATACCACTTAAAAGTCTCTCGCGAGTTCACTTGTTATAAGTTGGAACGAGCGCTAGCGAGTCCAGGGGCCTGACCTGTTGCTCGATATTCCACCCAGCTATCCCATGAACTGAAGATTCGCGTCATCATATCAAACTATGCATGTATATATGGAGATAGCAAGCAAGACGTTGGCTCAATCCTATTTCCGTTATTCCCTTATTAGGTATAACGAGCGTCCTTCAGGCAAAAGTTAGAAAAGATATGGAGATGTTTGTACTGATGCCACTCCGCAGTTGATGGGATGGGAAAGGAAAATCGATGTAAGGTCGGGCGGCTTGCAACCAATGAATAATATGCCATTCATATTCGAAGTATGCAAGACGAGATAAGCGCCATAACCGCGGATACGTGGACCCTTTACTTAGTGGTGTGCGTCATCATTCTCGTGAAGGCCCAGGGTGTCGATCCAAACGGACTCATCCGAGACTAAAAAGTGTGGGATAGCTGTGTGGTCGCATCGCAGGAGCCGTGCTACCCAGGCCACATAATCCATGTCAATGGAGGCAAAAAGACCATACGCCAAATAAATGGATTAGGGCTGACATCTTTCGGCCGATATCTGCAGTCTAAGATAGTAACACTCCCAAGTTTGTCCACAACCCCTGATGCAGCTAGTTGACTGACATGAAGTGACCCCAGATATCCACTTTCTTGGAACTACGGATACCTCCTCACAAATGCCAAACACTAACCCTGAGTGTCTGATTCTAGGGCTACCTAGCATGGATGGGCAGACTGTGACAGCTAAATCGCTGCATGAAGAAGATGACGAATCCGTGGAGCCAGTACGGCACTTGGATCCGCGACCTGGGTTCCCTACTGGTAGTACTACCTAGCAGAGGAGGACTTATGTTCAAATACTGTTGGTCGAAACCAAACATTAGGACTTAGGCAGGATCGCGGGGAGAAAGCAGAAACGAAATGATCAGTTACCAACTGACTGGATGGGAATCTGTAATGATTTGGAATTTCCATGTTTCCCATTCAAGGTCGGTTCTGGGGCCCAAGCTCCTGGCTGGACCGGGAATGCACGGGCCATGCTCGGACACGATGCTCCGCCTTGAGATTTTCCGGCGTTCAATTGGTGGCTGGCAGTGGGGCCGCACCTCAGCTTAGCTCTTTACTTACGTCATTGCCCAGTCACTGCTGGCAGCTGCTGTGCTCATTCATTCCTTCCCGCCTGAGGTAAGGTAAGGTAGCTAAGGTAAGCTGTGTCTGCCGACTTGGCTTGAATGGTGACGATTTTCGACGACATAGCATCAATCCAACCCAAATAGACCGACGATACCTTGGCTGGCGTGAGAAACTACCGTCCATCAGCAACCCGCAAAGTGCATCGAGCATTATACTTGGCTTCAACCGAAGTCGCATTACGAAATGGTGTCCTTCTTCGGCTTCGGCCGCCCATCGCGCGAGGAACGCGAGCGCGAACCTCTACTGCCGCGTTACAACGACGACACAGCCTTGCAGCAGCGACTGCACGAGAAACTGCACACGTACCAGATGCTTCGTGCCATCGGGAAGGGTTACATGCCATCCAATGAACAGCTTATTGTCAACCTGCGCAGTCTACTATCTGCTGACGTCCTCAACCCTGATACCCCCGATCTCAGCGACTCTGGGCGAGCCCTGGTTCTCAACGTCAAGCTTTTGATCAAGCAACTTATCGAGCTCCTATTACACAAGAATGACAAGGACCAGATTCAAGATTTCATCTGGTATCTCACCAAGGCTCGTCTGTCAGTTGACGCGTACGACATCGGTGCACGAGCATCCAAGGCAAAGGCCAGAGCCGACACTGTAGCAGGTGGGTCGTCTCTATTTTATTAATACCAGCAACCCCACGTCGGCTCCAACCAAGGAAAGAAAGTTTGTCCAGAGTTTAAACTGACAATTGCCAAGCGTACAAAAGCTTACAAACGGTGGGCTCCTTGATATTAACCAACTCGGATTTTCGCCTGCTACTTTCGGATCTGAGCACTATTGGCCGAGAGGTCTTCCGCGATACTGCGTTCACCCTGTCGGACGTCTCGAAGCAAGCGGCCAAGGATATCGAGCCATCAAAAGAGGAAGAAGAAGCCGTCAAGTACCCCAACGGGGATTCGAAGCCTCCCCCGACCAAGGACGATTTGGAAGATGAGGTCGTCGACATCGCAAAGGTTGTCACTGACGGCGTCGCCCGTGTCGCCGACGAAGCGGGTCAGAGCCTGACGGACCATGTCACCGGCGACGAACAAGAGACCTTGGTACACAGGCTCAAGAGCACCATTGTCAATTTGCGAGAGAGAAAAGACTACTCCGACTCGGTATCGACTCTCTCATTACTCATCCGGCGATATTTGTTGGCCTATTCGCACGCAGTTTCCGACACCATCCAGGTCGCTCGAGAAGACATCGACACCAATCCAGAGGCCGATCGTGCACTCCACAATTTCTGGCTATTCTTGTCGTCTTTGGGTAACCGTGAGCACTGGAATGATGTTGAGGCCCAGTTCAAGGCGGTCATGGAACATGGCCACAGCGATCCAGAATTTGACAATCTTGTCAGACAGATCGGCAATTTGCTCCAGGACATACTGACGGATCCTGACTTCTTCGATCACGCCGAGGACCGCTTCAAGGAACTGAGAGCCAAGTCAAGACAGTTGACATCCGAGTCCTCAATACGCGATGATCTTGATGCGTTGTTGGAGAAGGTCTATCTTGCTCTGAATTCCGTGCTTCAGGACACAGATATCAAGAAGGCCATGAACACCACCAGAAGAATCTTGCGAATTCTGTCACCTGCACATCAGTACACCAACGGCGAATTGGTGGCAGACTCCATCAACGTCTTCATACCCATGGTAGTGCAAGCAATTCAGTACATCCCGATTCCTCGGGTGGAAGTATCGGCGCCGGCTATCGATCTCCTTTTAGAGAACCTTATTTTGGAGCCCGGGCGCACCGTCAACAACAGTTCCTTCCTACCATTTAAGATCAATATCTCCACACAGAATGATGTCGAGATCCGCAAGGCACGCTTTCGCACCACGTCTTCGGTGAAGACTCTCATGAGGATCACGGTATCAGGCCTGTCGATTGCAGCCGAAGACCTCGGATATTGGCTGCGCCTCCACTCGGGAATATTGAGGTTGGCAGATGCTGGCATTGCGGGTTTTTACCTGGATGAGCGTGGTATCGATGTTGCTATTGATGTGGAGGTTGGAAAGGAGCGGCTTGAAGACATATTGACGCTGCACAATGTCCGCGTTCGCATCCACCATCTCAATTACAGCCTCCGAAAGAGCAAGTTTTCCTGGCTCGCTTGGCTACTCAAGCCTCTGATTCGGCCAACCGTCAAGGCCGCATTGGAAGCCCAGATTGCGGCCAGCATTGGCGAGCTGCTTCATTTCGCCAACAGAGAACTCCTCTTTGCACGCGAACGATTGAGGGCCACTCGTATTGCCGACCCGCAGGATATGTGGACATTCCTCAAAGCCGTGGCGGCCAGGCTGGTGCCCCCCGAGGACCCCGATCTGTACACCCGTGTGGGTGTCGCGCAGCCTGGACGGGGAGTTTTCAAGGGTGTATATGCCCCTGGCAGTCTCGTCAAAATGTGGAACGAAGAGGCTGCGCTGGCAGGCGACAGAGTGCACGAGTATCAACAAGACGGGTGGCGCAATTCCATCTTTGATGTCGGAACAACAGGCACAACGCTTTAATGTTGCACCGAGTAGTGCGCGCGCGGGTAAAATGGCGCAGTCGCTGTCACACCAGGGGAGCACAACGGTTGAGGCAGCCAAGGATGAGGGCAAAACAAGACCAGGCACGGTATGGAGTCGAAACTGCAAGACGTTTTCTCTCTCTCTCTCTCTCTCTCTCTCTCTCTCTCTCTCTCTCTCTCTCTCTCTCTCTCTCTCTCTCTCTCTATCCGTTTCAATGTATTTCTAGAGGCAATAACACATGCAGGGAGTAACAGGACCTACCTAGGCGAAAATGGCAAGTAGTAATCCAAGGTTACCTTACGAAAACGACCATTTGCATGTGGGCTTGGGTAAGTTGGGTACACTAATTACTGAAGATTCGGGTGGTGGGTTGGACTACGGATGGCACTGTAACCATCTAACGCGCTGCACACTGCACGCCACGCAGATCACAGCAACATTCGGCGCAAAAGTTCCTCCTTGCTCACATAACCGTCCTCCCTGAACAAGTTGATGGGGGTGCAGTGACATTGACACGCCATCCGAATCGAGGAGGTGCACACTATCACGATATCGATGCCAAGAGTGCATGATGGACTTGTAAAGTGCAATCATTGCAGTCGCTCTCTTTTTGCTTCCGGAATCCAAGGCGACGTGGCACGGTGGCATTTCAAACAAAGTTCGATTCATCAGCTGCCGTATCTAGTAGAGTTTGCTGCCCAGCATCACTACGAATATGGTCCCCGACCATCAGTAATCAACGAGTCAACAACGATCGATAAGCCCGAGGCGCGTGGAATCCACGGACGGACTCGAGTATAGTAGTTGGATCGAGTCGAGTCACCCGAGCGTACGGAGTCTACCGATTACCTTATAGTGCGTATGATGACTATGCAGCGCGGTACCCGGCGCGTGACATTTGCTGCGGTTCTCTCCCGAAAGTTACGTACGGGCCACCCGAAACCTACGCGGCGCGTGACATTTGCTGCGGTTCTCTCCCGAAAGTTACGTACGGGCCACCCGAAACCTACGTGTGCTTGAAGTCGGGACGTCGCTTTTGCAGGAATGCGGTCATTCCTTCATTGAAATCGCCAAGGCTGAAAGTCGAGTAGTAAAGAGATTTCTCCATGGTCATCCCGGCATCAAGATGGCTATTCTCGACTGTAGCAGGGTTAGCGAGTCAGAACACGGGGTCCGCACAGGGGCCCGCCCCCTCGATCCCTTGGTGGGATCCGGAGCCACCCCGTAGTAGCGGTTTTGGAGTCGGAGCAGCCCACCTGTAAGAACGGCTTGCTTCGCAGTTTTGGTCACAGGGCCCGACATGACCGCGATGCGCTCAGCGAGCTTCATGGCGGCTGGCACGACCTCTTGACGTGGGAACACCTTGTTGACCACGCCGAGACGCTCAAACTCGGCACCGCTGGCTGAGTCGCCGGTAAGGACGAACTCCATGGCCTATAGCTGGTCAGTTCACCGGTTTCAAGATGAGAGCGAAGATTTCGGCTGTTCAAGTCGGCCAGCACGAGTCAAAAATCGGCTGGGTTTTGGCTACTCACCTTGTGCTTGCCCAGCGCACGAGCTAGACGCTGAGTGCCGCCCGCGCCTGGGATCGTTCCGATCTTGATTTCTGGGAGTCCGAACGAAGCATCTTCGGCGGCGTAGATCATGTCGCACTGATCGTGAACGGTCAGCTGTTTGGGTTTTACCTCGCAGAAACATGTGGGGGGCAACTCTTGACTTACTGCTAAAGCGATCTCGCAACCACCGCCCAACTTGAGGCTCTCATGTTAGCCTTGTTTCTGTGAGACATGCGAGGCAACATAGAAAAAGAAAAGCACAGATGTTGGGGGGGCGGCTCCCACTTCCCAACACCACAACTTACTGCGAAACCAACCACAGCCGCGATGATGGGCTTGGAGAAGTTGGCAAAGGCGTCTGTGAGGTCCTTGAGAAAGGCGCGCTGGTGGGCCGCTGCCGTGGAGATCTGCACCAGCTCATTGAGATCCATCCCGGCTGCACCACAAAACGGATTAGCCAACGTCGCGCCTCCATTAGATTAGATTAGAGGGGGGGCCTGCCAGTGGAACCCTGGTGCGGATTTTCATGACGTTTCAGGGACTTGGAAACAAGAACGACAGCGGACATGCCCCTGTGTATCAAGTCCGTGGGGAATCAGATGGAGTTGAGATGGCAGTTGCTTGGTCGGGAAATCATCGACTGCCGTGCGCGGCGCCAACGATGATGAGTGTGCAGATTGCACGTGGACGGTTGAAGGAAAAGGGAAGTGAAGCCGAGAAAGATGAGTTGAGGACAGAGTATCCGACGACGGGGGTAAGCTTGTTGCGTCCCCCTCCAGACATGGTTTTCTGGAGCCCAACTCTGAAATCTGTCTCGACTGGTATGAGAAGAATTGCAAAACGTACCACAGAAGGGACCTTCAGGGCCACCAGTAACGACAACAGCGCGGATGGTCTCCAGGGCGTCGAGGTGAGCCAGAGTCGAAACAAGTTCGCCGATCATGACCTGAGAGAAGGCATTTCTCTTGGCTGGACGGTCAAATCGGACCAGGGCGACGCCCTTCTCGGAGTCGACCGTCAACTTGAGAGTGGTGAGGTTCTCCATGATTTCTCGGGAGCCGGAGGAGTTGCCGTATGGATAGAGCCACAAGAAGAAGAAAAAGAGTTTGGGACTAGCGGATCACCGGAGTGCGACGATTGATTAAAAAACGTGGAAACTTGGAGGTAAACCGAGGTGACTAAGGCGAGAGAGGGGGGCAGTGTTGTTGTTGATGGCTTGTTGAAGCAGCGTGCTCAGCACATGGCAGAGAGACAAAGAAGTCGAAATCGTCGGATCTTTTCTTCTCCCGGGTCTTGCTTTCTTTCTTTCCTGGGACCCTTTTCTTCTTCGCCAGCAACAACAACGCCGCACTTTATTAGAGAATCCCACCCGGCTATGACCGAATTCGGCCGAGGCGGGTGTCGACCTTGAGTAGCGTCGCATCTTGCCTGGGGGTGGGCTCGCAGAAGAAGAACAAAACTGGCATGAGGGTCGTTTAAGGGAGAGGGGTGGGCGGCCAAACGGTCGACAGGCATCATGAGCCGCGGAAGCCAGGGTTGCCCCCGGGAACGATGTGCAGACAGGGCACCATCCATGGCAGAAGCAAGGCATAACCCGCACAGGCGCCTAGCTTCCCTTCTTCCCTCCTCCTCCTCCACGATCGCGGCACGTAATGGATGGCACATGTCGACTGATTGACAACAACTTTGTCAGCCCCCCCGGTCATTATCCATCTTCAAGACGTCCGTCCTCCACTGCCGTGCCCCTTGTTACATCCCACGGCAACGCCTCGCAAGGACCGCGAAGTGCTCCATCGACGAGACAGAGGACGACAGCTGCCGCATTGGGCGGATGTGGTCCGGATCGCTCTCCGTTTTTCCCGGATTTGGACAACTCATCCGGCGTGGCCCCGCCGAACCGCCAGCGGCCCTGTTACCGCGGAATGGAGACAGTCGTTACGACAAAATTTCTGCCCACATCTAAAGGGGAGGAGGCGGATTCTCGACTGCTCCAGACGCTCCCTTGGCGGCCGAGCCTGTTACGACGAAATATAGTCTCCCTCTACTCTTAGTCTCTACTGCGCTTGCATCCTTGGTCGAGGATCCGCTTCTCCGTAAAGATACTGCATTCGTTCATCGAGGGATCCTGATCACATCCATAGTCTTGCAAGGTTCCTTGTAAGTGACCCCGTCTTTACTTACACTAGTTCATCACAGAGTCGTCCGTTCTCCACACTATCTAAAACAATTGTCTGCATAGCAAGGAGCTGAAAGAAGGAAGGAGTCCAGCCCTGATATCATCCATGGACCATGCCATGGCTGACGGGGGGGCTTCTGAGAATATGGAACCTTGTTTGAACACGGAGGTTGAGGCAATCTAGGCAGGTTTTTTGGCGAAGTGACCAAAACGAAGAATGTACTCCCCCACAAGGCCGGGCAGGGTCTGGCGCTTCTCCGTTTCTCTAGGACATTGGCGCACAAACACACAGACGCGACGGTCCCGTGGAGGAGATATATCTGGTTCCAAGTGCCCACCTCTCGAGATGTGGTTATGAGGTGTGTCACTGGTAGGCAACATCATCGCAGGGTATCAACATCCAGAAGCTCATCACCATGGCTCCCCCGCGTTCGTTACACTCTCTGGAACAGCTGTCCCTGGCGGACAGAGTTCTCTTCAACCAATTCAGCAGAGGACCGAGCGATGTGATACCATACCAAGTCGTTCACCACGCCTTCGAGTCCATCGCGGCAGCACATCCTGACGCCACGGCTGTGCGACACTACGATGGCACGACTATCACATACCGGGAGCTCAACCGCAGGGCCAATGTGCTCGCGAATGAGCTGAGGGGAACATACGGCCTCAGGAAAGGAGACCGTGTGGTGCTCGTCTACTCCCGGTGTATCGAAATGGTCGTCTTCATCTTTGCCGTCCTCAAGGCGGGTGGTCAGTATGTCCCTCTAGATGGTGGCATCATCCCCGAAGACACACTCGGCTACGACATTGTCGACTCCAACGCGCCGGTCGTGCTGTGCCTTCCCAAGTTCAGGGAGAAGGTGCTGCGCAGCGTGCCCTCCGAAAGGCGGGACCGTGTGAGGGTCGTCGACCTCGATGCGAACAGTTGGTTGTGGACGCACGGCAACAATGGGCACCCAGGTGTCATTGTCAAGCCTGAAGATGGAGCCTATGTGATCTACACCTCGGGCACTACTGGGCGACCCAAGGGAGTGGATGTGAGACACGAGGGCGTTACCAACACCCTTCTAGCGGAGCCTTCCAAGCTGGGCATCCGTGTCGGGAAGAATGTAGCGCAACAGTTGAACGTCGGTTTCGATATGTGTAAGTCAAATGTCTCAAACTCTATTTCTTTAGTGTCCGACCACGCTGACGCGGCAATGGGTACTTAGGCGCGTGGGAGATTCTCGGGACCATGATGAACGGCGGAACGCTTCACATCAGAGGCAGCGGCAATGATCTCTGGACGGATTGCCTGCAGCGCGTCGACACTGTCATCGCGACGCCTTCCGTAGTCCTCAAGCACATGCCCAGGCGCGAGGACTTCCCCAACATCAGGACGATCGCTGTCGGTGGTGAGCCCTGTCCACTGGCGCTCGCCGAGCAGTGGGCGCCCTACGTCAAGTTCTGGAACGTATGCGGTCCTACCGAAATCAGCATTCTCAACACCGCGCATCTTCATAAGCCGGGAAAGACTTTGTCGATTGGCAAGCCTAACCCAAACACTAACGTTTACGTTCTCGACGAAGATGAGAACCCTGTCAAGATTGGCGAACCTGGCATCATGTGGGCCGGCGGTCCAGGCGTTTCTAGGGGGTATCTCAACTTGCCGGAGTTGACTGCACAAAGATATAAGGTCGACAAGTTCGCAAAGGACGGGTTAGTTTTGCGCCTCTTTTTATTCTCCGTTCTTCCGGCCGAGACTTGACAGCGAGGAAAGTACGCTAACCAACACCATTCACAGTCGTATGATGTTCAACACCGGCGACCTCGCTCGCTGGCTTGAAGACGGTAGCTTGGAGCCCCTCGGCCGCAAAGACGACCAGGTCAAGATTTCTGGCTTCCGCGTCGAACTCGATGGCGTCTCTCGCGCTATTGAAAAATGCCCTGGCGTCGTCAAGGGATGTGCGCTGAAAATCGACGATCGTCTGTGGGGCTTCTACTCTGCCCCTGCGCCGATCGACGAAGCTCAGCTGAAGACTGTCGTCGGCGAGGGCCAACCGTTCTACGCTGTCCCGACCGTCTGGAAGTACCTCACCCTGATCGAGCTAACCCCCAACGGCAAGGTCGACAAGCGGGCCCTCCGCGATATCGCCGCTGGTGGTGCCGCCCAGGCTCCGCCGCCGCTGCCTCTGGCAGATATCCCGACAGGCATGTCGACGCCCCAGCAATCGTCCAGCGCCTCGTCCGTCAAGACGGCCGTCAGCCCTACCAGCGAAGGTGGCTTCACGCTCGTGGACTCTCGCACATTCACCGTCGTCGATTCCCAGCAAAGGGACATCGACTTGGAGAAGACGGCCGCGTTCGTCGAGGAAGCGGCCGAGAAGGAGGAAGAAGACTACGAACTTCCTTCCAAGAAGGGCTTCCACGGCTGGAGATGGATCCGCCACCGCGGACTCAACGCCTACCGCAAGCTCTTTGGCGTCATCTTCCTCTCCAACCTCGCCGTCTTCGTGTGGATGCTGTACGAGAGCCGCAACAGCAACTTCTCCCTACCCCTGAACCACCTGGCCACCGCCGTCGCCGCCAACCTCCTCGGCGCCGTTCTCCTGCGCCAGGAATACGTCGTCAACTTCATCTTCTGGGCGTGCTCCCGCGTGCCCACCTCCATGCCACTTTCCATCCGCAGACACTTTGCGCGTGTCTACCACAATGGCGGCGTCCACTCGGGCTGCGCCGTCTCCGCCACCGTGTGGTGGGTCATCTTCACAGGCGCCGCAACCGGCAACTTCATCGCGCCTCAGTCCCTCTACTCCGTCAACCTCATCACCCTTGTCCTAACCTATCTCATCCTCATCCTCCTCGTCATGATCCTCGTCATGGCCTACCCCTCCATCCGCGCCAAGATGCACGATCAATTCGAGTGGACGCACCGCTTCGCCGGCTGGTCGGCCCTCGCCCTCGTATGGGCTCACGTCATCGCTACCGCGGCCTCCATGTCCGCCGAGCCCCTCGGCCCGGCCCTGGCTAAGACACCGGCGCTCTACCTCGTGGCTCTCACATCCTTCAGCATCGCCCTCCCCTGGATGCGCCTTCGCCGCGTAAAGGTCGTCCCGGAGCCTCTCTCCAAGCACGCTGTTCGTCTGCACTTTGACTTCTGCACCCCGGGGCCATGCACCTCACGCGGCGTCCGCATCACCGACAGACCCATGGTCGAGTGGCACGCCTTCGCGGCCATCCCGGAGCCGAGCGGAAAGGGCTTCTCCATCGTCGTCTCCAAGGCCGGCGACTGGACCAAGCGTATCATCGAGAACCCGCCGACCTCGATCTGGACCCGTGGCACACCTGCCTCAGGCGTCCTCGCCGTCGCTCCGCTCTTCAAGAAGATGGTCCTCGTGGCCACGGGTTCTGGTATCGGTCCCTGTCTGCCGGTCCTCATGGAGCGCCGGGTCCCCGCGCGCGTCGTCTGGTCGACCAAGAACCCGCTCAAGACGTACGGGCAGGGTGTCATGGACCTGATTCTCAAGGCGGACCCGGACGCGCTGATTTGGGATACGGACGAGCGTGGCCGGCCTGATTTGGTGCAGTTGGCGTATAATGTATATAAAGAGAGCGGAGCCGAGTGCGTTGCGATTATTTCCAACGGGCCTACTGTGAATAAGTTTGTGTATCGGATGGAGGCGAGAGGGATTCCTGCATTTGGTCCCATTTGGGACTCATGAGCGTTGTTCTCCGACTTCCAATTTTCTTAGTGTCGTGTTGTTTCTTGGGCGGGATTCTTCTTTTGTCACAAGTTTTACCATACCAGAGTCGTTTCATTGTTCTTGTATAAATTAGCATCTAGCCTAGATCGTTTTACGTATCTTGAACGAGCTGGAGACTGTCAAATACCATTTTGAATCCATATTAATCATCTTCTGTATCTCGTCTTGCTTGTGTGTAGTCCTTTCATGATGGCCAGGTTTGTTTACCCCTTAAGTAACCGCTCGAGAGACCGACGTGATTCCTCTAAACCAAAAACCGGCAATGCTTGTGGACCATTCCAACCATATTGACTGGCACGTAGAAGATCGGGCGGAGGCCGGTGTTCGGAATCACGGAGCGGAGTCAAGCGGGATGACCACAATTCCCGTCACACAATGCTGACCATACAATGTCCGGCCCCAGCCGAAGCCGGACGCCTTGGTAAATTCCCACAAGTCTTTACTCTGCGCGCTTCGGCACCACTCGTACAATGTCACCTCATAATCTTCTGGAGAGGCTCTCTTCTATGCCTGCTGAATAGACAAAATTTGAGAATCATATCAGATTTTCGTGCCCATGTAAGTCTGTCCAAGGTCCCGGGCCGCTTTAGGCGTAGACTCGTAAGGTGTAAGTGAAAAATAGTTTGTTGAAGCCTGTGTATGTAGCCGAACCCGGAAAGCGGTCCGGGCCGTATCAACTGATTTCCCACTTACCAACTTACAACTTCCGGAGTAACAGTGACATCGCTCAATTCCTCCTCCTTTCATACAGTTTACGCAGCAAAACAACCAAAAGTTGAGCTTCGTAACAACGGCACGATTACCATACTGACGTGTATACCAAGACCGTTCCTCTCATCCAGGTGCCCCCTGTGTGCCTGGGTACATGGCAATGTATCAAGCACGCAGAACTCACGAGTTGGTTACTCGTCTATTTGCCTAGTTGATACGGACACTGGAACACTGTATCAGCTATCATGGCAGCAAGATGTGTCGGAGCGAACGAGATCGAAATAGAGTAGCGTTACATGCCGTGTGCCGCCGGGACTCCCGTCGCCTCACTTTCTTCCGGCCCGGTGGGATGAAGATATTGTGGGCTCGGCGGCTTGGAGGTGTAGCATTAAATCATACAAGGAACAAGGTAGCATGCTCATGAGTCGCCAACGTTCCCATCCAGATACAAGCTTTTCGGCACTCAAGTCCCATGCGACTTTTCCAGAATCGGTAAGTATAGTGCTCGTATAGTTTGCTGTGTGGGATGTCGCGAGTTGATACTGACTGATTCTACACATTGACCTCGACAGTCGATCTAAGACGCCTAAGCGTAGCTAACCAGACAAGCGGGTCGTTCAACGTGGTCAACATGGGAAAAGAGCGTTTGAGTCAATACTCAAAATTAAGTAGATTGTTTTCCACTTTATTGTTTGTATGGGAATCGATTCCTAAATAGGCAAGTTGGCATCTTTCAGAATACGAATACTAGAGTTTTGCGCACTCAAGACAAACCATCCAATTGACGGGTCTCTACACAAAAGTCACTGCGCCTCATGATGCGCGACAGCGGGGAAAATTGCGCTTTCGGCGAGAACTAAGTTCTGTCACCCGGTTATCGAACTCACAGAAGCGGCAAACGGTTGTCTGCCTTTGGCAGCTTGACATTTCAGTTCACGGCGCTGACAACTCACAACTTCAACCACATGAAGGCGATTGAAGTCGCCATGGGAGAACTATGATCCCGACGAAGTTTTTCCATGTCACCTGAGTGACGAGACAGAAGCCGGAGCCAGACTTGGCACTTGCTCAACCTCAAGTGCAGCCCTTGGGATAGAACAAGACAAATACGCGGAAAGAGGCAGCTGAATCGCAGTCTGCATCCATAGGCTTACGTCGCCCTCCCCACCGGAATGAACCACTGCCGGAACGTCTTTAGAAGCGCTTCATCTCATATTTCGCGACGGGCTTGCCGTGGGTGGTTCGTCGCTGACATTTCGTGTCATTCGTATAAGGCCCGAGCTGATCTGCGTTGTATTGCTGACGGTATATCCGCTTTTTTCGAGCAAGCCCGCAATCTGACGAAAAATCCCATCTTTTGAAACGATCTACAGAGGGGCGAGTTGAAAATCGTTCAATGTTCTGAAGCACTCTGCGGTTGAGAGTTTATTGTTTTGCCCCCAGCGGCCCATGCAGATCCCACACAGACGTACATCTGCGCTCCGCTTCCATGACACTCAGTCCTGACAGCGACTTGTCAACATAGGGCAGAAACGGGAACAATGACAGATCATCGAACATGTTTGACCCCTCCAGGGTGCCAGACAAGGACGCGGCGGTTGCACAGCCCGGAAAGTTTCGCAGAGAGTCATTAATGGCCGTGTTCACTTGTGTTTGTTGATCGCCGCTGATGGCGACGAACCAAAACGGTCCTCATGCGCGCGCGAAAACTGCTGCATTCCTTTTCGTATCCCCGTATCCGTTTCTCTTCTTACCCGACCGGGAAAAGACCTCAGCCAGATTTGCTGCATACTCAGTTCTTCCTGCGCGTCATTGAACTCGAACCTCTTTGATCTTCTTTCAATCTCATCTTTCTTCACTCGCAAAAGGGGACCTAGCTCATCTTTTCTTTCCAAATCTTGAAAGTTCGAATCAAAGCGATCCCTCATTTACAACCTCCTACGAGCGCGCTAGACCATGTCGACGCGCTCGACACAAACTGTCCTAGAGACGCCGGCGATGCTAAGGAAGAGATCAGGCTTTCTGGTCCTTGCCGAATATGACAAGGCCGGCGCTCTGAAGACCAAGTATATCGAGTCGGCTCCGACTGCCGGATCATCTAGGGTCGATCTTACGGTAAGCTCCGCGGACAACATGGAGGACCCCTGGTACCCCTCCTTCTTTCAATGTCTTGATGGAAGACAGCGGAGAGTTTGCATGTGATTTGACACTCGTTCGCGTAGCTCCCTCCCAAAAGAAAGAAGCCTTGGCAAGAGCTTCTCGAAATCTTCTTGCCAGATGGCTATCCGCATAGCGTTACAGACGACTATGCTGAATATCAGATTTATGTGAGTAAACACCGATGCAAACCAAGAGACATTCAGTCTAGCTTACTCTGAGTAGGACTCTCTTCAAGCTTTTGCTGGCACTATTGCCGGCATGATTTCCTCGCGTGCTGTTTGGCAAGGTAAGAACCACTCTGCGCTGTCCCGGCTAATCTTACCTTCCCCTTTACCAGTTCGCTCTCTCTTGCTGTGTGCTGACTACACCAACAGGGCTGGGTGTTGGAGACTCATTAGCATCACCGACTGGGGCTATGCTCATCCAAGTCACCAGAGAGTCCATGGGAAGGCTCGCAACCATCACATTTGCTCATCTGTTTGCGACTTCGATTGAAGCAGAATGCAAGGCATATCGCATGGCCTGTGATCTGCTGACCGACACAGCGATGGTTCTCGACTGCGCGTCTCCTTATTTTCCGCAAGAAGCCAGGTTTCTGGTTCTCTGTCTCTCCAGCATCCTATACTCCGCATCTGGCGTCGTTGGGAACGCATCAAAAAGCAGTCTTAGTGGTCACTTTGCCAAGTGGAATAATCTCGGCGAGCTCAATGCTGTAAGTATGAGGAATTATCACAGTGGAGACGTTTGCAAGATTAGAGTTGCTAACAGTACGCAGAAAGACGCCAGCCAGGAGACAGCTATTTCTCTCATAGGAATGCTTGTAAGTCGACAACAAGATGCATCTATCCCTAAGGCTTCAACCTTTGCTAACATATGCATAGACGGGAACGTTTTTGCTGTATTTCCTGACTGACGAAACATTATCATGGATCGCGCTCTTTCTCCTCCTTGGCGTTCACCTTCTTCTCAATTGGAAGGGCGTTCGAGCAGTACACTCACGTCAGCTAAATCGCCAACGTGCCAACATTGCTCTGTCGGCATTATTTTCGAAAGAAGAAGTCCTCACACCACTGAAAGTTTCCCAAAGAGAACTCATCTTCGAGAAGCGAAGGGGAGAAGTCTTTCGCTGGAACTCCGGGCCAGTTTTTGGCCACTGCAAGTATGGAGTGCCCCTCAAGACCCTGCTTGAAGCTTTGGCCTATGGAAAGAACCACGAGATGTCCTTCCAGCTTTCAAGTGTTGACCTACATACAATCATGGATGTATTCGACCGCGAGGAGTACGTTCTCTGGTGTCAGGTGTCGACCACGGCCAACGACGTAGCCTCCAGAATCAAGGTTATTGTTGTCCTGAAAGAAGGCGTGACGCCGAGGTCACAGCTCAAAGCTTGGTTTCATGCTTTGTTGCTGGCCAGAAGACTGAGCGGACAGGAAGAGGCGAACTTGGCGCGAGCTGAATTTGATCAACAAGCAATGTTAGGCCACGTGGAAGAAAGTTTGCAAATCGCCAACGAAAAGTATGAGCTGTACGCAAGGAGGCTGGCTTCTGCAGGCTGGAACATCGAGGTTCCTGTGTTGGAGACCCGAGCAGGCTCTCGCATTGTTCGGGAGCCTGACGAGATGACATCGCACTGAGGCGTTAGGTGTTATTTCGCCGGTCGAAGGGGTTGAAGAGACGATCTAGATGGTCTGGGTCAAACATGCAACGGTTAGATTTGGTCTGAAGTTAAAAACATGCAGCATAGCGTCACAGTCATATTCAATATCATCAGATCTGCCTGAGATAACTACCTCATGTCGTATTTCTGTGAGATACGTCTGATGATTTGCATCATTAGCCCGTCCAGGTAGATATGCTTGTATACCTAGATCAGCAGATTACCACCTTGATGATGCATCCTGAGCCGGATGCAAACAATATTTGCGACTTATTTCTGCAATGCAAAAGGATAACCCCAGAACTCTATGCGAACGACACGTGGAATTTTCAAAGTGTGTTGTGGGAACACCAAACACTCGCGGATGCGTAGTTGGCATCGACAGCCCACACCACGTCGATCAGCGCGGCCCGGATAGCTGCCGACCCATCTCCGGATTGTTCTGTATGTTCTCTTTGCATTATTTGAAATTAGCAAGGTTATTCTGCTCATTAGACTTGACACTCTACCGCGCACGTAGGCCTCCCGGCTGTGCTCAAGTAACGACAATGCAAATTTAAGGTCGCTTTCGCGTTAGGAGATTTTAGGGGTCTCTACGTTGTCAGATTATGCTCGGGCCAATCTCGCTATCGGTAATTTGATGATCGTCTTGGCCCCGTCTGCGACACTCGTCAGTCCCGACAACCCGTTCAACCCGTCCCGGCTGTCTACTATTCCTGGTGTCAAGCGGTGCCGCTACTTGGCACCCCAATGCACCAAACATGCCATGGCGGTGACCGTGCTGGTCTCCGTCTGCGTACTCAGTACGCTGTCAATGGCCGCATTGCTCACTATGTTGGCCCGACTCGATCCGTGGCTGGGTTCTTGGAAGGGGGCCAAGTTTTTTGTTTTGGGGGAAGGGCTAGGTAGGACCCGCTCGTATCAAATCTCGCATTCGAGAACGGATGCGACTCGTGAATGCGAACGCGAAGCGTACAGCCCCCAGACGACTCACCAAACATCACCACGCATTGTAATTCTGGAACGGCTGATGTGTGAGACACGTGAGCTGACAATGTCCATGCCTTTCTGGACCCTTTGGAACCATCATGGGCAATCATTGGTCGAGATTTCAACCCCGGGTTAGAGTGCTGGGTTGAGACGGTTCGGACATTGAGATTGATCTTGCTGGGGACATTAAACCTTGAAGCGCAAGCCACCGTACGGAGTACAAGGCGCCGGGAGACAAGTCCGGATACGCAGTCGCGACCTTGACTTCGCGCTTCTTTAGGATTGCGTGTGCGCATAGATAAAGAGACATGTCCGACCACCAAGCCGTATGCATGACGACACATCATCCATTTCTTGACTTTTCCCTTAGCCTTGTTCACTGTATTACCTTAGGTCAAAATGAGAAACCCAACCACAGCTTCGCGGTCAAGTACTGGCCAGCCAATTGAGGTTCGCATCAGAACTACAGAACCCCGAGCTATTGAAGTTCGAGCCAGAGAGGCCTTGCCGAGGAGCAAGTCATTTCACCAGCTTTCTTCCCGTGTGGAGGTTAGACCGACAGAGTCCCTTCCGCGAAGTAAATCCCATCACCAACTGCCTCGCTCGGAGAGATCTCAAAACCCAGTGCAGCTGCAAGCCTTCGAGTGGAATTTGCCTGCCGACCACAAGCACTGGCGACGACTCCGGCGCGCGCTGCCGGCACTGAGGTCCGTTGGTGTGAACAGCCTATGGCTGCCGCCCGGAAGCAAAGCCAAGGATCCCGAGAGTAACGGCTACGACATTTACGATGCCTGGGATCTAGGAGAGTTTGACCAAAAGGGCTCAGTCCCCACCAAATGGGGGACGAAGGGAGACCTTGCGTCTTTAGCGGCGGATGCGGAGCACCACGGCATTGGGCTCGTCTGGGACGCTATTCACAACCACCGCGCCTACGCTGACGGCACTGAGATGGTAAAGGTGGTCGAGGTTGATCCGCGTGGTAAGCTTTCACCCGTCAGCTCGTAGCACTCCTGGTTTTTATCTGCTTACACGCATTTCAGATAGACGAAGAGACACCACAGACGTCTATGAAATTGAGTCATGGACCAAATTTGACTACAAAGCTAGAGGGGGCAAGTACAGCAAGTTCAGATACAATAAGTCGCATTTCAACGGCACAGACTGGAACCAACAGAACAAGAAACGTGCCATCTACAGGTTTGTAGAAGACGGCAAGAACTGGCATCAAGACGTCGGCGACCTCCAAGGAAATGCTGACTACTTGATGCTCGAAAACCTTGACTACACCAACCCTGAGGTCGTCAAAGAGCAGCATCAGTGGGGCAAGTGGATCGTGGATGAGCTCGGTCTCAAAGGCTTCCGTGTAGATGCCGTACAGCACATCTCATGGAACTTCATCAGCAAATGGGCCGAGCACTTGAGGAAGCCAGCCATTCGCAATGATCTCATGTTTATTGGCGAGTTCTGGCATGGTGATGTGCGCGTCTTGAACAATTGGTTGGAGCACATGCCAGCATTCTTCAGCCTCTACGACGTGCCTCTGATGTACCACATCGAGAGATTGTCATGGCACCGAGACACGGACTTGAGGCAGGTGTTCAAGGACACACTAGTGGAACAACGACCCAACAACGCTGTCGTAAGTTTATTCATCTCCTGCAAAATTGAACGACTTTCTAACAACTCGCAGACTTTCATTCGTAATCACGACACTCAGAAAGGTCAACAGATGGACACCCCAATCTGCAAGGAGTTCATGCCCTTTGCCTACTCTATGATTCTTCTCAGACGCGATGGTCACCCATGCGTCTTCTTTGGTGATCTGTACGGCATCGAGCTTACCCATCCCGAAGCGCCTATCCAAGACCTTCCCAACCTTCTCTTGGCCAGGAAGCTTTATGCTTACGGGGAGCAACACGATTACTTCGAGCGGCCTGACTGTATTGGATGGGTCAGGCGCGGAACGGAAGAGAGACCCGCCGGCATGGCCGTCGTCATGAGCTGGACACAGGCTGAACATACTGACACTCGGTTATCAATGTCAGTTGGTGCAGACCACGCCGGGGAGGTCTGGACCGATGTCCTCGGAATGGATTCGGCCGCAGTTACGATTGATGAGAACGGTGTGGGCTCTTTCTACTGCCCGAAGAACAAGATGGCGTGTTTCGTCAACTCGGATGCGAAGGGAAGGAAGAAATTCCCTGTCAAGTTCGATTCTGACTTTCGCAGCCTTGTTGAATAGAGCGATCTTGGCGCAAGACTTCATGTTGGGGCCATAAAAAGAGAAGCCCATTGTTGTATCATACTTATATTTAGACATTTTCTTTACACCTTCAGTCGCATTCACTAGCGGAGATATGGCCTAGACAATACCCTCATCAATAGCATTTACTACTCCAATGCAAGTCGCAGAATAAACCCTAGTTCTTCTTCCCTTCATGAAAATGGTGTAATGCGATAAAGTTGATCTTCATTTTTAGCCCCATACTGCCACTTGCTGAGAGACATTCTACAACGAATGGGTTCGTGCGTAATTGAGCATCAAACCGGAAGACATACAGCACCAGGTATCGATTACTTAGGGGAACGGAGATTTGAACTTGGGTTATATGTAGCATGAACAATTACACCAGGTCTTATATATACAAAAGATGAATCTATGATAATTCATGCGTTTAGAATATATGGTAAAGTCAGAAACACATGGTATACCTGTTTAAATGATCTCTTCATAGCCAGATACCAGCCTCTTACCACTTCACGTGTGGCGGAAAACACAACGGTAAACCAGCTTCGGAAGCTCGCAACCTCAACCAGAAATGCAATCACCCATGCTGCAATGGAAAGGAAGAAACTGTGGGGTATAACATCCGCAAAGATAAGAGCCCAGAGCATGAGTCCAGCCGCATAAGGAATCAGTAGCAGTAAAAGCCAGCCAGCTGAGGTCTCAGATGCTTGGGGGAGCTGAGCCGGTTCCTCGATCCTCATTTGCTCTACTGTGGGCAGTGTCTGCTGATCGGCGAGGTCAGTCAAGTCTCTATTTTCTCGGAATGGAATCGCAATCGAAGTAGGTGAAGACTTACCGCAGTGTCAACCACTGACGGGGACTGATTTCCCGGGGATCGGTTGAAATGCCGACTTCCCGAGTCATGAGAAGTCGGCAGCAATTCTGTAGCATCTGGTGGATTCGTCTCGGGTGTTGTCAAAGGAGTTATGTCTTCAATATCTTGAGAAGATAGTTCATCATATGTAGTAGCAGCTGGAAATCATGTGTATCAGCGGAACAGTTCTCGTCTATCGATATTACATGATCGCTTCTGTTTCCCGGCCATTTGATCGATCGTGAAAGTGGGCCTACTTACTTGAATATGCCTCAGCAGCTGTTATCAACGGAAGAGCTAGAAGGAACAGAGGTACAAGCTGCCCAAAGTTCGGCTTGATGGCACCAAGTCTGAGACTGGCGTCATTGAAAAACTCCAGGAGATTCGCAGTTCCGAATGTGAAGTAGAATAACAACCACACAATTTCCCAGAGAAAACTAGACCTTAAATCTGCCAGTGTTTGATTGTGAGCCAAGGCTAGTCTTTCAAACTTGGCTACAGCTTCAGGCCCGAAGCAGGCTCGTAGAGAGCGACGCTGCCAGAAGTCTTTTTCTTCGCGGGCCAGCGGGCAATAGAGTTGTAGCAGCCTCTGGACGTAACCAGATATGAGGATGTATGTTAGTACCGATAAGTTGAAGACAATAATGATTTCGTCAGAGAAGAAGACATAATTGGGTCTTTCTCGATCAATCAGCTTAAAATGCTTTCTCGCACATTTGACCGAAACGTGTCGATTGAAACGAAAAGTAACAGAGTCTGAGATGGTCATGCAACCAATCATCATCGCCAGAAAGACAACCATAAGGATGGTGCGGAACATCCTTAACCGTTTATGTTTGTCAAAGTAAGCCCACAACACTGTGAGTGAGCAAAGATGTGTGATGCATGAGAAGTATCCGAGTCGAGTCGCAATTTGAAACGAGTACACTGAAAAGCCCTCGTCCAAGCCATGTACCCCCGCGAATATCAAAATCGTTGCCAACATGAGGGCCATGCCAGTAACTAGTTGCTGATCACTGAGCGATAGCATGAACGACTCGAAAGCTTTGATGCGTTGTTTTCTGTCGGCCGACGACGACCCTCTGGAATGAATGATATCGTCTATTGAGTTGTAACGTTTCTCAGGTAGCGCTTTTGTCGCGTATGCAACGATGATAGCAATCATGTTCATAACGATGGAAAAGCAAAAAGAAGAGACGATCTATCTGAGATTAGCATCATTCAAGGAGTCAACAATATCATCTAGAAGAACCTTACACCCCAGCCCGTTACGTCGGGATCAGGCACATTTTCCTCCATCATCCGTTCGCAATACCCTCCCTTGACCAGATAATCAGTTTCCATCTTGCTGAAAGACTTCCGCGTCGTCCTATGGATTGCATAAGCTCTTTTACACTTTATTGAAACTGTAGATCTCGTCGTACGGCAGTTTGAGAAAGACGAGGACAAAAGAGCCGCGAATCGGCAAGGAGACCAAGGACTGGGAACCGGCGGGTTTTAAAAATAAGCCTAGTTTGCAATAGGTTCTTCAAAACCAGGCGACCATTGCTAGGCTCCAGTGCCCCAAGCCTTGAGCCGCCAATACCTGCGGACCAATTGGGAGGGGCTAGACCTGACTGAAGACATAATATGGTGCGTAGGACGACTCTGCCAGAGCTGATGCCGGCAGCGAATGAAATCCATACGCTTATCTATCAGAGCTGAACAAGATCCACATCAAATACACATGGAGTCATTGTGGCTGAATCTATCGAGAACTTGCAGTTAATCGCGCGTTAAAATCGCGACGACTGCTTATCAGATGGGCTACCTCCGCCAACTGCGCTGTGGCTATGCGCTTGGGTGCTTGCTTTGTTGGTCACATTTTGACAGGCATTTAAGGCGCCTAAGACAAATGACGTGGAATGCAAGAAGAGTCCGCCTCACTTCTTGCGCCAGATTCGGTAAAAAAATAGAGGTTTTCCCAGCCGAAGAGGCTGATGCGGCGCATGCGTACCAAGCCTCGGTTAACTTTCAGCTCCCCTGCCTGCTCTCTCTCCATCACACGCACTTGATCGATGTCGCACACTCAGCTCAAGCATAATACCGATGATGTGTCATAACAGCTACCAAAGATCGTGACCAATCTGTTTCAGCCTGCGGGTTGCAGATATTGCTGAATGGTCTGCTACACAAGAATCAGCGGACTTAATTGATACCCAGTGGTATGGTTTATGTGTAGCCAACTCACGTTCGTCAGCACGACTTCGGCTGACTTTCCTATTTCCGTAATTCACATCACGATATTTTTTCGAAACAATTCAGCGTAGGTGAATGCTTGACCAGGAAAGATTAAACCCACCACGAATTAGGCCCCCCAAGGTTTTCGAACATCCTGAACGGTCTACCCGCTGAAGAGCATCTAGGTACATAACGTAAGCTCACCGGCCCCAAAGCAGCAATCTTAGTACAATTCAGTATGTAAAGCAGCTAGGTGAGGCTATAGAATTCTCCGGAAGACTCAATGACAGCACCCACGTTCTCTTGGTCCTTCTTGTAACTGCACATGGGATCAAGTGGCGTGACATAGAATGTAGGATAGAAATAGGGGGGCTGTATCGTTATTCTATCTACCCCGACACCAAGGTCAGTTAACTAAAGCCTTTATTCAAAACCTTACTTTACCCATCGATAGCCCAGCGGTGTATTATTTCAAAACCTCATTTACAATGATGACTCTCATACTTTTAGTAGCATCCAAGAAATGTAGATGAAACACATGCTTCTCCTATTGTCAAAGACCTAGTATAATGATAGCTCTGGGCGTAAGCTGACATTCAGTGCGACACACCCCCAATATGATTTTGTGACTCCAGCCTTCTTAAAACAGAACATCGCCATATTATTGGTGGCCTGCTCATTGTGACACAACTCTCTCTTCAATCTTTTAATGAGCGCCGGTCCCTGTTAATAATCCTAGACTTCTTCCCTCCTCTGTTCGCTCGATTTCAATCCATTTATCGAGGTAACAGGAGAGTTCTCGACAACTTGATGTTTCGCAATACTTGCTTGGAACAAAATGCAACACGACTCTAATATCAACTTTTTGTCTCCGTTGGCTTACAGGCCAGATGGGCAACCAGCATCTCCAAGTTCAAGTCGACGTACCTCGCTGGCATCCAACAGGGACTACCCCCTAGAGCCTGAAGCCCAACAATGTCTACCTGAGCCAGACGATGCTGCAACAGAGGATGTAGCATCTACGATAACCGGTCCACGCGTTTCGACCGATGGCACGACGAAGTACGACCGTGTTGCGGAAGACGACACTGATGGCGCCGTATCGAGGGTTGACTTGCCTAACAACAGGTTGGGCTTTTTCACTATCGTAACAGATTGCGCCGCTGTGGTTCTTCCCTTGGGTCTCATTGTCTTCATCGTCATTGTGTGGCGCCTTGACGGTTCCGAGAGTACTGAAAGCTCCCGCGGGGCCTGGCGAAACGCAATCACGATCGTAAGTACCAAACCCTTTTACCTGACCATGCTAAGTAAGTCAAACTCTGACAATAACGACCGAATGTAGCTTGCGACTGCCTTTCCGATCCTATTTGCGTCAGTTGTAGGTCGTCTTACATATGAAGCGGCTCGCTGGAAGCTAGAAACCGGCACGACCCTCGGTTCTCTCGAGCAGTTCCTAGGCAGCCGAACGGTCGGCGCCACCCTACTCAATCTGATCCAACTTCGATCATTCAATATCGTGGGTACTGCTTTGGTATTGATATGGGCCCTCTCACCTTTGGGCACTCAATCTATTTTGAGAATGATGTCCTCACAAATCGCCCCAGACAACATAAACACGACGATAACCTACTTCGACACCAACGCTGAGAGTCAAGCCATTCAGTGGGCGACTTGGGTGGGATTCTCGTACTCAACCTCAATGGCAAGCTTTCGGCCCATGTCGACATTGTATAACACCCTGATCTCAATGCCTGAAGGACTGAAAGCGGATCCTATGGATGTCTGGGGTAACGTCAAAATACCTTTCCTGAAGCGCTTAGACACAGATGATTGGGTGGACTTGGATCAAGATCTCGGCGTGAATGAGTATTCGTCTTTGGCCGGGATCCCTCTCAACAGCATCGAAGTTGGACACACTGTATTTTCACTGGAGTCCAGCTACATGAGCTTAGACTGCTCGGATGTTGAAACCCTCAAGATGGATCTAGGAGATGACGACCTACTGAAAGAAGAAGTATTCCGCGACGATTTATCAGCCTCTTCCCTGGCTGTCGACACTAGTGTCACACGAAACGCGAAGTTATCCAATGGTACTTGGCACGGATATGACTACACAAGAAACGCCACCGGGCTAGATTCGACTTGGATTCTGGCGCTTGACAGATTTATAGATCGGATATGGTCGATGGAACCTGCGGATTATCCAACAAAACCAGCCGTTGGCCCTCTGCATGGTCGCGTCGAGGACATGCACCGACCCATCTTGTTCAAAGAGGAGCAGCACATCGACGCTGGGCCAACGACTCTCCTATTCCAAAGCATATTCCCTCCGCAAGAATTCAATCCAGGATGTTCGGCAAAGAGCCTCTGCAGGGTATCTCAGGAGTACGCCGAGTCCCGCGTCAACTGTTCTCGCACGGCTCGGACCGACAGACACAACTGCACCGTGGTAGCCCAGCGGAAATCTCAGAAGAAAAATGCTCCTGGGGATATATCTCAGTTATCGTTCCCCGCCGTCTTCGATTTTGTCTCACGCGAGCTTCCGCTCTCCATCGGAGGCTCTACGGCATACAAGTCCGAGTTCTCGCTTTACCATCTCGCTGACCCAGGGCTGAAACAACTGAGGTCCGACGAATACTGCATCATAGAAAATGTCACAGCCAAAGATATGGGAATTCGACTTAGCCAGCTCCTCAATACCTACCTCCTAATCAGCCAGCTTTCGTTCGAGATCGCAGAGTGGGATGCGGATAAACCAACATTTAGGGCCAAGATCTCCGTCGATGCAGAAACAAGTACCCCTATTATCAACTTTGAGATCTCCTCATTATGGATTACGCTTTTCTTGGTCGCGAGCATCGTGCTTCTTGCAGCTGGCATCTCGAGCGTTGTCTTCAAACACTGCACATACGGGCCAGAGATCCTTGGGTACGCTTCTACTGCGTTGCGAGATTCGAGATATTTTGATGTGCCAAAAGACTATAGAGGGCTGGATGGAATTGATCTATCACGTAAGATGAAATCTGAGCGGCTTCGTTTTGGCTTGATACAAGATCTGAAGGAGGGACAATCACGAACGGGAGTTGGTCATCAAGAGAGTACGGATCGATTAGGAAAACAACAGAATCGTGACTGAATCTGTCAGGAGGTTTGAACCACATTCCATGTCTTAGATGCAAGGAACCAAGCCAAGTCAACCTCACATCGTCGAGACCCTTGACCCATGAATCATTAATGGAGGCGAAACGAGGCAACACAGATTTATACATGCACGATAGTTCGGGAGAAAGGTTGATGGGTTTAACGGTATTGTTCTTTAATTATTGATTAAATATGAGGACCTGTCTTGGGGTCCTACAAAGCTTTATGGTCTTTTCAACACGGTTCGAGGTTTTGCTTTCGAAGCTATCCCCCGAGTATCAGTACACGCAGAAACGAGGTGTCTCGATTCAAACCCCACTGAGCCCCTATCCTTCTGGACTACCACGTAACATAAAAAGATTGGCCACCGATTATAAAATGGCGGCTTTGAAGCTTGCGCGAACTGTCATGTAAGCGCGTAGGTGGAGGACTTGGCAATCGTTGATGTTTCTGTCGGTGATCAGAGTCCCACTAGATAGAGAAAGTGCCCGCAAACTTTAGTCAGTCGCGCGTTGTTCCCCTTCGATCAGAGAGAGATTGTTGCCAGGTCCGGTACTTGGTAAATCCTCAAAACTATCGATGAGAATTATTTTCGAGGTACCATTTCGTCGGCCCAAGCATCAACGAACAAGGCATAGTCCAGTTCTCGTGTGGGGGGTGTGATTTGTTCGAATGGGAGTGGGCGGCCTCGTAGCACTCAAGCTTCTCTGGAGCCATTATACTGCTTTGTTCTTGGATTCTTCTTGTCCGGGTACTTCTCCGTCTTCCACTGCTCCTGGTAGTTCGGCAATGGGCTCCACAGACCCTTCCTCCGGCGATCGCTTGCTGGCCTTCCACCTCTCCGACCGAGCCATTGCAAAGAGCCTCGTTGCGCCGTAGAGCTGGGTCGTGATCCATAGCGTGAAGATGACGGGAGTGACCACTCTCCACACATGACCCCATCGATCCCAAGACTTGTGCAAGAGGTATATCGTGACTGCGGTCTCCGAGACAGCACCAACAATAACCCACACGAAGCAGGCGGAGGTGAGGTAGGAGAGTAGTCGATGATCACGCCGCTTGATTCGCCAGATGATCATAGAAAGGTAGATGGGCAATTCTACTACGACATCGAAAGCGCCTAGATCAGATAGTCAGTCATTCAACGTTGCACTTCATCTAGATTCGGGCAGTTTGCTGTCAACATACCCCACACCATGCACATGTAGAACTCGATTGTTGCTTCTGGGTGGTGCTCGATGTTTCCAAACAGGGAGAGGGCGGTCTGCGTGATGGCCAAAAGTCCAATATGATGGGCGATACTGAGAGGACTCGCGAATTGTGTGCGATAACAGAGCTCGAAGACGTAGTAGGCGCTATATGTTTGCGCCACCGTAAACAACAGATCGCCTACTCTGATACGCCTTCCTGGTCCTGGCGACACGTCCGTTGTCAAGTCGGCAGACCCGATGAGGAAACGGAACACAGGGTAGACTCCGATGCAGAAGAGTGTGAGCATGATAATGGCACCAATATGGTAGTACGTAAAGGAGCGTCGTCTCTTTTCGTTCTCAGGGCGCTGTAGAACTGCATAGATCTCGCCATAGACTCTTTCCAGTAGCCATCGTTCGAGAATGTTGGCGATGAGTACAACGACGATGACGCTTGAGACGAGGAGGAGCGACCCATATGCCTGGAGGCCTGATAGTGGTCCATTCTGGATCGTCTCGATTTTCGGGAGTGACCTGGTAGCCAGGCTAGTTGTGAGGTCGGCCATGATGTTTAGCCTGTATGTACGAAAACACCTATATTGAAGGCGACACGCAAAGAGATGGAAGGAGAGACAAGTCAAGGGAAGTTTCTGACGTCAAGGACCGGGGTATATGGCAAAGTTGCATGCTCAGAGGAAGAAGAGAAAATAGAGTGTCGAGTGGCTTGTGGCGGCCCTCAAAATGGCGTCGAGGGTGGCTTTTTGTCGACCTTGATAGAGTGACGATGGCTTCAATCTATCCAGGTTATGACACAGTCAAGGTTGGAGAAGGTGGCAGTATTAAAACAACAGAAACAATGAACAGTAAACATCAAGTGAACAGGGAAGATGGAAACCGGAGAACGATTCCAAGAAAAAGAAATACGACTCTGGAGCCTGAATTTGACCGTAGCAAGAGCTGCGCCAGCACACTAAAGAGGGAACGAAATGAGCGCCTCCTTTGTTTAGGGCGAACGGCTGTGCTCACCGTTTTGATGGCTCCATGTCGAGGCCGTGGTGTCCATGTCATGTTCGCCCGACCAGATGAGTGTTAGTCGTGGCCGCGGGACCCGTGCTGCGAAGGAGAAAAAGCGACCCTCTCGGGCCCTGGAGCTTCGGGCGCCGGCAGTCTTCAGACACTTTGCCAAAGTCTAGAGGCCACCGACATGTGTCGCCCCAGCCCTAGCTCCTTGCACCACGTCTGACTACGCGACAGAATTCTGTGAACCAAGTATCCCTGGAGACGTCCACGGCCCAATCAGAAGCCCCGTAAAGTTGCCGTCCAACCCGATCGGGCGTGGAACGCTTTGGTTTGGTTCGCGTTACAAATATGGAACAAAGGCATGAGCATGCGGGGTGTTTCTCTCCAAGGGAATACGGCACCACGGGCATGCCGCTGCAGCCATGGTCGATCTGGGATGAATTCGGTCTTCGGCACCCGGCACCTAGGCTTTTAGGCGAGCGAATTCTGGGTTAGAGGGAAACTAAATCACCGAGTAAGCGTCCTTCCTACTGACAGATCGTCAGGGGCTTGAAATAGACACATGGGGATTTGAATTGTGTTCGAAGAAAGCTATCATGGTGCGGTCCCTTGCGGCTAGCTCAATGCCAAGACATTGAAAAGCGCCTGGTTTGTCGCCTTGTGCGGGCTGTCCCGACATCTTGCTGAAAGACGCGATGCCAAGGATTCTAGAGTTCATGGTAACCTGCTGTCAGGGCGATCAGGGCGATCATCCAGCGTGGGGAACACGGGCGGGCACAGCCCCCGGACGGTAATCTCAAATTATGGACACGAGACGGCGTGGGGATTGCGCTGTTTTGTGTTGCTGGCCTTGAATCGCTTCGTCAAAGGCATCGGCTCTGGATCCCTCGAGTCTTGGACCAAGTTGGACAGGTCAGGCAGAACTTGCTGCATTAGCCTGACGGGAAATCGGCTCGCTTAGGGCACATCTTATGATCTCGCAACCCGAAGAACGGCGACGTTGAGTAGGTAAACATCGGATGCGCGGCGCTGATTCTGGTGCTGATTCATAGACTCATGGATGAATGGCGCGAGAATGGACGGACCTTTTGTGAACCTAAGCAAATAATCGCCGGGCGTTGGAGAATTCGGCCAAAGCTGAGGCCAGTGGGAGCAGGACGCTGACTGTGCAGCAGGATGATTAGGTAAGGTCAGATTCCATGCCTTCCATATCACGTGCCAAGCTTACCTAATCTGAGAGAGAATATCACGTGACTATACACCACCCTCAGTGCCCGAGGAACTTCCGACGTTTGTAGTCCGTGCACCCCCCAATCGCGCCAGGGAGGTCCGTCGGAGAATCTGCGGCACCGTCGGGAGTTGACATCATCCCAACTGCCATCATGAGTTTGACCTCGTTCAACACACCCTCAAATTGAATAAAAACGGCTAAAGTCATGGCGGAGACTCTGCTGGGACTGGAGGTTGCCTTCTATCTCTATCCCTGCGGTCTCTTTGTCACTCTACTGGCGGCGCAGTCCTATCAATTCTACCGGGACCGCCATGGCGTCACGCGTCAGACCGCGACAGACGATGAGCAGAAGAAAGCTTCGCGACTGTACGCGCGGATAATCTGGGGCTTTCAGCTCATACTCTCTCTCTTACTCGTGAGTCTGGGAAACACTTCTACAGGTCCTGAGTTGTCCTCAAAGCTCACACTTTATTTTTTTCTAGCTTGCCACCATCATCCTTGCCGTCCACGGCGCTATTGCTGGCCAATACGATGGGGCTGGCAAAGTCGTGTTCCCGTTCAGTGCTTATTTGGTGAGTGGGGTCTTTAGTACCACCCCAATGAAGAACGCTGGTGTTGACACTTCCATAGGCATCCTATGTTGCCGTCTTATTGTACTATCTAGCTGGCCTACTTCCTGACCCTGAAGGCCCTTGGACGCCAACATCGGCGCATTTCTATGCATGGATTGTAGGTGCGCTCTTTGAGGCCTTCATCGCTGCTGTCTTTTCTTCTGAGAAGAACTCATTCCGCGTCCACAATGGTCTTCTCGATATTCTAGATATCGTGGCCGCTGTTCGAATCGTTGTGCTGGTAGCGATGATGGTATGTCTCATTCTGAGAGACTACAAGCTGAAGCCCCTGCAACCCAAGTCGGACCCCGAAGAGAGACAGTCCCTTCTTGGGAACGGAAATGGAAACGGAAACGGAGCGTCTCACAACTACGGCGGCGCCCACCCCCACGGACCTGCTGCTCACAAGCCTCCTGCCAGAACCCAGGTCTCGGGTACGGGATGGCTTGACTACTTTGCTGGGTTCAGGGTTCTTTTCCCATATCTATGGTAGAGTAACCCTACTTTCAACCGCTTTGCGGACTTTGCTAACTTGCCGCGCGCCAGGCCTAAAGACTCTCCGGTATACCAAGGAATTGTGGTCGTTTGCATCATACTCCTGGTCGGTCAGCGGACTATCAACGTTTTGGCGCCCATTCAGCTCGGAACCCTTGTCGACTCGCTCGGCTATGGCATCATTCCTTACAAACAAATTGTTCTCTATGTCGTCTACCGTGCTCTCCAAGGCAACCAGGGCATTCTCGGAGCTGCGAGGTCTGTCCTCTGGATCCCGGTCTCTCAGTCACTCTTCCGCAGACTCTCCTGCGCTGCTTTCGAACACGTGTTGGGGCTTTCTCTGGAGTTCCATCTGAACAAAAAGATTGGAGAGGTGACCAGTGCCCTGAGCCGCGGTTCTGCGATGAACACTTTCCTGGAGAACTTTTGCTTCCAAGTGTTCCCCATGGTGTTCGATATCTTTGTCGCTGGTGTTGTCTTCTTTGCCAAGTATGACGCCTTCTACACTATTATTGTGCTCTTCATCATGTGGTCGTACATCTTCCTGACCATCTATGTGGCCAAATATCGCGGCAAGCAAAGAAGAGACATGGCCACCAAGAATCGTGAGATGGAAGCTACCAAGACTGACGCCATCATGGCGTACGAGACTGTGCAACACAATTGCGCAGTTGTGCCCGAAACTGAGAGATTCAAGGAACATGTTGTAGTGTACCAACGCGCGGAGCGGCTGGTGCAGTGGTCCCTCAACTTTCTTAATCTTACACAGAGCTCCATTTTCTCCCTTGGCACTGCTCTGCTTGTAGCAGTCTCTGCCTACAAGATTTCACGGGGCGAGCAGAGTGTTGGTGATTTCGTCAGCTTGATCAACTACTTTGTACAACTGCAGGGTCCACTAAACTTCTTCGGAACTTACTACACCATGCTGCAAAACAATCTTATTGAGGCAGAGCGAATGCTTGAGCTGGTGGGTCCTTGTTCATTTCAATACACCACCTCTGGAACGCTAACCTTGTTTCTCTAGTTCAAAGAAACGTCCGGCATTGTGGAGAAGCCCGACGCCGTCACCCTACCCGCCGTCAAGGGAGAGGTTGCATTCAATAATGTCAAATTCTCTTACCAGAGCAAAAAGGGCGAACCCGCGATCAACGGTGTCAGCTTCACTGTTGCCCCGGGCACCAAGACCGCCATTGTTGGAGAGTCTGGCAGCGGCAAGTCAACCTGCCTCAAGCTTCTTTTCCGCTTCTACGATATCAATGAAGGATCAATCACTGTCGACGGCCACGACTTGAAGGATCTGAAGCTCGACAGCCTACGGAAGAACATTGGCGTTGTGCCTCAGGACACTGTACTTTTCAATGCGACCATCATGTACAACCTGCTCTACGCCGACCGGAATGCCTCTCAAGCCGACGTATACGAGGCATGCAAGGCTGCCAATATCCACGATCGCATTCTCGCATTCCCCGATGGATACGACACCAAGGTCGGAGAACGCGGACTCAAACTCTCCGGAGGTGAGCGACAGAGAATCGCCATCGCGAGAGCGATTCTGAAGGACGCCCGCATCTTGTTGCTTGACGAAGCCACGGCATCTCTGGACTCGCACACCGAGAGGCAGATCCAAGACGCCCTGGAGCGTGTCACTGCGGGTCGTACGACGATCACCATCGCCCACCGGCTCTCCACCATTACCACATCCGATCAGATCGTGGTGCTCCACAAGGGAAATGTTGTTGAGCGTGGCACGCACGCCGAGCTGTTGGCGCTCGGAGGCCGATACCATGCCATGTGGGAGAAACAGACCACCACCGAGAAGAAGAATATTGAAAAGGTGGAGAAGGAAGGAGAGTCTTCGGAAACTGCATCCCAGCAGTAAGGAAAGCCGAACATGGATTTCGTTTGTTCTACGGCGACCGAAGTTACCGAGAGGCTGATGAGCTAGATGTGCGACTAGGTGTATAGATAGGTGGATGTAACAACACGGACCCAATTTGGAGACTAATCTATGTTTACTGCTATCTTTGACGGTGAAGTCGTTCTTAGATCTTGGCGTCATTCATCAAAGACCCAGCAGTGTGGGTTACCGCGGGAAGCACTTACACGGCAATGTCCACTTGATGATTGTTGATTGGCTCCTTCGCGATTGCCCAAAAAGGGAACGACGGAGCCGGCCCTAATTGCATTCAGGCGACTCGATTCATGCCTTGAAGTCCACTTTATATAGGCAGCCGTTTAAGAGTTGAACACGAAACTTTAAACCGATTAGGCCGGATTAAGTACGTGTCAAGCAGACTTGGTGACATTCGTAGCGCTTTTCAACAAACAGAAGTCCGCCCTGGTTATGACGGGTGCCTAGGATAGTCTGTCTCGTCCCATGATTTTGTTTCTAAACCATAACAGCGCCCCCCGTCTTTGTTTTAGTCCGTCACTAGTAATATCCCCGCAGCAACGGATTCCTCGCTGTCTTCCGTTATCTAACCAGGACTCGCGCCTGCTGCAAGAAAGGTTAGCAGCTCTTCGTGAGCTGATGGTTCTTTTTACTCCTTGTTAATCACTCTTCAAGTCGTTGTCATAACAAGAATCGTAGAACCCCGCATCTTGATATGCTGTATGCATCTTTGCCAATGCTTAAGCGCCAGAAACTCCGGATAAGGGAGAGTACAGCAGCTAGAGTGATTACAAGACAATTGGCAAAGCTCGGTTTATATAATAGCTAGAAGGCTGACTGTGTGTGAACAGTCCAACTTTTTACTACACTGTCAACTCTAGGCGCGACTCAAAAGGGTAGCTAGCTTATGCGGAGTATGGTGCTTCTGTTACGGGTTACATTCCGACAACGACCGCTCCAGGACCTGACAGAGTCAGTGAACCAATGCACAACTTACTTACTTGATGCAAGTGATTTTGACTTGAAAAGGCAAAGGTATGACCTTGTGGTCCATTTTAAAGGTTAGCCGGTCGCTTTTTTGACTATGTAAAGGCGCATGGTGAGCCAGCTCCCCGTAAGGTAGGAGAGTTATGGCGTGTGTAACACCAGACCAAGATACCTCTTCTATCTCCATTTCTTGGTATAGAAGTTCGATTGGAACTAGTAGAGAACTCATCAACAGACGCTTGTTGGAACTTCGGGTCCCTCTAAACTTTCTTTTTTCAAAATCCAACATGCCACTTTGCCTCTTGTCAGACTACCACCTGAAGCATTTGGTGAGTCCTGACCAGAGCGAGAGGTCAGCTGGCGGTGGATAGAATCTACAATGTCACTGTTTAGCAATGGCGAGTTCCGTATTTTCCACCCTTGATGGCTCTAGCCCCGAATACATTAAACCATCGTCACTCTACTGCTGCGGGCATGCAAACAGGACTAGTACAACAGTGTCTCAACACCGCAATATTACTTGAACACTCTTTCAATGGCGTCCACAAGCCCTATTGCTGCAAAGTCTCTCCACATATAAGCAGACTTCGCAACAAATAGCGGCATGGCAAGCAACCTTGTGAGCAGTGTCTCCCGTTCAAATTGTTGTGAACTTTGCTGAATGTTTTGTAAACTATCCTGGAGATCAGCTTGCGCCAAGAGCTCAGCAAAGGCTATCCCCATTTTCAATGAGGAGAAGATGTGTATGGGGAAATGCCAGAGGAGGCATACCCTAGCAGCCTCACTATTGACATCCTGCCCCTTACGCGTTAGTGAATGACGAAGCCAGCGGGAGGCACTGCCCAACAGTCTCACAAACAAGCATCCTCCCAACTGGCAACCCCCATTTCAGGTTCGGAGTGGATCTCAAAGCTCGCATTCTCTATATGTAGAAACGATCAGAGCCACCCACGACAAAACACGTCAGCACAGCTCCGGTAAATATCATGTGAATCATACGTTCAGTTCAAATCGATGACCGTTGATTTTAAGGGGGGCTAGGAGAACAACTAGTCATCGACGATCGGCTGAAAACGAGGCGCCTTTGCCCACGGGTGCTAAGAACTCGCAGGCACGGACCAGGATGCTGCTAGCTCGTCGGACTACGTGTATGACAGTGATTAGGGCCTTCCATTGCCGGTTCGATGGTCGATCAGGGAACACATCCACTTGTTCTTTTCATGCAACGAACATCCCTCGACTCACCAGCTTCATCATCCTCTGCCGTTGAATGCCCCACAGATCAGCTGCAGGAGATCGAGAAAGAAACGTTAGATGGGCTGGGCTAGTCAAGCAGCTTTCCAGCTCGCGCACGGTCTTGCGGAGACCTAGGCTGTTCTAGAATTCAGATGAACCAGAATGCTTTTGGCCATACTGTGTAACTCTTGCCCACCTGCTTCATGGCGACTTGGGCATTGAGATTTGGAAGTTGAAGAAGACTCTTATTTCTGATTTAATATTTCAATTAAAATCTCATAGTGAGCTTCTAAGACAAGTCCAGTCTGCAAGAGTTGTTGCGTTGATCTTTTTGAGAACTTCCCATTTAGAAGCTTTGGGCTGAAAGTGTCGTTACTTAAATCATGCAAACCGGGCTCTCCTACAGCCACACAGACAGTGCTAAGATGCCTTGATCAATGCCATACACGCCGAGACGTGTGAACCTTCTCACCTCGGCAAAAGCCTTACAGCAAGTTCCCTGCAACAATGAACTCAACAGCACAAACTACGTCACATCTGAAACCGACGCACACGCGGAGCTTGTGGTCCTTTTGGCGGGTGAAATATCAAGGCGGACGCTGCGCGTCCACAGCTGAGAGAGAAGCTGGGGAGGGAGGAGAATTAAAGACCGGGAGGTTTAAAACCACACATGCGCGTTCGGTCCGCTTCCTTCGAACGTGGGCTCCTTCAATTAAACGCCTTTCCTTTTGCCAAACCACAATCGTCGCCGTCATCAATCCCCGAGTCGACATGTTGTACCAAAGCATCTCACATGCTATTGCATTATACAAGCTTGAGCAGTCTACGAAGCAATGCAAAGAGATATACACGGGCAAGCCTAAGCCGGAAAAGGTCACCTTGTTCTGGCACTTGATAACCCTATCGCGGTTCAACAAGTACAACCCTCTTTTCACTACTTTTGCTGGAGGTATGTCTTTTTGTTCTACCAGAGTCTGGTTTCGCAACGCTCACAGTGGTACAGTCTGGTCGGTTTTGTTGGCTGGTGCTTCCGAGCTCGTCGATCCCAATAGCAATATTCAGCCTGCTTTCGTCTTCAGACAGGCCGCACTATGTTTCATCGCTGCGTACCTGTTTTGTGGCGCCGGTATGGTTTGGAATGACTGGGTGGACCGGGATATCGATGCCAAGGTCACTCGAACTAAGAACCGTCCTCTGGCCGCGGGCATCGTGACCACCACGGATGCGATGCTCTGGATGGTGCTCCAGCTGCTCGTGTCTTTGTCCATTGTCCACAATATGCTCAATGGAAAGGATGTGTATGGCCACCCGTTTTCCTCCTCCCAGAGGTCACATGACAAGTATTCTAACATTCGTCATCAGATTCCAACACATGTTCCCAGTCATCTTGGCTTCGGCTCTATACCCGTATGGCAAACGGCCTATGGCTTTGAAGCTTCGCATATACCCGCAATACATCTTGGGGTTCACGATTGCATGGCCCGCAGTTCTGGGTCGATCCGCGATCCACGGTCGGTACGAGTCGATTGGCGACAGCATCGGTTATTGTTTGCCGCTTTGTTTCATGGTGTTCTTCTGGATCATCTACCTCAACACGGCCTACAGCTACCAAGACATTGTCGATGACCAGAAAATCGACGTCAACTCATTCTACACTGTTGGAGGGCGTCACTTCCATCGGTTCCTTCTTGTTCTGGTCAGCCCAATCGTCATGTGCATGCCTCTGTACCTTCTAAGGTTCGGGTCTCTATGGCTCTGGTTCAGTTGGATGGGAATATGGACTGCCTCCTTCGCAGCACAGCTGGCGCACTTCGACGCGGATAAACCATCGAGTGGAGGAGGTATACATAAGAGCAACTTCGTTCTTGGAGTGTGGACTATTGCTGCTTGTGCAGTTCAGGTCCTTTTGAGCGAGCAGCGGTCTGTGAGATTTTGAAATGATACCACGGGAGAAAAAGGTTAGGCAAGAGCGTTCAAGGCTTCGCTAGTGAGGAAGTCTGAAGTCTGGAGGTCGAACGGCGAAGTGTTTTCCACTTAAGCATTGAATTTCATGCGATTTCTGTTTTACAATGCTGATTTGTCTGGAAGTTTGGGTAATGTGCACTCACATCAGAGACCGAGTGATACCCATCAATGTTGCTGAGCTTGTCGAGGGACAATGAGGAACTCATTTCATTGGATGTCTTTACAACGGCGCCAAGTACCATTCATGGGATGCAACAATTTAACATTGTATATGATCTGCATGAGCCATGTCATCTCAGATGTCGCGTAGTGTGACTCAACTTTATATAGAGTCTGCCGAATCTCCAGAAGAAATCCCGCGTGGATTTGTTGATACATGAAGCTCATGTTTGAGCATATGTGATGTTGGTCATCAAAGCCCTCAGAACTCGTACCCATAGCCTCCTCCAATGCGACCTGTGAGCCCGAACAGATCGGCGACCCATCCCAGAAATCCCACAACCCAGCCTAGAAATCCAAAGATCAGAAGATCCGGCGTGCCAAAGATGCGTTCTTTGAACTTCAATCCGGGGACCTTCTGCTCCAACGTTCTCGGCTCGTCCAGATAGTAGTTGAAGCGCGTCCCCATCAGCTTGAACGTGGAGTTGAGAAAGAAGCTGGCAGTGTAATAAGTGAGCGATCCAATAGCATCGAATCGGATCTCGCCATAGACTCCGCGCTGCCGAAAGTAGTTCACGATCCGTCGCAAAAGGCCGTACATCTCGTCGGGGGTGAGGTACGGCGTTAACCCCTCGAAAAGGATCAGCACCGGTCGATCGGTGGGGATCTTACAGTTGCTGAGCCACGCGTCGTCGTGAATGTTCGGATCGATCAATCGGTATTCGCCCTTGCCAGTATCCGGATCCTTCATAACCTGCCGTCGAAGCTCAATTACATCATGCCTATCGGCGTCGATCCACAAGCGACCCTCGCCCTGCCATTTGACCCGAAGACTACGCGAGTCCATGCCGCACGCCAGGTGTAACACGGTGGCCGGGCCTGGATTCCTCCTCAGAAACTTCTCGGTGCAAATGTCGAGCATGCGAGCGCGCATCGAGACGGAGCTCGCAAACATGACGGTGGTGGGGCCGCCGGCCGTTGTGCGCTTGAAGTCGTAACCCTGGTCCTTGATCTGGGAGACGATATCGAGGGCATATTGATCATTCAGAATCGGACGCGAAGACTCAGCATCTTTGGCGCGGGCAAAGAGCGTCAGTAGGAGGGTCTCTTGGGCACCGCTGAGGGTCACTTTGCCCTTTCCGAGTCCACCGGATGAAGCTGATGAAGGCATCGTATGTCTTGCTATCCAGTTTGCTCTCGAGTAGATGGATGAGCTTCGGTGATGCAAGAGAAAGCAGCCCGCGAGCTGCCTTGGTTTTGAGAAACTCTCTTTGCCATAGATAGTCCTGCTGTTGTGCCTCGGTACATGCTGATAGCCAAGCTAAGCAGCTGCTAGGAACTTGCTGGTTGAGCCGTGCATCGCGCATTCGGAAAGGCGTTCTGTCGGCTGTGAAACTTTGCGCGACTCGCTTCATCTGATATTTTCTTCCCAGTCCACTGCAGGCACTGTTGGCCGTTTACTCGCATGAGATACGTCATCGGATTGAACGTGTGGCTAAGTACGAAAGGAATGATAATCCTCGGGTTCGCCATCGTATTACCCAAAGTCCACAGTATCGAACGTCGTGCAGGGCTCAGATAATTCGGAGACACAAGGTAATAATGGAGGTCATGGTGTAGTTCGAATATTCCCGGGGATGGAATGTTCGGCCGAAAGACTGCATTAGATGGCCGTCAGTAGATGTTAGAGGTGTAGAAATTCCAAGTAAATTCTATAAAGGTTTTGTCTCAGCTGTACGCACTTAGCTTCCAATTGAGTCAACCAGTGTTGACGAGTGATGCCCTTTGAAGGATCAGGAACAGAGGCCTGGTGGGGCCCAGAGCTTGAAATGTGGATGAGAAGGCCGGAGTAACACAGCGACATTTCACTCAGTTCGTACGGTCAACTGATAGTCGGACTCAGGAGTCAACGAGAATCCGAATATTCATCTGATGAAGCTGCCTGGTTCTTTTAGCGTATGTGCATTGTCAAGCTGGCTTAGCAGGTAACTTAGGATAGCTGGGGATGGTAGCCGCGCGGGTCAACGTGTGTGCGTAAGAATCCAGAAGAGAGAGCGTCTTTCAAGACAACGAAAAGAGGGATGCTCGGTCGGTATATGCTGTCCGCATACGCTCGTTTTCCGTGTAGTCAGCGGCATCGGGGTGCTCCCCGCTGACCGTCTAGCCCTCCCCGCATGATGAATATCCACCAAAGTTGACAGGTCGAACTTCTGGTCTGAGCGCGATCCATTAACCAGAGTCCCGCTAACACGGAGTTATCAACTGAATCTTCCACTGTACTGCTGCGCCGCTCAAGGCAAGGGGATCCTACGGATACCGTGACTGATCCACAGAGTACTCAGTCACTCTCATCGCGTCATCACGTTTAAAAATACTGGTTTTGCGAGCGATTCAGCGTCTTTCCGGCATCCCACATGGCGTGTAACATCAGCGCAAATTGAATTGGATGTCAGGCAGAGTCATGACAGCGGGAGATTTTCTGCATTCAGGAACTCTGAGGACGGAATGTGACACCAAATATGGACGGCAGTCTTCCGCGGGGACATCGAAAGTGATTTTACCGTACAGCGTTGCATCGAGAGGATCCAAACCCCGCCTGATCAGGTTTTAATCTGACATATCCAACCACAAGGCAGACTTGGCGTTTGAAGAAGATGGAGGTGCAAAAATTGTCGCTAAGAGACCAAATGTCATAATACTCCCTACGCTCGCTGGTTCGAAACTTAGGAGAGAAAGAGAAAGGGAAGCCCTGGGCTGTGAGATAATCCATCCGGCTCAAAGCTTGAAACAGCAAGTCATGGCAAAATTTGAAATATAAGGACGGTCTAGGGAGACCATAACTCAGTAATGTTTTACCGTCTGACTGCCGTGCTCCACGCGAAGCAGACAATTCTGATCCACATCACTAGCACTTGCGATTACATCCCACGATAAGCAGCCTTTATGACTCGTGAAAGACTCCCCTTTCACTCTGGACCTTGTCAATTCCCACACACACTCACAATGAATAGCATAACGTGACAACGATCGAGTTCTGTTCCTGGAAGACATTGCAGCACTCGCCATTCGCTACCCTGGCTGCTGTCCGAGCGCAAGCCACCCACTGAGTCCAATCAGGAAACCGGTCTGCATCGGCAAGGACGACGGGAGTGTAATGGATGGGAGCAGAGGATGCTTTTATCCCAGACTCACCCCGCCACTCTTGTCTTTGTCCCCAGCGAGATGGTCCGTCCTCGACTCGGACCCGAGTTCGTCGACTATTTCGACACGATCAGCCATGGAAGACCTCTTTCGTGTCTTGTCTAGCCGCCAAGAGGATGGCAGCCCATCGATATCGGATTTTAACACGGCCCAACAGAGGGCGTTCGGAGTCAATGGGTCATTGATCATCGTCATAGTCTTTGTCATGGGTGTCAGGTTATACACGAGGTTCTCCATCACGAAGTCTATCGGGGCTGACGACTGTACGTGCCATTGGAATAGCTTCTTAGTCGGGGCGTTCTTGCTGACCAACACAATTCTATAGTTATGATGATTGCCGGAACCGTGGGTATCAAACTTATTCTTTTCAATGCATCGAACTTTATTTGACAAGTGCGATATAGATCGCCACAATCCTGCAGTCTGTTTGTGTCATGAATTCCGTGAGACATGGCCTAGGGAGAATCAGTGAGCTAGACAATACAAGGCCTAGATCTCTCTTGCTAACTAGAGACAGGAGCTGAAATACCGTCGAACGAGTGGGAGCCAATGTTACTGGTATGTTTGTTTTCTGAGTCTCCCCGAGAATTTCCAAACCTCAACGAGGACTCACTGACCCCGCTCCCCTGCGCAAAGTCGCTCTATATCTCCCGATTATTCTTCGCCGTCGGCAACGTGCTCGTCAAAGTCGGTCTTCTGTTATTCTATCTACGCCTCGATAACCGACCAAAGATGCGATGGACGGTGTATGGACTCATGGCAGCAGTGATCGGATTGGGAATATGCCACTTCGTCATGTCCGCCATTGAATGCACTCCTGCCTCGGTATACTGGACATCCAAGGGGAGTCACGAAATTTATGCAGAGTACTGTATGCCGGCTGCGGTGCAACAGGCATTCTGGGACGCTGCTGGGGTGATTGTCATTGTCACAGACATTTGTCTTTGGATCTGCCCGATTCCCATGATTTGGGGCTTGCAATTACCGCAGGTACCATCACCGTGGACATACCTCGAAAGTTCCTCGCATTTGCTGACATGGAATGGTAGCGGCAAAAGTGGGCGGTATCGGCAGTGTTTGCGCTGGGAGTGGTTTGCGTTGCAGGTAAGTCGAAATCCGATGATACTGTTGTCCAATTGACGGATTGAGCTCTGAAAAAGTCAAGCAACTGACCGGTGTTTACAGCTGGCTGCGTGCGCTTCTACTACGTCCGACAATTGGCAAACGAACCCGAGATATACCGGCAGTTCGCTAGCTCACTCATTTGGTACGCCGTTGAGCTCTACGTCGCCATCTTCTGCGGCTGCTCCTCTGCACTCAAGGCGTTCTTCAAGACGTTCTTTCCAGCACTGTTGGGCTTCTCTTCATGCAAAACAAAGTATCCGCTGGGGAGCAATGGCAAGGAAGGACAGGGGAATGGAACGCGATCTTCGTATCCTCTACAGAGTCTGCCGAGCCGACATACCGGATACAAAGCTACCATCACATCAGGCGGGAGAGGGAGGGGAGACGAGACGAATATGGGGAATGTATCGAGAAACGACAGTGAAGAGGCTATCATACACGGGGTTTCAGAGGGCTGGGATGCTCCTAAGGGGTCGGAAGTGCAGCAGAAGATCCGTAGAGCTTCTACTGATTCGAACACGAAGTAATGAAGTACTGATGCATGGTTGCAGGAGGCAGAGCGCCAAAGCTGCGCTGTGGGGCATCTTTATGCGACATAATGTTAGTATCTACTCTTTATACATGCATGAATGACCCAATTCCCTCATCGATTTCTAAAGACCCAAGCTGCTCTGACCAACGTATCTGCATGTGACTTTGCAGTCACATAAAGAGCGGGATCTCGAGCGCTTTGAGACGTGATCGGAAACCCAATCCCGGGTTCCTCCAGCCCCCGAGTCCCACTCCGCTCCCGAAACTCCGCCGGTTCAATCTCCGCACTCAAACCTCGACGGCTTCCTGTGAGGTTGAATCTCATGCCGCGAGGCCCGCGAGTGCTAGCGCCAACTCTAGAAAGCACAGGCGCCGGCGACGCGCCGCTTGGATTTGTAACATTGTCCCCACAGCTGCATGTCGTGGTTGGCGGAGTTGAATTGAGTTTCCCAGGGGGTGCAGTCGACACTCGATAGACCTCGCGTGTAAGTCGCCAGCTTCGTCGGGTTCGGGATGAGAATGCGAAAGTTACGATAACGACGGCGGACGAGGAGGAGAACCATTTGGAAACATCGGTCTAATGATATTCATGACGAGATACATAAATATCCGACTTCAACCTCATGAATGTCTTTTGGATCCGAAAGTAGACCAAGTCCCCGATCCTCACCCTTGATCCCTCATTTACAACTAAGAAACGAACTCTATAAAACACCCAGAATGTCTAGATACGCCGAAGCCTTCCAGACCCCCAAGGGACCAGGCGACGCTCGCCCAACAGCCCTCCAAATCGTCCAAGATGAAGGCCTCATTGGCAAACTCACCGGCAAGACCATCCTCGTCACCGGCGCAAACCAGGGCATCGGCCTCGAAACCGCTCGCGCGCTCTATCAAACCGGCGCCACCGTCTACCTCGGCGTCCGCAGCCGCGAAAAGGGCGAGAAGGCAATCGCAGATATCACCGCCTCCACCAAGAGCGAGACGCCCGGGTCTCTAGACTTCGTGGAAATGTCCCTCGACGACCTCTCCTCGGTCCGCAAAGGCGCCCAGGACTTCCTGTTCAAGAGCGACGGCAAGCTCAACATCCTCGTCAACAACGCAGGCATCATGGCCCAGACAAAGACTATAACTAAAGACGGCTTCGAATCGCAATTCGCCACGAACCACCTGGGCCACTTCCTCCTCTTCCAACTTCTGAAGCCCGCCCTCCTCGCGTCCGCGACGCCGGACTTTTCTTCCCGCGTCGTGGTCGTCTCGTCCATGGCCCACCGCGCCAGCGATATTCGCTTCGAGGATATCAACTTTGATGAGGAAGGATCGTATGAGCCGTACACGGCGTACGGTCAATCCAAGACGGCCAACATTTACTTCTCCAACGAGATTGAGCGGCGGTACGGGGCCTCGCGGAACTTGCACTCCACCTCACTCCACCCAGGCGCCATCCTGACGAGCATGGCTGCGTCGCAGAACGTCGACGTGGACGCGATCAAGGCCAGTATGGGAGAGGAGACGTTCAACAAGCTAATGAGCACGCTCAAGAACCCGGAGCAAGGGGCCGCTACCAGCGTCTACGCCGCCGTGAGCAAAGAGTGGGAGGGCAAGGGCGGGAAATACCTCAACGACTGCGCCGAGGCCGGACCTGGTGTCGGTGGCTTCACGCCTGCGACGACGGATCCTGGGTATGCTTCGTGGGCGTACGATGAGGAGAAAGCTGCGCGGTTGTGGAGGGAGTCGTGCAAGATGGTTGGAGTTGAGGATGATGCTTAGCGCTTTTTGTCCTGTGATGATGGGGTTGCCATGGGGTTAGCAGGGGTTATCCGAGTGAGATTTGAAGTCTGAGACCCTTTGTCTGGCTTCCTTCTTGTGGTCAGCGCTATGCATCTTTCGGTCGTCACCGTCAGAGAGGTATGCATGTCGTAAGCGGACGCCAATGCCCTGGATAAAGTAGAGACTACGTTAGCACTAGCTATTGGCGGAAATGCGATGGATTTAACCCAAATCTCACGTCGCGCGGGCTTTCAACCTGCCAAGTGCTTACATGTGGGCAACCGTGAGAATCGGCTAAGATGATCCCCGCATGAGCTTTGATGAACCGATGGGACAGCTTGGGTTAAACGTACATGCAGTTAGCCAGGGCAAGTTTCTTTGTCGCTGATAAAAGCTTCCGTCTGCCACCGGGGACTACAATTTTGTCTAGTGATAGATCTATAGTCAATAGGCTCATACAACAACAACCTCATCTACAGGTCCAAACGTGTCAAAATGGCGTCCGATTCTATGCCGCCAGACTTCTACGTCAAAGCCCTTCAATTCACAAAGAAGGTCTACAGAGATGAATACCCAGCCATCAAACCAGAGAACTCCGAGCTCTCCCTCGCCGGCAAGGTTGTCGTAATCACCGGCGCGAGCCGTGGTATCGGTGGTAGAGTAGGTTGTCTCTTCCTCTTGAGAACAAGCTTCGACTCACTAGCTTCTAGGGAATCGTGCCAGCATTTGCTAGAGCCGGAGCAAAGGCTATCGTTCTCGTGGCCCGGGACGAGAAGAAGCTCACCGCCGTCGCGGCAGAGGTCAAGGAGCTCAACGCCAATGTCGAAACGCTCGTCTACCCCGTCGACATGACAGACGAAGCGGGCATCAAGGCCCTCTTTGAGAAAGTGAACGCGACGTACGGCCACGCAGACGTCCTAGTCAACAACGCCGCCGTGCAGACCTCTCTCGAGCTCATCACAAACAGCGACCCAAAACTCTGGATAGACGACCTGGTATGTAGAAAGCCCGAATATTCCCTCCTGTCCCCGGATGATACAGGAGAAACATCCTCGCTAACTCGGGAAAAAAACACTAGACCACCAACGTCAAGGGAACCTTCTACCCAACCTTCCACTTCCTCAAATCCCTCCCCTCAACCAGCCACGGCCACATCATCAACATCACCACGATAACCCACTGGGTCGTGCCCACAATGAGCTCCTACATCATCGCCAAGCTCGCGACGCAGCAGCTCAACGCCCACGTCGCCGCCGAGCACCCGGACAACGTCACCACCGTCTCGGTGCACCCGGGAATGGTCCACACCGACATGACCATGGACCGGTTCCGCCCCTTTGCGCACGACACCCCCGCGCTCGTCGGCGGGACGGCCGTCTGGCTTTGTTCGGAGAAGGCGCAGTTCATGAACGGAAGGTTCGTCGCGACCAATTGGGATGTCGAGGAGTTGGTGGAGCGGAAGGGGGAGATTGAAGAGAAGAGGTTGTTGCAGGTCGATTTGAATGGGCAGTTTGGTGCGCAGCAGTTTGAGTAATAGAGAGGCTGATTTAGCACGAGAATGCTCGGCAACATTGGGTCAGATCAATGCACACCGACCAAGGTTAGAAAGTAATTCAAAAATGAACATGTGATTAGTCTAGATTCATAAGTATCCAGCTCTATGTCTATATCATGAGATCTACCCGAAAATCCCCAAATATTTTGCGCCATGCAATGCTCCAGGGTATACACTGACAATGATGGTACAAAAAACGAACTCTATATACCGAAACCGATTCCCAACACTTTTTACACAACTCGTAAACCATTTTAAGCCTCAGACCTTGGAGGCCACTTGACACGCCTTTCGGCGCGGACGTACAGGTTGTTCGGGCGAATGAGCTGGAACATGGGATCGTACTCGACGGGGCCCTCCTGCGCCAGGCTGAACTTGTAGCGGTAGATGAGCTTGGGGAGGAAGACCTTGACCTCCTGCAGGGCAAAGTTGAAGCCGATGCACATACGCGGGCCGGTGGCGAAGGGGATGTACGAGGCGTTGGGTCGGTTCTTGACCTTGTCCGAGTCCCAGCGGTCCGGGTCGAAGCGGGCCGGGTTGTCCCAGACGAGGTGGTTGTTGTGGATGTGGTGGATGGCGGGGATGCAGATGGAGTCCTTCGGCAGCTTGTAGCCGCCGGGGAGGATCATGTCCACCTTTGAGGTGCGGGCGGGCTGGTAGGAGGGGTTGTGGCGGCGCTGGGTCTCCTTGATGTACTTGTCGAGGAAGGTCAGCTTCTGGGTGAGGTCGGCGGTGATTTGGGTGTTTTCGTCAAAGCCGTTGTCGATGAGCTCCTGGAGGAGGCGCTCCTGCATGCCGGGGTAGGCGACGATGCCGTAGAGGAGCCAGGAGAGGAGGGAGGAAGTGGTGGTGAAGCCGGCACCGGTGGCGACGACGAGGGGCTCCATGATGCGCTCCTTAGGCAGCTTGTTGCCCTTGCTGTCGCTGGCGCGGAGGACGTAGTCGACCATGTTGTCGGCCTGAAGGGCGGCCTCCTGCAGTTCAAGGTTCTCTACACCCTTGGAGGCGTTGTTGATGGACTCGTTCATCATCTCGACGATACGGCCGCGGGCGTCGCGGAGGCGCTGGGGGTCGCCAAAGGGCAGGGAGGCGTACCAGCTACCCATGGAAGTGATCTTCTTGTTGAGCTCGAGAGACTGGGCAATGCGGATGACCATCTCGTGGGGCGGGGCGTCGACGGCGGTGAAGTGCTTAAAGTCCATGCCGAGGACGAGCTTGCCGACGGCTTGGGACCCAAGCTTGAGCATGTAGGGGTAGACATTCCAGGCCTCCTCCTTCTCGTCGAGCTCGTCAAAGACCTTGAAGGAGTCCTCAATGGTAGCCTGCATGGTCGGGGCGTAGTGACGGACGGCCTTGGGGCCGAAGGCGGGTGGGAGGAACTTGTGTACCTCCTTCCACTCGGGGGTATCCGTGTCGCCGAGGAAGACTCCGGACTCCTTGTTCTTGATAGGGTACAGCGGATGACCGGGGATAATGTTCTTTGTGAAGAAATCGCTCTCGGAGAAGAAGATGTTGGCGATGGCCGGGTCGTTGGTGTGGTAGATGACGGATCCCATGTTGGTGGTCTTGAAGATGGGGCCGTACTTCTCGAAAAGGCGCTGGTGGTTACCGAGATGGTCAGGGTAGACCTCGAAGTAGTTGCCGATGAAGGGCAGACCAGAAGGACCGGGAACTTCGCGGACGGGGTGGCCGTCAATGGTGATGGCAACGGGGCCCTCGGCGGCGAGAACATCGGCGACTGTTGTCAGAGCCTCATCTCCGGAGACGAAGCCAACGCCTTGTGGTTGTATTAGTTGACTATCAAGGAGCTGTGGTATGGCAGGATGTTGAGCTTACCCTTGTGATCGACGACGGCAAAGTGAGAGGCAGCGAGATGCTGAAGACCCTCCTCGTCTGTTGAGGCGGGAATCTCAAACTCTGTCGTAACTGACGGGTCTTCACCCAACAGGTGGAAGCGTTGTGATGACATTGTGTAGGATGTGATGTGTGGATGGAGTCGGAGGAGCGCACGAATCTGGAGACGTCCAAAGTAATTGTATTCAGGATGTATGAAGTAGTAATAGTAAAGTAGACAAGACAAGACTTCCAATCCTGAAAGCTGCTATGCTAGATGGAGGGGGATGCAGCCCGTTGACGATATATAAGAGAAAAAAAGAGATCGCAATCAAAACAGTACGTACCCATGGAACATCACAATATGGCGCAGCTTATCCAATCCGATCCCAGGCAATGTCGATTCTTTGGGTGGGAACACACAACAGACACACAGACCGAACAGCTGGCCCGATGAGTGACGACTGACGAGCGAAGGAGAAAAAAAAGTGGCCTGCCGAGGTTCATCTCAAGGTCCCCTTGACCCAAGGACCATGACTTCATGGGCGGCGCTCAAGTCCGAAAAAAACAAGCGGGCCGTGAGGGTGAGACGAATCCATTCGAGTGTCGGCTCCGTGGCCGGCGTGGAAGAGTGGAACACGGTGAAAACAAGCAACAGACTCGTAGGTTCCAGACTGCAAGTGCAGAGTCAAAAAAAGATGTGGGCGCGGACGGAGAAGAGCCGCGGTTCTGGCATGATGACAGCGGAAATCTGAACCATCGCGGAAGGAGGACGGACACAAGAGGAAAATCGGAGATTTGGAGCACGTTTGATGCGCCGCGATAGGGCTAAACAAGGGTGATCTGCGCTAGAGGCGTCCAGGTGCCGAGGCGAAAGAGCCAGGGGTGGATGCTTGGCTTTGAACTTTGGTGCATTGGATGATTTGATAAGCTCCAAAATGGTGTTTCTCGAAGGTCGGGAGTCGAAAGGGAGGCCACATTGACAGAGGGGAGACGAAAGGGAGAAGAGGAAAGCTGCAGAATTTTGCAGCACAAGGGGGGCAGAGTGGGGGTCCATCGTGGCTGACTCCAGGTACGTACCGAGGGTTTAAGTGGCTCCGTCGCCGTTTTGTCGTTGCTCAAGTCCCGAAGTCCGTGGCCTCGGCTCGTTTCGTGCCACCTACGTAATCATCCTCTGTTTTCATTGGACCACGCACCCACGAGCTTTGGTCATAAATGGCATGATGCATCCAATCATCGGCCGTCTTCTTCCGGATGCCGTCCGGTTGTGGGTCTCGTGTTATTTTCGTCAGTTCTGCCACTCGGCCCCTGAGACCGAACCGTTAGTTACCGTACCGCACCATCATGCTATGCCACTGATTTCATCGATAACAACCTTGAGGGTACGGATTTCCAGTGCAGGAACGAATCTCGCAGTTGCTACCTTAGTGTTAGTACGTCTAGACAGAGCCGCGGCTCGTCTCTTGGCCTTCTGGCAGTCTACAATGTAGTATCCCTATCCGTGTTTGTGATGGTGTTGGCTTTACACTTTCTTGTCCTAGTTCATCTCTATTTACTTTTAGGCTTGGCTGATTTACGATGACGATCGCACTTTTTTTTTCTGCCTCCCTCGTTCTCGCAAACCAACACTTCAAGAATTCTGCCCCTATAGCACGTAAGAATGCATCATATGGAGGCGCTGAGTAGCTGCAGGAATAATGGTAAAAAGGGAACCGACTCATGCATTTCTCTGGAAATCAAGGCATAAACGTCAATCAAGTCATCAACCCGCTCATCGTGTCGGGACCGCCGAGGTACATCGCCGTAAGTGGGCCCGGGTCCCGGCATCCAATCCCGTGTCTTCGCTTTGTCAGTCGCGCGCCCCACACGCCGACCGCCGGCCGAATCTTTCCAGATTCATCTCTTCTGCTCATTCCAAATGGATCCCAATCCTAGCTTCTAATGGTCCCAAGCTTTGGGAACGTTTTGGAGCTCCCGAACAGAAAGCTCCATAACTTCGTACCCTGGGCACCATCGACTTTATCGCGCAGAACAACGCGCGCAGGGTCCCCCGATGATGCCCACACTTTATCTCTGTGCCTCGGCATCTTTGCCCTTCGGACATTACCCTTGTTTCCTTTTGTTTTTTTTTTCGGTCTCATTCTCATCCAATGCAGTGAGGTGTATCTTCTGACGAGTGACGACGATTCTGGATTTCCTCTGGTAAATTGTGGATATACCTAGGCATCTTTTCCGCTGGCAAATGTCGCCATGGCCTCGCCATCTTTCGATAAATAGGAACGCTGCACTTCCCACCCGTTCCGAAGCCCGGCCCTCTGAAGTAAAAGGGGTCCTGTTCATTGTAACCTTGTCCAACATCACGATCGACATCGATCTTTCCCATTTCTTAGATAAGATAGTAAAATTCTCTTTTATATCATCAGCGCGAAACGACTCTGCAACAGTGTAACACCACTACTTCTCACCCCGCCCCCTTTCCCAAATTCGACCATCTCTTAGAGATACCTACACTAAACACACATACACAATGGCGGCTACAGAGTCAACAGTCGGCCCAGAGTTCACGGCCAAGGAGGTTGCCGCGCACAGAGAAGCAAACGACTGCTGGATGGTCATCCACGGTGAAGGTAAGTCCAATACCCACCAAACTGCACTTCCCGAACTCGTCCAAAGACCACCATACTGACCCGCCAAACAACAGTGTACGATGTCTCAAAGTACCTCCACGACCACCCCGGTGGCGCAGATGTCCTCGTCGAGGCCGCCGGCGTCGATGCCTCAGAAGCCTTCGACAACGCAGGCCACTCCGAAGACGCCTACGAAATCATGGCCGACTTCAAGGTCGGCAAGCTCAAGGGCGTGAACAAGCGCTCCGCTCCCAAGGCGGTTCGCCTCCAGCCCAAAGCCACTCCCGAGAAGAAGACCTCCGGCTCCGGCTCAGCAGCTCGCGTCGCATCCCAGGCCGCCGCTGCCGCCCTTTTCATCGGTCTCGGCGCAGTCGCCGCCCGCCACGCCTCCTCCACACCCGCCGGCCAGGACGCCATCGCCGCCATCCAGAGACTCAACATCCAGTTCCCCGCATGGCTCTCCTTTGGCAGCGGCGCCGCTCGCTCCAAGCGCACCGGCTTCGGCTTCATGGAGGGCTTCGCCGTCGCCTCGGCCTTCTTCGCTGTCGCGGGCTCCATCGCCGCAAAGGAAGCCTCCAAGCTCCTCCACTACGAGCTCACACCCATGCACTACCGCCCGCACAAGAAGATCCCCAAGGTCGCAAAGGCCAACCCTCTCAACCAGCGCGGCTGGCTCGACCCGGTCTCCTACCACCCCCTCCCGCTCGTCGAAAAGACCCTCCTCGCCCCCAACGTCTACCGCTTCGTCTTCGAGCTACCCACCCCGTCCACGGTCCTCGGCCTGCCCATCGGCCAGCACGTCGCCATCAAGGCCGAGATCGACGGCAAGTCCGTCTCCCGCTCCTACACGCCCACCTCCAACAACGCCGACCTCGGCAAGCTCGAGCTCGTCATCCGCTGCTACCCCGACGGCGCCCTCACCGGCAAGTACCTCGCCAACCTCGAGGTCGGCGACGAGGTGCAGTTCCGCGGGCCCAAGGGCGCCATGCGCTACCGCCCCAACCTGGCAAAGAAGATTGGCATGCTCGCCGGCGGCACGGGCATCACCCCCATGTACCAGCTCATCCGCGCCATCTGCGAGGACGACCGCGACACCACCGAGGTCAGCCTCATCTACGCCAACCGCTCCGAGGCCGACATCCTGCTGCGGGACGAGCTCGAGGCATTTGCGAGAAAGTACCCCAAGAACTTCAAGCTGCACTACCTCCTCGACTCGCCGCCCGAGAACTGGGCCTACGGCACCGGATACGTCACGCAGGAGATGATGGCCGAGCGGTTCCCCGCGCCCGGTCCGGAGTCCCGCGTCATGCTCTGCGGCCCGCCCGGCATGGTCAACGCGGCCAAGAAGTCGTTGACGAACCTGGGCTTCGAGAAGCCTGGTGCCACTTCCAAGATGTCTGATGCCGTTTTCTGCTTCTAAGCTGCTTCGCTTGTTGGGGGAATGACATAGAGAGATACCATGGGAAGTTGTGATTATCATTATTTTGGAAACTTTTTTTTCTTGTGTCAATATTCATGGGTTGCATCGTAACGGAGTCGAGGAACGGGTGCATCGGGGTTGGTGTCTGGATTGATGACATCCCATCTGTACCATTGTTGATACCTTCCTGTAATAGACTACAACATCTCCTTTGTCATCTTTAGAGATAGAAATGAACAACCACAACAAACTCTGAAGCTTCGCAACTCTTTTTTCCTGAATCCCCTGATTGATTGGTCCATCAGGCTTCAACAGTCTCGCCGAACTTCCCTCACTCATCCCTCTGAGTAGATCTTATACTGATGACTTGTATGCATGATGTCAGGATGAAGCGGCTTTCCTTTGGTATCCCTTCTTATTCCCCAATCACCATGATGATCCTACTTTGATGCTATGCCGCGGCGGCATTGTGGGAGGTCTGCACTAACGACACCCCGTCTGCTTTGAAGTGATACTATCTCGCAGCGAAGAGCCTTGTGTTTTAGTGAATCTGGACCTTTTCTGCGGCACCTGAAGGCATGTCATCTTTGGGAAGTCGAGGCATCCATGAGGAATCCAGATGGTGAATGCAAAAGTCGCTGTTTATGCGCCGTTCTGCTGGAAACTGATGGCTGCTATGTGGGAAGGGGGTGTCCCATTATGCCTCATATTGCTCCCAAGGCTTCTTGTTCCGGGCCTCCTCGCTCCTTAGGTATTCTCTCGTCGCCATGAGAGCTTTGCCCAGCCGATTCTCACCCCAGTGTTGACGGTGAGACAAGGCATGTTTAGCGGTATATCCAATCCCCCAAACGCGATCCTTCGACGCAGCCTCGCAGAGCAGCCGATCGCCTGTGGATAGCAGTCTTCGGCCCAAGGATGCGTTCTGTCCGAACTTTGCCTTGTTGCCTGTCTCGACGACGGCGCTCTTGATCTGATCCCAACTCTCGTTCGTGAACCCATCGACATTTTTGCCTAGCCTCTTCTGTTCCTTGGGGCTGCTTGCCGCTAGGACTTGATCTTGTGTCGGGATGTCGTAGAATCTCGCAGCTTTGCAGTACATCATAAATTGCTCAGCGCAGTTGAAGGTTATGGTTCCATCAGGGTCTGTCTCGTCTATGGTGTGTCCAATGAGGTCAGAGATCTCTGCTCTGGATACGCTGAAGCTCGACTTGTGCCATTGGCAAAATTCTCCCCATTCGCCATCAGGCATGTAGAAGAAGAGTGGGTTGTCAGCCTGGTTGCTTCCTGGCTGATTGATTGTTCTTGGCATTGTGGCGTTCTGGTGGTGGTCTCCGTTGTGTTTCCGTTGGCAATCCCTCTGAGGGGCTCGGAAACTAATTTGGCGACGGATAAGTATTAGGCAAGGGATTCGAGAGTAAACATGGTATGGCCTCTTCTGTTGTCTTCTGTTTGATAATAATCTACGTAGGAAGGGGCATACCGTCATTTTATAGTCAATTATAACAACCAGCCATCCGGGTGACTTGATCTTCTTTCAAATAGCTCGGAGATAGCATTCAAGGTTGAGTCGTACCACGGTACTCCTCTGGAGTGTGGGTATATTTTCACGTGTATCCTTTTGCCCCTAATTAGAAGAATCCTTTTCAATCTGCTCAGTTGCCTTAAGATCCCATTGATATCCCTAGAATGAACAAAAACACGTAGGGTTACACAGCACAGCTACATCTCAATCAGGAACCGTTTCTACTAAGTAGTTAGATATCTGCCATGCAAAGATGTTTCCCAGTGCTGTCTTACGTTTAACTCCCATTCAATCACTTTTCAATCGAGTGTGACAACGCATCATGGGAGCAAATGCTTCATCAAAGCGGATGGTAGAGAACATCCATATTACAATTAAGGTATGTTCTTCGAAACTTGCAATCAGACAGCCAAGCCACAACTCTTTCTCGCTATGATTTCGTCGATAGCCGCTTTTCCGCCATCGTCGTATGAGTGGCCTCAGCTCCGAACTTGCCCCCATTCATAGAAAGAGGCCTGGCCTGTCGATTTCCCATCCACTCCCACGGTGAACCAGGCGGTGATGAGTGCCGATTATTACACGATCTCCGCGTAAACCCAGCTTCAACATCATAATCTCTTGAAGTCGGAGACATCCCGTCATGAAGAAGCGGCACCTCTCCACTTGTCACCCTCCTCATCTCAGCAATCGTCGAAGGCCGCAGCGTCATGCTCTCGTCCCGCGGAATCATCCTCCCCCGCCTCGACGTCGTCCACGTTCTCGCCTCATACGACAGCTGAAACTCCATCGTCTTCATGATCCCCGAGGACGGCGGCTCGGTCGCTGCCCCGTCTGACGATATCGTCGATGTGGTGAGCGTGGTATCAGCAGTGAGACAATCGAAGCCGCCGCCGCTGGCCCCTGACCCGCGCCGTAACGGAAAGGCCCATGACGCCCGACTCCTTGGCGGCGGCACCGGCCGCATCTGATTTGCCTGTGGGCCGGAGGAGATCCGGGATTCGTATGAAAAGTCGTCGAACCGCAGGCGTAGTACGTCGTTTTTAGATGTGCCTCCGCTTCGAAACTCGTGCTGCCTCCTCTCTGTTCTGTCCGATAGCGCCATTGAGTCGTTTGTGATTGTTGGAAGGTCCCGTGTTCGCCAGATGCCCCTTTCGTATCCCCGCCGTTGTCTTTTCCCGAGGATATGTCGAACCAGCGGGGATAGAGCCGGCGCACAGGCAGCCGCTATGCCAATACCGGGCTCGATGTTGCTCCAGATGGCGAGATATGCTGTGTCGCCTTGGGAAAGTAAGTAAATGACCAAGCCTTCCTATAGGGGAGCTTTCTTGAGACGTACGAAGAAAGTTTTCCTGGTTGAGCAGTGCTGGAACAGCTACTGCGCGCACTATGGTCGCAATGCTCGCTCTAAAGAATACGGGAGGCGATTAGTGAGTCTAGAAGCTTTTGCGTATGCTGGTACACGAACAAGCAGGGCGACATACATGGATGCGAAGCCTAGCAGCAGAATGACTAGTAGCTTCGTCTTTAGGCGCATCTGCAGCGACCAGACAATCAACAACGGCAGAACGCCAAAGGTCCAGTCCGCGAGGCAGTTCAGAATTGCGAGGGTGTATGTGCAGCCAAGCACGACGCTATCTGAGAAGCAGCTGCCTGGTGTCCGAGGGCCCACGTCCCAGAATACGTGAAGCGGTCTGCACTGGAAGATGACCAGGACGAAGTACAGGGACCCGAACACGAATGTCGAACAGAGGAGTATTCGAAGTGTCCAGATGTGTAAAGGTACAATGGCAATGCTGAGCAACAGTAGGCCAACGCAGACTTTTAGGAGTAGAGTAGTAATCAGATAAAGGAGTTCGCCGGCGAAGAAAAGCTGCAGATCGAGTATCAGCTCTCTAGTGCGCACAAGGTGGAAAGAGTTCAAACTTGTTGGTTCGCCATTGAGGAGTCATCTACACATACCTGAAGAGCTATCCTTCTGTCCTCTGGCGAAAACTCTACAGCATCATGTCCAGACCCATGGAAGACTGCTGCGATATCCGTAAGAAGGTACGCGGTGAATGTAATCTGGACCAAGCATATGAGCTTGTCATCGAGAGTGAAGACCCGTGTCAGGAAAAGCCTCGAGTAGATGCGCAGCGGCACGGCGACCCAGGTGAGGCAGAGGCAAAAGATGGCGACCGCGATAACGCGACGAGGTCGGTGCGGGTCAATGTCGACGTCTACCATGCCGCGACATGAGGTTGATCGTACCTGATGATTGCCACTGCTGCATCAGGGAAATTGCGGCAGGGGCAAGAAAGGACAATCAGAAGGAGAACAAGGTAAGAAGATCTAGGGAGCCAAAGTCGGCCGTATTCGTTGGCATGCGATCCGTAGGGACGGCACCCTAATGAAAGAAGGTCGGGTTACGCAAGGATCGGAACCATCCTCTCTCCTGGATGCGGGGATGGGGGGTCCGCTTGAGCTCAAAAGAACGTAGAGACAAAAGTCCAGATAGAAAGAATAGACTTTGAACCGGCACCTGGCTCAAGCTCTTGGATCGGCACCACGCCCAGAGGCCACGGGCCGGGTATTGACGTCGGAAAGTCTGATGGACGTGGAAACCATCTCGCCTTCTGAAGATCAGTTATCCACATCTGGACAAAGGGTGTCCCCAATGGAATCCAAATGGGTACTCCCCATGAAACGTGGGATAAGCTCGCCCAAAGCTTGAGCTAATTACTGACAGCTGGGAAGAAAGAGGCATTGGCGCGTGCTCCTCTAAGTCCAAAATGCGATGTGGCATTGTGCGAAATGCGACGATTCATCCAAAGTCACTCGCCCTGCCCGTTCTAGTCGTCCCTTGTATGCCCCTCTACCTCGATCCAATGAGCTTCTCACTCGATTGTTTTGGTCTGATGTGGTAAATAGTCTAGGTTTTGTCGAGCCTCTAATGCAATTGCAAACGGATTAGCACGGAGCAAATGCAGAAATTTCAGGTACGCTGCAGCCATGCACGACGATCAGATGGAATGTGGGGGGGGGGGTGCCACGGATCATATCACGAAAAAGACATCATAAATGATATGATTGAAGGGGCGAAGAACTCATGGTTTGAGACATTTGCTTGTCAGCTTTCCATCTTGGGACGGTGGCTTGAAGTTTGGAGAGATATTGGGGCTCTAGTCTACTTGAAAAGTCGACGGAACAGGCAATAAATACGAACTTGCACTGGCGTCAGACGATCTGGACCTTTTGCGCCGCGCGCGACTTTCCTCCCACAATCTCTGATATCGAGCTTACGTCCAGCTCAGCCACGCCGCGCAGTACTGGCGCGCCTCAACTCCAAAGGTGCCAAAGTCCCCAAGGTCATCCATCTACTCCATGTTTCTCAGGCATGGGCCCGATACGATCGAATGCGAGATACGTCGAGCCAGATACGAGACATCCCACAAACCAGAACAACTGGTAAGAGTCTCCCACACCCACCCAAACTTCGCTAGGTACCGTGGCTCTTTGCGCTAACCCATGAATGGACATCCAGGCTCCAAGCACCCAAGAAACGGCCGCCCGCAGAATTCAACCTCTGGTCTACCAGTAAATGCTGGCGGATGAGTCACTTTACAGGCCGGTAAGCTTCATGGTCCGCTTGCGGATGAGGAAGTCATCGGCAAACATGATTCCCGTGAGCGGACCGAGGAAGACGTTGAAGCTGCCGACCACGGTTCGAAAGTTGCTGGCACTGTTAAGCAGTGACAAGGGCTGCATGACGAAGACGAAGACGATGGTCAGAAATCCCCTGCGGCGGATCGTAAACCATCGCGGTAGCAGCGCGGCTAGATCGATACCCGCGACTCCGCAGTTGAAGGCAACGACCATGCCAAAATACGATAGCATGAAAGCGATCCTGGCGAACACAGCCCCAGCCCGGTCGCCGAAATTAGCCTCGTTCTTGCGCACAGCATCTAGGAAGGCGTAGGGCTGCTATAGCAGCATCCCTTCGTTGGGGTAGAGCGTTGCCGCGCACGATGTGCAGATAATACCGATACAGGCCACAATGATGGTTCCCAAGGGTTCCATGATTAGCTGAGCGAGGACTTGGTCCCCTGGTTTCCGTGCAAAGCGGGTGTAGTCGGACTGAGACCACATATGCTTAGCGATACCTCCAGTATAGCCGTAACCATGGCTACGACAGCCCAGCCTAAGTCTCCCCCTTGCGCAGGCTTGATTCCAGAGACCTTGCTCACATCTGCAAGAATGGCACCTCCACCGCCCGCACGAGCTGTGCCCCAGATCGATAGCATAAAACGGCTGTCACCACCGTGGTCGAGGCGGAAAGTCACGGCTTGCGATGGTTTTCTGTGCTGAACCACACTGATGGCAAACAGAGCAGGAAGTACAGGATGAAGGAGATGAGGTCATAGACTTTCATCGTCCCGTTCGCAAGCTCGGAATCCAAATCGAGGTGCGATGGCCAGACGCAGGTCAATAGGACCCTCAATCATTAGCTCCCATACCACGTGTTGGTGGCTGTCCATACAAAAGACTCAGAATGGCCCGGTCGCGAGATTAGTCCACACAGCCTCAAATCTTGTTTGCACTGGGAAAGGTAAGGTAAGATTTAAGGTCTAGACTTACCATGGGAAACAGATAACCCCGTATACCCTAATTCTGCTTCGTCCAAAGCGGAAACCCGATATGCCGCTTTGCGCCAGGGTGGCCTCCACCTATGCACACAAACCCAACAAAGGTGTGAGCGACGACGATTGCAATCATCGATTGCTTTAGCCCCATCAGTTTACGGATCGTTGCCTCTAGTTACCTCGCGGAATGGGCTAAATCGCTTACCCAGCCGTTCAGGCCCAAGGAGATCGAGGAAGAACCCGTCGTCTAAGCGCCAGTATTGAAAGATCCGGAGACCACCCATAACCCCACAAACTCCCAAGGACTGTAATTGGGATGGGATTGAGGAAACGGACGGGGATCTTTGTCGACGTAGATGTCCACTTCAGTGTCTGTATCTTGATTTACTTCTACGCGCCGAGTTAGACGGCGGCTCTGTGACAAAGGAGATGTCATTGTTGCAAGTAAGACCTGAAGATGGGGAAAATTCAGGATAGGTTGCGATTTCAATTCTAGAACATCAGGGCGTTTTCTTCCCTGTTCATTCTTTCCCAAATTTGAGTGAAGCTTTCGACTAGGCCTACGACGCGCAGAAAGGCCTGAAGCAGTCGAAGTCCGTCAGCATCTGCCTACCGACCTACCTAGTTTCTAGGACAATCTATACGCCTATCACACAAAGCTCATGAGGCTCTTGCGTCGGATGACTTTGCATTCGCGCTCCACCTGCCTAGAGATTACTTCGACGAATATGTCAAGTGGCCAGAGGCGGGAATGTTCAGTAGACGAGCAGAACGGAATCGGCGCAGACACTGATGTCAAATGCTTCACCATTGTTACTCAAGACTCATCTGGCAGTCCCGAAGTACTCAGCAAGTCCGGCCACTGGATCAAGGCGGATCCCACCCCCGGCGCATTCGTTGTCAACATTGCCGGCTGCTTCATGAGACGGACAGATGACTTCTTCGTGTCAACGATCAACAGGGCCATCAATAAGAGTGGAAGTGAGAGGTATTCTGCTGCGTTCTTTTTCGGATTTGATAGAGCGAATATATCGGAGTCTGTGTCAACATGCGTGAGTGAGAGCAATCCCGTGAAGTACTCCATCATGACAGGGGGGATATCTCATGCTTGGCGCGCGAAGAGGCAGAGGAGTAGCGGGTTTTCAACCTCAAACACATCAGATGAGACTTATATATTCCGAGGATCCGTTTGGAAAAGATCCGTCTCCGTCTCATCAAGTATGCTTCGGTAACGTGCGCTGTCTTAGGGACACATAATCAAAGGCTCCTAGAACCATGACGGGCAGGTTCAAAAGACGGAATTCCTTGCGGGCTAGCTGAATAATGCATAACATTTGTCTATGCGAGATGACAACTATTAGTGAACAAGTTGGATTACTGATAACATAAGCCCTTATTGAGGCATAGTGGGTCGCCCATCAGTTGCTTGGGAGTTTATAGTTCACCGTTAAATATAACAAGTATTGCTTGACATCAAATAAGGTTTATTGGTCCTGGATCTGGCTTATAGGCGAAGGAGACGGAGTCATAACTTCCGTCGGGCTGGGGCAGCATCAGAATCCTGGGAACGAGACATCAGACGTGACCAGCTTCGACTTGGTAACACACAATCAATGAATCAAATAATAAGCGCAAAAGCCCAGAAAGCAAATGATTCTCTTTTCAGATTTGAAGAAATTTTCCAACGACGAAACGACATTTTCAATACTTCGGTGATGTCGTTGTGGTCTGTGTGATCGGAACGAGCGGGCGAGGCTTGCTCTTGCAGCCCACTTAGTACAAAGCTTAGCACTTCAAAAGGGGGAAAAGCGAATGCGACATTCGACTTTCAACTCCTAGCTGTTTCTTAGAGTTTCCTTCAATTTAATTGAACTTCAAACAGTAGTAGTATTCAATGCCGCGATTTCGTGCTGGGTCCGGTATACTTAAGCCCACACCAATCCGGTCTTTCAATGAATGTTAGACGTTAGAGTCACATCTCGTTCAAGGCGATTGAAGCAAACAACATCAACTCAATCGCTCCTCATAACAATCACTACTTCATCAGTTAGTCAGGCATTCTCCCAATACTCAAGAACCGGACTTGCATTCCTAACATTCCACAGTGCATCTCAAGACAGCAACCCTCTTGTTCGCCCTGTCTAGCACAGTCTTGGCCGAATATATCACCGTCTTCCACGCCAGCTGTTCACCAGCACCACCTGCCGCGTACAATGACAGCCTGCGCAACTGGAGGCAGAGAATCTGTGAGACGGAGTTGAAGGGGAGCTACTACGATGAGGACGACCAGTGCCAGGTGGTGGATCCCGTTACTGCGGACACCAAGAAGGTCTACCATCCAACCCTTGGCGCAGCAGGTCAGCCCAACATTAAGACGAGATGCACCTGGTCATGATAGGGTATTGAGAAAGGAACGTAGAGCCCTACAACTAGACTCGCAATTAATTGCGCCCTTAGCATTCTTATCAAAACGCGTATAATATTGAAGGAAACCCGGGTCTGTATCCAGCGCGATCTCGATGGCGGATGCATCTCAGGATCCCGCTCGGCACGGTGGGTCTCGGTGGAGTTGAGCCCACAGATCTAGCTTGCCTTGCACGGATGTCACCGAGAATGTAAAGCTCCGATGCACTCTCACCGGACGAAACTGTTGTGATGATCTCAAGGTTACATCACCGTACTTGAGACAGCGGTAATCGACCAACGTCGTAACTCGGGTTTGCATATGGCGACGGGGCACTGACTTCTCACATTTGTGAACTTTTCCAAAGTCACCGTCATTTACCAGTTTACCACTAGCAATCAATAGACTTAAAGTTCTAACAGATGCTGTAAGTGTGAGAAGATCGAATTCTGGTATTGCATAATGTTCACCATCGTTGACATGTCAGTCACATGGCAGAGAAGTGGCAGACATCGACGATACGAAAGTTTTTCCGAAAACTATATGCTGAATGGGGGTCGATAACGTTCAGATGCTCCCGGACCATTCTTTCTGAATGGGCCACTTTTATGTCACTATGAGGCTGCAAAATCCATCAAATTGTTCCACTTGACGTAACTATCATTGGATCCTGTGACGCTGATATTGCGTTCCGCATCACATCTCACGAGCGTCTATGATGACGTTTCACAGACAAAATTGGTCACCGGTTGACGGTCTCGCCAGCCTATAAGTATTGAAAAACATCAAAGACAAAGAGGTTCCTGTGAACTCATTTTCTGGTCACCCTATCAAACCCCATTTTTGGTATCTTCCAATTGCATTGAGCCAAACATACCCAATCCTCAGTAACAACAACATTGCGACATCGCTACTAATTGCTGTTCAACCTCCTTCCAACATGGCAGACCAGATCCCCCAACAAATGCGCGCAGCGACAATCAAAGACTTCAACAAAGGCTATGAGGTAAAAGACGTAAAAGTCCCGACCGACCTCGGCCCAAATGACGTCCTCGTCAAGATTGCCGCCGCAGGCTACTGCCACACAGATCTCCAAGTCCAACAGGGCGTCTACGCCTCCGCCGGCGCAAAGCCAGGTCTTGTCGGCTCCCACGAACCCGCCGGCACAATCATCAAGCTCGGTTGCGAAGCAGGCAAGCAGGGTCTTCAAGTCGGTGACCGCGTTGGTTCCATCAACACTTATGGCTGCTGCGGCAAGTGCAACTCGTGCAACCAAGGGAAACAGGTCTGCGATAACCTCGTCGGCATGCTGGGGCTTACGCTGGACGGCGGGTTCGCGCAGTACATGAAAGCCGACGCCCGTGTCGTCGCCAAGATTCCCGAATCCATCCCCTGGGCCGAGGCCGCGCCCTTATTCTGCGCTGGCGCGACGGTCTACGGCGCGCTGTGTGCCGCGCAGGGGCATAAGGGCCAGTGGCTTGCTATCGTGGGTATCGGCGGCCTGGGACACCTCGGTGTACAATACGCCAAGGCGCTGGGGTACAGGGTCATCGTCATCGACAATAGACAAGAAGGACTCGACCTAGCCAAAGATGTGCCCTCACACCTCAAGCCCGATCGCACGTACCTCATTGACACAGAAGAGTCTCAGAAGAAGGTTGTGGAAGAGCTTCAGGCTTCATTCTATGATACCAACCCTGGTGTCGACCGCGTCGTCATCACAACCGAGGCACGGCCGCTTATCAGGTTCGGACAGCAATTCTTGCGCAAGGGTGGCGTTCTGGTCGATGTCGGTCTTCCTGCCGATGGGCCTTTTGAGGTCGATCCCTTTGCGCTGAATTTCAAGGAGCAGACTATTCGTGGTGCGTTGATTTGCACTCCTGAACGGAGCAGGGAGATGGTGGAGTTGCATGCAAAGAATGGTTGCAAGACGCACGTTGAGAAGACGTACGATGTTGAACAGGCTAACGAGATGGCGGAGCACTATTTGTCTAACCAGCTCAAGGGCCGCTTGTGCATGGTTTTCTAGGGGGCTAAGAGTTCGAGCAGGGGTTCGGTATAATTATAGCAGCTTGCTTGAATATCAGATGAATAATGAGATGATGATACAAAAAGCCTTCACATGGGCCTGCTGATGCACCGGATGTGCAAAGGCTCTTGCCAATAGTTCAGAGATTCCATCTAGGGAAGACGCAAGTGAATGCTCGTAATTATTGCATTTGGTTGAGCCCTCTCGTCGGTGGCCAGATCAAAGCCGTTCAGGTCTTACCAGAATGCACGCAGTTCTTTTGACAAGACAGTGCTGGTGGATCGAGACATGGCGTTCCAGGTGCCAGTCTGCCACATGCAGACATTGAGTATATTCTGAGCTGCGTAATGTAACATACGACATGAACCGTTATATGACCTCTAGATACCATATGTAGGTAGTTTCACTATTGAGGCCGAATATTTATCAAGACATTGTCTCTTTTCCCGTGGGTCCTATCGCCGGCGGACGCGTGTAAGAAGACCAGTCAACAAGCCCGGTCCCATGGAGGTTCTCGTACAACGCAGTGGCGTAACATGCCAGGTAATATTCGAAGCCGACGTATCTCTTCGAACTGCCATCAATCTCAGGGTACCCGTCTTCATTCTGTGGCTCATAACTCTGCACGGTGTCTGGAGTCCAAGAACCATCTACGACTGCGATAACCATTGGAGGAAGTAGCAATCGGAACATAGGATGGCCAGTGTATGCGTTGTCTGCATTCTGGAATTGAACAACGGTGGCGAGAATTTGCTTGTCGACGTATAGAAAGAAGCGGAATCGAGGTAGCTCTGCCCCGGTTTTGCTCCAGAAGAAGCCGTCGCCGGCGGGAATGTTCTGAGTCGAAGTCCATTGATTGAAGTGTCGCCTGAGGTCCTGTCTCGAGGCATTCTCAAGGGTGGCACGATCCTCAATAACATGAAAATCGAGATACTGTTCTAACAGCTCAGCTCGGCGATTCTTGACGAGCCATTCATGGGCAAAGTCCTTGAGCTGCGACAGGTAGCGGACCCAGAGATCTTCATCATCGTAGGTACAACGATATATGACGAAGCCCCAGGTGGGATAATTGAGGTCTCTCATGTCTTCGCAAGTCCTCCTGAATGCGTCAAGTTTCCAGTCAGAGCGATGCCTAGGTAGCTCTTCGATTTTGCGCGTGGCGAAATATTCTTCCATGCTGTGAGACATGGCTGGCGACTCTTAGGGTTGTGCGATAGTTTCCGGTAAAGGCTAGGCGAAACTGTGCCGCAGGATGGATGCTGTTGGAAGTTGTTGTCAACCAGAAAAGAGGGCGCTACCTGTTTTTAAAGCGGTTGGTGATAAAGATGGGGCTTAACATCCTAAGCAAACAATACACCGCGCACCATCCCTGTCCACGTAGGCGTTCTTGGCAGCATACGCGATGTTGGTTTTCCCCTGCTCGCAATAAGCTCTTACGGCATGGTCAACCGACTGCTCCCTTTGGTGTAAGACTTGCTTTGACTTACGTCCCAGAAGGAAGCCTGACTACTTTGAAACAGGGCTAGGGGGAAGTTCTATGCCAGGTCCGATATTTAGGTGCAGCCCGAAGAATGACAGAATATCAATGCCTCCGCTACTAGTCGACCAGGTTGTCTTGGCGATGAATTTTTTTTCGTCTGAGGCATGTCGTGAGCAGCATCATTTGTGTGTCTACTTTACTCGACACGATCGAATTCCAGTCATAGGAGCTCATTGATTCGAAGAATTGAAACGGCTATTACATAAGACTGCATCGTTCCACCAAAACCGAGTGTTTCGAGATACTCATTTCAAGTAGGCGATTTCAGTCCAGAACCGTGTGATTCTGCCCTGCCCTGCCAAAGTTCAACGTACAATATAAGTCCAGCGCCCTCGTACAGACGGAGATGATAGGAAATCTTTATTAAATATCATAACGGTCGGTCTCATCATGAACAGGACGGTACGTAAAATAATCAAAAGCCGCACGTCTCGCAGTCCCATTCAAATCGGACGCAGCAACACCAACAAACGCACCCGTAAAGCTTCCATGCGCCTGGTGCCCACCACATTCATCCGAGATGATGGAAGCATCATACACCGGCCCAATAGCCTTGAGTTCCTCGCCCTCGAGAGCATAGTAGAACTGAAGCTTCGGCCCGCGGATCGTCAACGCAAGCTTCACCTTGCCCGTATCAGGCAGCGCAACCGCTTCGGGAAACGGCATCGTGAGATCGCCGTCGGGCCACGAAGCCTCAGAGCTCTGAATCAACAGCTCACGCTTCCCGTCCTCGTGCGCGGTGACGGTCAGGTAGAAGAAGTTGTAGCGGCAGTAGTACGCTGTCAACCCTGCGAACTCGCGCTCATCGGTGGGCGCAAAGTCGACGGTGGTCTCAGCGTCGTAGGAGAAGTGTGTCTGCCTGCGGGCGACGAGCGCCTGCTCGAACCAAGATCCGATCGACTCCCTCCCGATGAGCGTCAGCTTCCCGTCCTCGGTTGAGAAGATGCGCTCGGGTTCCGGCGTCCGTAGCCACTGAAAGTCTTTGGGCAGGCCGTTTTCAAATGTGTATTTCTTCTCAGCCCAGTACGAAGTGTCATCTCTGGTACCAGGGACCTCGACGTACAGAGACGGTACGGGACCGTTCTTGACGTAGAGCCAGTCATCATCACCCCAGTACGCCTCCTGGATCGCGGTCTCGCGTCCGAGAACGCACCGCCTCTTCTCCGTCGTGGGACGCCCCGTCAGGTGAACCATGTACGTCTTTCCGTCGGGCGTGTCCACGATATCACCGTGGCCAGCGCGCTGGAGCGCCGCGTTGGGCGCATCTTTGGACGTGATGACGTATTTTTGCGGGTGAAGCTCGTACGGACCCCAGAGATCGCGAGAACGAGCGAGGGTGCAGGCGTGCTCGTACGCCGTGCCGCCCTCGGCGGTTAGAAGGTAGTACCACCCGTTGCGTTTGTATAGATGCGGGCCCTCCACGAGAGCCAGCTCGGTGCCGCGGAAAATGTTCTTCTTTGGACCGACGAGCTTTCCGGCTTTCGGGTCGAACTCCTGGAGAACGATACCTGTGAAGGCGTGGAAGCGGCGGCGGTGGTCCCACATCATATTGACGAACCACTTGCGACCGTCGTCATCGTGGAAGAGCGATGGGTCGAAGCCGGACGAGTTGATGTAGAACGGGTCGGACCAGGGCCCTTCAATGGCTGGCGCACTGACAATGTAGTTGTGGGTGTCCTTGAAGGAGCCGTCTTTACGCTTGACATCGGTGAAGACCAACCAGAACTTCTCGCCGTCGTGGGAAAGGCAAGGGGCCCAGACACCACAGCTATCTGGGTCACCGCGCATGTCAAGCTGACTCTTGCGACTCAAGGGTCTCGTGACGAGCTCCCAGTTTGCCAGGTCTTTGGAGTGGTGAATCTGGACGCCGGGAAACCATTCAAAGGTTGATGTCGCGATATAGTAATCATCTCCGACTCTCAATATCGAAGGATCCGGGTTGAACCCGGGAAGAATTGGATTCCTAACTTGAGGCATTGTGAACTCGCAACTTGAAGGACAACTGGTATTGGTGATCAATGCAAGAAATCGGATACAAACCAACAGTCAACTTTGAGGAATAAAGACTGAGATTAATATGTATTAAAGATGGCTCTCCAAAGCCAACTTAGCCAAGAGTGAGTTGAGCCTTTGAGATGATTTGACCCCACGCCTCCACAAGTTGCATTTAGCCGGAACTGAGTGATTCGTGAGAATGCCGACCGAAGGAACTCCACTTGTGTGTTTTTGTGGACTGTGGATTTTACCCCGCGGGAATTGAGGGGAGAACTTGGAGAAGCATCATGCTCTTCTCCGCACACAACAAGCTCCGCGTGAACGCGACTCATACTGGAGAGCATGGACACCTTGGACGGAGAGTTTTTGAAACCTCATCGATAACAAGTTTGCGAATAAAAGAAACGAAGGTAGAGACTTCGAACGAAGTTTCAGTCGAGACGTGGACATCGCACGCTAACAATTGAAAACACGTCACTGGAAGCGATCGTCGGCACTGGTTCTAGAAGAACATGGAGAAGTGAAATCAAAATTTGGGTGATTTGATCGAAATCTTTGGTATTCTGTCAAAATTTTCCCTATCATTCCCAAAATATATCCAAGAATCATGAAAAGTCCACTACCACCGCTCAAGGAAGGGGGATAGCCTGCTTGTGGTTGACAAAGACACCTTCGGGGTCGTAGACAGTCTTGAGCTGCTTGAGACGGTCAAAGTTGGAGCCGTAGAGACGGGAGCTCCACTCGGCCTCGGAGAGCTCGGTATCGGCATAGTTGACGAAGCCGCGGAGGGGAGCGCCGCCGGCAACGAGAGCATCCTCGAAGGGCTTGATGAGTCCCTTCATGTAGGTGGTGCCGTCGGCGGGGTAGGAGGTAGCATCAACGGAGTTGGCCTCCCAGCGGATGAGCCAGAGGTTCTTGCCGTGGGCGTAGGCGGTGTCGGCATCGGCGATGTCGCGAGAGACGCCGCCCCAGAGGTCGAGGAAGCCGGACTTGCGGAGGTCGGTGCGGTTGAAGGCGATGGTGGTGCTCTCGTAGAGGGTCTTGGCCTGAGCCTCGGTCAAGGGGTGGTCCGTGGTGATGGTCAGGGCCTGGGTGTAGAAAGAGCGGCCACCGAGGGTACCGCCGTTGGGCTGGTTCATGCCTGCGCCGGCGACGGCGACCTCCATGTCCCAGAAGGGGAGCTCGGTCTTCGCGACGGTGCCGTTGCCGCCGATGGCCTTAAGAGCGGTGACAAGAGGCGCGATGACGGTGTCAAAGTCGGCAGGGTTGCCGTAGAAGTAGCCGGTGCCGGTGTAAGGGGGGCCACTCAGGGACCAGCGGAGAGCGAGCTCATCGGGGCAGTCCTTAGAGAGGGAGAAGTCCTGGATGGCGATGACGGCCTTGGCAGCGGCCGTAGAGTCGAGTTGGCCGCCGTTAATGGTGAAGTTGACGGCGGTCTCAAAAAGGGGCTTGTGGGTGTTGGTGGTCACAGAGAGAAGGACACCGTAGGAGGCACCGGCACCCTGAGCAGCCCAGAAGAGGTCAGAACCCTTAGCGGCGTTGACGATGGTGCCGTTGTACAGCATGTACTCGACAGACTCGAGGTTGTCCATGGGAGTACCAAGGTGGCGGGAAGAAGAACCGTATCCGCCACCGATGCTGGAGCCAGCGAGACCGACGTGAGCACCTCGGACGTGGGGGAAGTGACGGCCGTGGTTGTCCCAGAGGTACTTGAGGACGGGGCCAACGTGGGTACCACCGCCGTAGGTGAGACGGTTGGTGGCAGCGTCAAAAGAGACGGAGTTGAAAGCAGCCATGCTAATCACCAGACTGCCCGGGTTTCCGAAGCCGTAGGCCTGGAAGGAGTGGGCGGCGCCGAGAGGAGACGCCGAAGTGGAAGCATTCCGGGCGCAGTCAAGAGACAGGGCGACTTGGTCCTTGTTCTCGGGGAAGGAGATGGCGGCCGGGTCGACCTTGATACGCTTCTGGAAGCCGGTGGTCTCATCGGCCCAGGTGGCATCGGTGCTGATGACGTTGCGGACACCGGCGGTCGTCAAGCAAGACTGAAGAGCGGCGGCCTTGTTCTCGGCCTGAGCGCTGACGAGAGCGGGAGAAGCACAAAGGAGTGTAGCGACGGCTAAGCGTCTAAGAGAGAATGTGGAATCCATAGCCGTAGTATGTACAGGTCTATACAGCCTGGTAATAAAGAAACGAATGTAAGGATCAAAAGATGGAGATCTGGAAGACTTGAGCTGTGAGGCTTAAAGACGGGAGTCTGTAATCAGTATCCGAGCCTGTACACGGGTTCGTCTTATACTTAGCTTGAGATATATGGGACCATCCCATTGAGGGTCTCCTCTAAAGACTCGTACGGATATTCTCGTAGAGACGCCTTGGTAAATGGCAATCGGTCTCGGATCCTCGGCCGTCGCCTTACACTCGATATCCGTCTCAAAGTCAAATATCTCTCCAAGCCAGGGCCACGGTGCTACCCGATCTTGGCGTCTGTCCCCTCCCTGACTTAGCGTTGTTCCACTGTCGACGACTCCACGACCCATTCATTGAGACTCCAGAGCCAGGGAGAAGTATCAATCACGCCTTGTTTAATCATATCAATCAATCTGGTTCTGTATTAGGTCTTGGCGCTGACCGCTCAGCCTCTTGACCTACTCAAAGCAGAGAGAACCTTGTCCGGGTGATTCACCCCATGAAGCAGGCCAAACCTAGCTCCCAAGCGTCTTCTCTATGTCGCCGTCATTCTGGAACCGGAGCCCGTCCCCCTTTTCGGCACTACCGACCACCCCGGCGCCCGTTTTTTAAGGTTTTGTCATTGGGGCGCAAAAAGGCGCCAGATATTCTTCAGACCAGGCACAGCAGGCGTAGCGTGTAGCAGCGGCAATAGTCGACACCGAGGGGAATGGTTAACGCCAACTGTTGGCCCCCACACACTCGCGGAGTTTTGACCCTTACCACCTTGGGGAGTACACGCGGAGTTTAGCTCTTGACCGTTATAGCCTTCACCACACTGCTTGGTCTTGGCGATGAGGCGTCTTGTTAAACAGCCTTCGAAAAGCGAGTCAGAAGAACTGAGGAACAAAAGGCAAAAACTGGAGGGCCCCTGAAATCTCCGTGAATACCGGCACCTTGGGCAGAAGAGTCTTGGCAGGTTCAGCTGGGAAGTCGGGCTTTGCAATTGCGACTCTGAAGCTCGGGGCCATTCGATTGCACTCATTACCTTTTTGGTTTGTATATTAACAGGTTTCGAATCCCCTCAGGTTCACGATCCTAGATGAGGGAGAACTATTGCGAAGACTTGGCAGACTAGGAAGCAGAAATTCTAATCGCTCTTTTCAGCAAAAGACTTGGACTAAAAGAGTCCGAATCCACTCATTCTCATCCTTCACATCGCCAACCTCGTTTGCAGTTAAATCGCCGTTTACCCACCCCTCGGTTGCGATTGACCTGCCTGTTTTCTACCTCACCACATTCGCTCATTACACCACAATCCACTCATTTTGCCTATCCTTTCCCATTCACTCACTTGAGCACATTCTTTTCTTTCATCCCGACTCTTTTTCCGCTTACACAATCGGCTTCTAATCCATCCGCCATGCGCACCTCACCCATGAAGAGCCTCTTGGCAGGTTCCGCCTTTCTAGCGGCCTCCTGCAACGCCGTCACCCTTTACGCGGCCGATTCGGGCGGAAATGTCACAACCCTCTCCCTCACCACCGGCGCCAACGCGAGCTTATCCGTGGCCTCCAAGTCGGCAGACTGCGAGGTGAACCCAGCCTGGCTCACCCTGGACTCGGCCAACCGTATCCTCTACTGCCTCGACCGGGGCTCGAACTCGGTTCCCAACGGCTCACTAAACTCCTTCTCCATCGGGGATGGAGGCGCCCTGACCCGCATCGCTCGCATCCCGGCGCCCGCCAGCGGTGTCGCTGGTGAGATTGTCACCACCGAGTCTGGTGCTCGCGGTTATGTTACTGCTTCATAGTAAGTGCCAAATTGCCAACGTCGAATTAAGCACTGCTGTTGTGTCCGTGTGTTGTTTGTTTTGGCGCTTCCGGTGGGATAGTTAAGCGTCACTGGGAAAACTTCCGCAAGGCCTCCCACCGGCTATTCGGACTTTGACTCCCACCGGTTCTTCGGACTATGACCTGCAACTCAATCTGTACCTTAAAGACATTAAACAAAAGTTGTGTTTCAAGCTAACACAATGTCTCAACTAGCAACAAGAGCGCAGTTTCCGTCATCGCCCTGGGCGATAAGGGAGCTCTCCCCGGCACCGCGCCGCTCCAGGAGTTCTACCCGACCCTCGAGAAGCCCGGCCCGGTGACCGCCCGCCAGGACCTCAGCTACCTTCACCACGTCATCATCGATCCCAAGAACCAATATGTTCTTCTCGCCGACCTCGGCGGTGACCGGGTCCGTGTCTACACCAAGGACCCGAACAGCGTCGCCCCGATCAAGGAAGTCGACGGCCTCGTCACCGGCCCCGGCGTCGGGCCCCGCCACGGCGTCTTCAAGACCATGGCAAACGGCGACGTCGTCTTCTTCTTCAACGGCGAGCTCGACCAAAACATCTACTCGTACAAGGTCGAGTACAAGGAGACCGGCCTCGCCTTCACCAAGATCTCGTCCATCCCCTCCGTCAACGCCGACTACCCTGCCACCAAGGCCCCGACAAGCGAGATTGCCATCACTGTGAGTTTGAGTTCTTTTTCATCAGTTCTGGGTCTCCATTTCCTATTTCGTTTTTTGCGAAGACCCCATCCCCTGCACTGTCGCAGATCTTTTTCTAGGCTTTATTTCAATGCTGGGTCGGCCCCCACGACCTCATGCATCTCCCAAATTAGGGCCAGCGGGCGCATTCTACATCCGGATTGGTAATGATCGTGTTTGTGGAACTCTTTGACTGACAATGTACCCAGCCCGACCAAAAGTTCATCATCGTCTCCAACCGCGATGTCTCGTTCCGCGACTCCCCCGTCCTCGGCTCCGGCCCCTCAGACACGATGTCCACCTTCGCCATCAAGGACGACGGATCCCTCGAGTTGGTGCAGCTTGCCCCCTCCGGCGGCTGGTCTCCCCGCCAGTTCTCCATCAACAAGGCCGGCGACCTCATCGCCGTCGGTCACCAGAACAACCGCACCGTTGTCATCTGGAAGCGCGACCTCGTCTCGGGTAAGATCATCACCGAGGCTGAGGGTGGCAAGGTTGGTCAGGTCACTCTCACTGGTGCTGTTGTTGCCACCATCTTTGATGAGTAGTGGATGTGCAAAAACAAAGCCTAGAAATTTAGGCCACATTGAAAAAAACAAATAAACAAACAAAATATCAACCAAGTTCCATTGTTTCCAAAATTGAGGTTTGAGAAAATTAGTGATGTTTTCGGCGATTCATGTATCCGTCAGTAATACTACCAGCGCAATGACGGGGAAACTTTCGCCAGATTTGGAAATGTTGCGGCGATAGCTGCAGCCCAGGTCAAATTAGTTGTCGAGCCTCGAACCTTACTAGAATGTCTATTATCTGGGGCTTGAAGCGCATTTCACAAAACTTGGGGCGGGAGTACCTTACGACGTAAAAACGCCGACAAAAGCTGGAGTTCTCATATTCATATCCAACCTTATCGCTTCAACATTAAGTGGTCTGTCAATTTCTCCAAGTGTAAGAGCGTTCACGTTAATTAAGTTCAAGCAAACTACAACTCTAGTGCTTTCAGATGAACCACCGATTACCTTAGTAATTACATGATCTATACATACATCCAGGATTCAAGGCACACTCGGAGTTTCCATAGACAGACATCAGGAACTCAACTCTTGCTTGGCGCAATCTTTATAGAGTGATATGTGTGGTCCTGCTGCCCAACAATTTGACCCTTCATTTCGGAAGCCCGAACCTCTACCCAGTTTGTAGATTCAACTTTTCGATGCTAACATAGCTGATTTACTCGCACTTTCTAGAAGCTCACAAACCATGCCAGTCACTATTCAACTGCTCTAATGTCATGGTGCTCTATTCTGGATACGAACTAAGTGTGTGTTGTAATTAAGCAAGAAGTATCATCACACAGTCTTGTTACTATGAGATCCAGACTTCGAATTTCCGAAGCATGCGGCAATCTGTATACTTGCTCACCGCGTACTGGGATAAACTGTTCCAGTTTAGGCTACTGTTTGAATGGAGTTTTTATGTTTCGTGCCGAATGCTTTCAATTGGCAGTGCGTACTAGATTCTGCATGACGGCTCATTGGATGGATTCAGAATATTATGCAGTAGCGCTTATGCATAGCCGTTTGGCTTCTACAAATAGGAGTTGCCACTTCCTTCGGTTATAGAACTCAATCGAGCGAACGTTGATGCCTAACAGAGGTAATGTCAGATTTGATCTAAAATCTACCGCAACACTCTCAATGTTCGATAAACGTATGTTAGGTATTGCATCCAATCTCGGTGCATAGGACATGGTGTTGCGGAGTATTTAACATTTTACTGATCGACCGTCCAAATTACTATGGCATACCCTGGAAACTCATTGCGCAAGGAGCTAGAAGATCACTGGGAACTAGACGTACCGGCATATGAATACTCGCCCATCGACCGAGATGCACAAGAGCAGCGCTTTCTCATCCTCCATCCGTGTCCCGGCGACAAGAGCGATCCAGAAAACCACGTAAGATGCAGCATAGAAGTACGACCGCTCGCCAAGGCCGGGCCGTTTATCGCTATCAGAGACAGTAGAGGCTATCGGCTGCTACGGGATGTCATCGAGATCGATGGCAAGGGACTCGTTGTCCCAGTCGCGTTGGAGGTCTTTCTCAGATACTTTCGCGGTCACCGCCTGCCCGTGACATTATGGATTCGGCACATCTGCCTCGAAGAATTCTCCTCGGCAGAAGATCAGAAGGAGTACTGGACCCGTGACTTCCTCGACTCAATGTACGCAAGGGCAACTCAGGTCGTGAGCATGACCGAGGTCGTCACCGAGCTGCTGGAGAGGGGCATAGTGGAAAGAAGAATCCATTCAAAGTATGGAAAATGGGACAAGACATGGCACTACATTCAAGACAAATCGGAGCCACCGTTCCGGTTCACCTTGCCCAAAATCTATCCAATCAAGCTAGGGAAAAGCCTATCCAACGATGCGCCCGTTACGAACCTTGACTACGTGCCGCTCGACATGCTCGTCGGCGAGATCCGTATTCTCGTCGTGGCACCTTCAGAGGACCGCGAGGCACCAGTCATCACCCATCTGGCCCATTGCCCGATGGTGTGCGAAGTGTCCTACCACGCCTTGTCGTATACCTGGGGCAACGCTGGGGATACAGTCGAGATTGTTGTCAACGGCCATAGGATGCAGGTCCGGCGGAACCTAGAACAGGCTTTGCGTACCTTTCGGAGCAAGGAAGTGTCAAGGCCCATCTGGATCGATGCCTTGTGCATCGACCAACTAAACGTTGCCGAGCGCACTAGACAGGTTGCACGCATGTTTGACATCTACGACCGCGCATCCCAAGTTATCTGCTACGTCGGCGAGCACAGCGACGAGACCGATATGGCGCTGGACTTTGTTAAGCTGATGGACCAGCTCAAGATTGAGATGAATAAGAAAGGTGAGTACGACATCGGGAAAGAGGGGGAAAAGATTGGTCCGGATGTCTATCCTGCGCGTTGTGCGGCTTTATACAAGTTCATGTGCCGTCCGTACTTCAGACGAGTCTGGGTCGTCCAAGAAGTCGCCATCTCGTCAGATCCCGCAGTGATAGTCGACAACGGCAAAGCCGTCGCATTCGGATCCCTCGACGCCGCCGCGTACAACTTGCAAGCCATGATTGCTTTCAACCCCGTTCTCAGAACGCAGATGATGATAGCAGACCCGCAGCTACATCAATTTGGTCTATCGTACGACGAGCTCATATTCATTCGCAAACTCTTCTACTTTAGGCACCTGATGGCCGGAGGAGAGCTGTACTCCCCGTTTTTCTCACCCACCGTCAGGAAGGACAGCCCTGGCTTTCTCGAGGCCGCCATTCTCACACGAGACTTCCAGGCAACCGACGGCAGGGACAAGATCTTCGCCCTGTGGAATTTGGCGCAGGATAAGGAGGGGCTCGACTTCAAGCTGGATTATAACAAAAGCCGCCAACAAGTCTTTGTTGACTTCGCAACAGCTTGGTCAAGACAGCACGGAAGTCTCGATGTCATCGCCGCCTCTGAGCCATGGCATAACGTCAATAACTTCTACAGTCTCGTGCCGTCGTGGTGTCCCGATTGGACCGTCCCAGCAGCCACAAGCTGCCTCGTCCGTCGAGAGAGGATTCCCATGAGGTCCATGAGGCTGATGGACGACTTGGACGGCGAGCTGTACTCCGCTGATGGGGGAATTGGACAGCTTCGCGACTTTGAAGAACTCTTCAGCTTTAACAAGGGCATTCTCAGCTGTCGCGGCGTTATCCTAGACGAGATTGATGAAATCGTCGAAGACCCAGGGAGGATGCCCTCAAGACACGTATTCCATCCACCCGATCCAGACGCCTTCTACAAGTTCCAAGAGTGGACAGCAGCCATACCGAAGATCTATCAAGACCGCGAAGCCAGCCCGTACGATGATCCTCTGCAAGCAGCCATCGCCATGTTCCACGGCGACGTGACCTCGGCCTGGAATCGCCGCGGACAGGACCCGGAAAAGCTGGCAGCCCTCAGTGCTCGCCTCAATAAGACCAAGGAGCAGAGCGCGTGGCTTCACTACGACTGCATTACTGCAAGGTCGCGCCATATCCCGACGCACGAGTGGCCTTTCAGCTATGAAGGGCGCTGGTGGTTTGATATCGTACAATCTGTGCTTCGAGGAAGGACGCTCTGTATCACGAAAAAGGGGTACATGGCCCTTTTGCCTTCTTACATCTCAGAAAAGACTTTCGACAAGCCGTGGCTCTTGGCTGTGATAGCGACGTGTTCTGTGCCAGTATTGCTGCAAGAAGTTGAAAGTGTAGATGGGAAGACTGTGTATAGTTTTGGTGGCACCTGCTTCGTCCAGGGATGGATGGAAGGGGAAATGCTGATGAGACCCGAAGACTCGGCATCGCCAGCTGGGTTCTGGTTTACGGAAGAGGCAAGGAAGAGTACGTTGCATATTCGTTGAGGTCTTGTCATTTATTGAGATGGCCTCTGAAGAACCATAATGAAAAGTGCGTGGCTACCCAGAACCCCCTTCCCCTTGCCATGCTACATCACAAAGCCTAGGTACACGGCGTCTTTGTTCGATCTTTCCAATATGTACACCAGTCAGAGAATGAAATTTCGATCATGTGTACTACTTACTAAATATGTCTGAGGCAATACATCTCTTCGGCACATTCTATTAGTTACTCAGCTTCACATCCGGGGGATGCTTAGAAGTATCACTCAGCCAAAGACTAGACATGATGAATCTGTCTATGCCTCGAACTTATGTATATAGAAGTGCACCAGCTTGCGCCCTCACTCAACCAAAGCAAGCGCACTATTGACCCTATTATTCCCCTCAAGACCCGCAGGAAACCGGTTCTCAACAAACCTCAACTCGACACCCGGCCGGAACACCAAACAATGCGAACTACCCCCAAAATGAAACATCCCAATCTCCTGCCCCTTGACAACCTCCTCGCCAGCCCGCACAGTCACCTCGCAGCTAGACACCTCCGTCATACCCACAAACACAATCGCCATCAACCCGATCCTCGGATTCCGCGCCCGGATATACACCACCGCCCGCGTCGCCACGGCAGCGGTGTACGCCTGCGACCTACACGGCGCCTGCGGATCCGGACCATCCGTATCATCATCGCCGTCCCCACACGCAGCTATGCCCTGGTACCGGTTCACGCTGAAGTACGTCCCCGGGATCATCTCCACCTCGACTATGCGCCCGCTCAGTGGCGCGTGCCAGCGGTGGTAGCTGAAGGCGCTCAGGTAGGCCTGGTAGATCGTCCCGCCGACGAACTGCGGCGCGAGCGCGTTGTTGTTGAGCATGTCGGTGAGGGAGTACGGTTGGCCTTTCAGCGTGACGTCTGCTCGTAGGGTGACGTTGGATACGGTTTGCAGCGGCGCCGACTCGCACGCGTTGACGATGACCGAGGTGTTGTCGTCGACTTGAATGTCAACAGTTCCACTGCTGCTCCTGACGGACAGCTTCTCCCCGCCGTTGTGTTCCTCGTCATCAGGAAACTCCACAGGTCGAACACCCTCCCGAAATCGCCTCACAAAGAACGCATCCCACGATTCATAACCAAGAGTCTCCGTATCCTCAGCATCGGGACAAACAAACAAGTCCTTGAACCCCAGCCCTCCACCTTCCAACCTTCCATTCGCCCTCTCCGCCATCACAACCTGCCCAGAAGCAGACACCCAAGCCCTCAAACACCCCCTCGAGTCCCCCGAAGCAAGAAACTCGCCCCAAGCACTCAACACTCCTCCCATCGCCTCATTCACCTCCTGCCTCCGAAAGAATTCGTAACCCGCCGCCGTGCCCATGGGATAATTCAACAAAGCATTAATCGGCGCGGCCACAAACCCCATGGCGTCCTCGTTACCCGGCCGGTCAAAGAACTGCGGCCCGGAGCGCATGATGACGTTGACGACCTGCAGGAACTGGCGGAAGGACTGGACGGCGGGTTGCTCTGTCGGGTCGCGGGGCTGGAGGGCGGCGGCTTGGGTGAACATTTGGTCTGCTAGGACGGCGAGGTGGGGATCGTTTTGGACGACGGTGCGGAGGTTGGTGAGGCTTGGGTTTAGGTCGTCAACGACGGCGACGGTGGCGGTCTTTGGGTTCAGGGCGGGAGTGGTGGTTGTAGTTTGGTGGATTTTGTGGGCGAGCCATTTTTCAGGGGTTGAGGCATCTTGGTGGTTTGGTGGCTCGAGGCTAGAACTGGCGTCCTTGTTGGACTTGAAGCTGTTGATGAGATAGTAAAGCATGATGAAGTGAGGTCGATAAGATGCTGCGTTTAGGAGCGGATGGTTTCAGTGGCCGACATGAAGGACACCAGAATGTGTGCCAGTACGAGGTGAGTATCGAGACAAATTTTGTTAAGGGACAAGATTTATACCATATTTTCTAACAAGCAACACGTACTCCTGAATGAGACGAACCTTATGAGTAGGCTCTTGTGCCCTGGCATCGACTCTCGATGTTTCACGGGCAGCTAACGTATTGGCAGACGAAATGAGACAAAATCCACTTGTCTTACTGCGGGACTGCAGGATGCCGTCAGATCGTCCAATCGGACCACAACCGCAGGCTGGGGTGACACGATTTGCACAGCTATTGACATATCTGGTGTCAACTTTCAGGCCGGTCAAGCAAACGTCTCAACACAGCTCCCAAGTTTCTCTCCCTTCACCGCCATGACGACTAAGCGGTCCCCTTTCTTCAATACGAACACAACACAACGGGGCCCAGTGCCGGTTCCGCCAGACTCAGTGCTCGCAAAAGTTCCACTCCATAGTCGTCATCACCCCCATCCCCTGCTCGGCAATCGTCGTCCTCTCCTCCATCAGATCAGCCCGTATCCTCTTGGCCTCCTCGATCCCAATCGGAAAATCCATATTATCAAACACCATATCCGTAACCTCGGGCGGCAACGTTCCCAACCGGTCTCCCGGCGCGGCGCCCTCCTTCCACCACCCTCTCTGCTGCGGCGGCACATTCGCCGTGCCAATGATGGGAATCCTCGGGTCCACGAGAAACAGCGCGAGGATCTTGCGGTGGCCCGCCTTCGTCTTGTCGACGAGCTCAAACGGCGCAACGCAGTGCTGGTAAACGTTGGGGAACGCGAGAAGCCTGTCCTCGCGCGTGAGAGCGCTGCCGAGGCGCTGGTTCGTGTCCGCGACGGAGTTGATTGCCAGCGTCCGGTTAATGGTGTGGAAGTCGCCCTGTTCGTAGTTGAGCTCCCCCATGAGCTCCTCCCTGTCGGCGACGGTGCGGAAGGCGAGGTGGCTGTCGGTGATATTCTCGTTGTCGTAGTAGTAGAGCGCCGTGGCGGCGATGTGCTCGTTCAGCTGGCCCTCAATATGCCAGGACCCGCCGTCGTACGTCGGCTTCTCGGGCGTGAGGTGGACGTTGGCGAGCTTCACGATGACCTGGATGCGGTCGGCATGGTTGAAGAAGCCGGAGGTCAGATTGACGTCCTTGGGCTGGAGCTCCATGGGTTTGTACGCGGGGACGGGCGGCTTCTCGATTGGGTGGGTACGTTCGAACCAGATCTTGTCTCTCCGCCAGACTTCGCGGCTGGGCTCCTCGGCGCTATATCCGCCGGAGTCGTCGTTGAATTCGTCCTCGTCACGTTCGGCCTCGTCTGGGTCTACCGGGCGGTTTTCAGGACAGCACCACCGGCTGCACTCCGCTAGGCATTGTGTCCGGGCTGATTCACAGGGGATGCGGAGGGTCTCGTAGTCTTCGTGCCACCTGTATACCAGATCCCACATGGGGAGAGCTTTCTCGAGCACCTTTTCGATAGTGTTGTAGAGGCCGGCATGGTGCTGTGGGTGCAGGTTGTTGATATAGCTCATGATTTTCGGCTTGCCCTCCTCAATGTCAATGTCGCACGGGAGCCACTGGTACTTGACGGACCACAGGTCGTCGGAGGATTGGTGGTCGGGATACCTCTTCTTGGGAACGGGGATGACGTCTCCTGTGCCGCAGGCCGCCAGCGTGTCTTTGAGCAGGACACGCTTATCGGCGACGATGCGAGACTTTCCAAAGACAAGAGGCCAGAGAGAAGGGTGCACGAGGTCCAGGACCTTGCCGTCGCTGCCGGGATGCCAGTCCTTTTCGTTTTCGGAGATATTTTCGAGAGCGGCTACACCCTGTTTGAGTTCTTCTCTTACTTCCGGAGTGATGGCACTGTCAGACTTGATGACGGCGGACGAGGCATCGAAGATGGGGATCATGCCAGTAGCTTCGAACAGCTTGGCCTTCTCACGAAGCTCAGCGAGAGCCTGCATTACCGGTTAGGAACCGCTCATCAACGAGGAGCCTTCTCAGATGCAGCCCAGCACTTACAAAGGTAAACAAATCGTCGTCAAAATAAGCATACTTGAGACCCACGGCCTTCCAGTCGACAGCCATGACCTCCTGCTTCCACTTTGCAACAATTTCCTCATCAAAGACCTTGACATGCCAATCGGGCTTGTTCGTGATCTTCTCAACAAACCACAAGATGGCGATCTCTCCCCACGTCAGGGTGGCTGCCTTCCACTCCTGTACGGCGCTGGGGAACGCGGCATCGTCGTCGGGCATCTCCCAGAATTCTTTACCGAAGCCTGGGCGTATTAAGGGGGCGATCTCGCCGTCGTTCTTCTCTATTATCAGCCACCATGCTACTATAATATGGGTTGGAGGAGGAAGTCTTACGTAGGCTTGAAAGTCATCTGTCATGTCCGACCGGTCTAGGACGGTCCGGATGACAGCTTCGGGGACATCCTTTCCGAACTCGCTCTTGACCCATTCCGCACCGCGCGCGAGGGTTGGAGTGATGTCGCCAGGTAGACTGTCGGCCCACTTGCAGAGGGTGAGCCGCTCGCGGACAGTCAGAGTGGTCGACATATTAGCTGTTGTCAATCCCCTCGGTGGTAGTCTGAACTCGAGTCTAAGATGAGCTGATGAGAACGACCTCGACCCACTTCCAGGCCTAATGAGATGGATGGTAAGACGATGGAATTGCAGATGAGTTTCGATCTACTAGTGTGAACAAAGTTTTGACCTTTTGTACTCCAGTGGAATGATCACCGTCAGGGTAGCCAAGAGGTATGGATTGAGGGGTCGATGCTAGACGGCCGTGGGATATTTGTGGTTCCAATTAGGCTGCAACGCGTCTCGACGGTAAAGTTCAAATGGTTTAAGGATGGCGCCTAACAGTAGCAGAGGCTCGACCACAGGACGCGAGATTCCCACGAAGTCACGTTGCTTGTCGAGTTCTCCCTTTGCCCATGTCTGGTCGTGCTGTTGCCTGCTGCTGCCTGTGACGGTGGGGACCGCGGGACCGCGGAATCGACCGAGCTTCAGGGAGCGGTACTGACCAATGGAAAGCAGCCGAGGAGTCCAATGTCGTAAAACAAGACTACCACCTATCTGCCTCGACAAAGTCTAAGGTAGCATACCGTTGAGCTGGTGTGAGTTAAAAGTGCAGTGCAAATCTGCCCCCGCATGCACGCATGGCCTAACGAACACGTGATGAGTGCAGATGCCGTAGACGGGCCGAGAGACCGAGCCCGCGTGAGTAGAAGACCCGCTTCCGGATATGGGAAAGCATGCCGGATGAGTACCGGCCCGGAGCGGGGCGGCGTGGACAAGATCCGAGGCCGAGTCTCTGTCTCCTACCTACCTTATTACCCATGGAACGCGCGCGGTAGCGGTCGGATGAATAAATGAGAATACTGTGTGGATTCTCCTAACGTCAAAGAGCGAGTCGCGAAAATGCGACTGCCGCAGCGCCGCCCGCCTTCGCGCTTGCTCTCCGCTTTCAAAGAGCTGAGTAAGGAGGGTCGCCAACCAATCTGCGAACGCCGAAATGAAATCTCTTCCAACCCATGGGTCGGTCACATTGAGAAACCAGAAGTCGTGAATGCGATGAATGAGATATTCCATTTAATGCCTCAGTCGAGTTCACGATATTTTTCCAGAGAAAACGTGAAGTTGCTGGCATCTGATTCTGCTCTTAGGAGCAAAGTGGGCTTCTAGCCAGTCTCCAATGTCTCTCCAACACGGAATCTGGCGGGGAGTGGTGGCCAATCGAACAAACCCCAAATCCAAGCACCGTCAACCGCGCGGTGTACTTGCAGGGGCTACTTTTCCTACTTCCGTCTGTAAACAGTTTAGTCTACCCGCCGCGGGCAATTCCTACAAGCCTTAGCATATCGCTCGGATGGAGGGGCGGCGGCGGCGTGGTCTCCCGCGCGCGCATGATCCCAGGATAAAACCTCCAAAGATCATCCCCCCTCCCCCTCCATGAAATAAGTCAGAGAAAGAAACTTCTTTTGCATCGCACTTTCTCCAAATACCATGAAAGTGGTAGTTTCTATTAGCAGAATCTTGTCGCAAAGTAGCCGCACCCGCGCAGTTCATCTCATCTGCAGACCCCATCGACATCCCTTCCTGGGGCGCAGCGCATTCGCCAAAACTCGATACCCAATTTCTGAACTTCGGAATATCCGAACCTTCAACACTATGTCTGCCAGCGCGACTGAACAACCACAAGCAACGCCGCCGGCGGCAGCACCGTCAACGGAGGACGCTACTCCAGCGAAGCCTGAGTTACCACCTCTGACCCCGGCCGAGTTCAAAGTCTACAACCAAATGGCAGAAAAGATGAACTACTTTGTAAGAAACTCAACTCACACCAACCTAATCTCATCACATCACGCACCCTCATCCCTTCAAATCTCACACATCTCTGAATACCCTCATTCCTCCCATGCAACTTAAACAAATGAGACAAGACAACACACTACCTACCCACACTGCTCAAAATAGAAAAGAAAAAAAGCTAACCTCAAACCCAGCACAACCACTTCCGCCACCAATGGACCCTGCTCCACACAGCAGCCTCAACAGGCCGCCGCCCCCAAAACATGTCCCTCAAGCAATTCCTCGACACCGGCCTGCAATTCACCCGCCACCTCACGGCCCACCACGGCATCGAAGAAGCCCACGTCTTCCCCATGCTCGCCCGCCGCATGCCCGAGTTCCGCACCGGCGGCCGCGGCGGTGGTGCGGAGCTCCTTCGCCAGCACAAGCAGATCCACGACGGCATGGACAAGTTCGAGGCCTACCTGCGCGCCTGCCGCGACCGCGAGACGGAGCTCGAGCTGGGCGTCCTCAAGGAGAAGATGGATAGCTGGGGGGAGGTGCTCTGGACGCACCTCGATCAGGAGGTGGAGACGTTGGGGGCGGAGAATATGAGAAAGTATTGGACGATGGAGGAGGTGAGGAGGATGCCCATGTGAAGTCGTCGTGTAAACTTGGGCATGTTCTGATCTTGGGGGCGGTTGGCGTTTAGACTGGGAAAAGAGGCGGAGATGGGCATAGCGTTTTGTGCTTGGGATTCTGATATTTTGAGAAATATATTGACATCTATTATATCATAAACATGAAATGGAAAATCCGTACCCAACACCAGCGAGCAGATCGCCCGCGTCACAACAGAGTCTGATACCACAAAGCTTTCGCCAGAAAGCTGCCTCGATAGTGTCGGCATGGTGCGTCTATCCGTCTCAAATGCACCTCTTCCTCATCCCCTATCTTCTTCGAGTTCTCCACGTCCACCCCATACTGCCTCGTCCTCTCAAGCAGTCTCCTTCCACAACTGCCGCATCTGCACAACACCAGGGATACTCCCCAACAAACCGATCCCCATCTCCGGCACAAACCCCTTATCCATACTCCAGTGCACCGTCAGCGGGAACCACGAAGCCTGCCTCGCCAGCGTCCTGCCCCAGACGTCCGCCCACTCCCTGTACTCCTCGCTCCCGACCTCCAGCTCCCCGCGCCGGATCGCCGCCCGTCGCCGCAGCTTCTCAATCGCCAGCCGGCCGAGCTCGCTGCCCACGAACACGCTCCAGAACCGCACGCTCCACCGCGCCGCCGTCCCCTGCTGCTTGGGCGTCATCGGCAGCACCCCCTTGGACGCGAGGTACGACGAGCTCTCGAGCGACTGCAGGATCAGACACGCCACGACCTGCAGCCACGAGAGGGCCCGATCCAGCGCCGCCTCCGACGCGTCCTTTGTGCCCTTTTCCTTCTCCTCCTCCGTGATGGCCGGCGTCGTCATGAGGCGGCGGAGCCAGAGGTACAGGGGCAGCAGCGACCACAACCTCGTAATCGTGCGCGCCTCGCTCAGAAGCGACGCCAGCGCCCGCAGGTGTCCCGCGACGCGCATGCCGCGGCTCGCGGCCGCGGCCGCGGGCGGCGCTTTGCTCAAGAGGATAGTCGTGTCGGGCGGGAGGGAGAAGGCGAGGGCGACGAGCTTGCGGGCCGAGTGGCGGAGGGCGGAGACGCTGAGGGAGTCGATGACGGAGGCGGAGAAGCGGGAGGTGTAGCAGAGGCAGCAGAGGACGGCGTCGATGCCGGACGGGGTGGCGAAGCAGCGGTTCAGGTGGGCGACGAAGGCGTCGACGTTGGAGGGCGTCGCGGCGAGGATCTGGGCGAGGGTGGGCTTCTTCGTCGTGCCTTTTGGAGTTACCGAGGCTGGTGATGCGGCGGTCGGCGGCGCGGGCGCGGCGGGGATGGGGTCGCCGGAGGGGAGGTCGGAGACGGCGGGCGCCTGGTCGGCTGTTTCTGTGGACATGATGGGCGAGGTGTTGGCCGTCTTTTTTTTTGGGTGGGCTTTTTGGTTGTCTCGAGAAACCCGATCTGTTGGTGGTTTCTTTCCGTCCAAGGAAAAAGTAAAGAGGACGGTAAAAGAAACCGAAAAAAGTCTCACGACGACCAAGGGTTTGTGCGAGACAAGCTCCTTGGTAGGGTCCTGTTTTCGAGCTCGGTGTCGGTGGTAAAGCTTTATCCCGAAGATCGGAGGGCGAGAGGTGACAGAGAAAGAGAGGAAGCGGGTTGGGAAAGCTTGTATGTGGGTTTCTCTTCTGTTCGACGTTACGTCAATGGCCAAGCTTGTGAAGAACCGAAGGACAGGCAGGAAAGGGGACCCTCTAGAAAGTGGGAGGAGCTGTGGTGTTGTAAGAAAACCCCGACTAAGACAAAGTCACCCCCAAAAAATCGCTCTCTCTAGTTCAGAAGAGGTTCAGGAAAGAGGAAAAAGTAGCAGACAGACGGGCAGGGAACGCTGAAATAAAGTCCAGCTGGCAGCTGCAAGAAGAACCCAAAGCCGTTGTCCCAATTAGCCATGTTCATGCGCCGAGGTGGATGCTCCGTTGCAGTGCTGGTTTTTACCGAACGGCACACGCCGATGGATGCCATGGGATGGTCACAGGGTTTACAGTCATGTAGCTAGGTCATCGCCTAAGGGACTCGTTAGAGCAGGTAAAGCTCCTTCGGCTCCTGTTTGTGCGACGCAAATGATGGATGGCGTTGCTGCCGGCGGCGGGCCGATGCTCCCACAGCGCCATGGAGCTGCTGCAGACCTTTGGAAGGTTCAGGTTGTTCGGCATTGGAGTGGATGCCACAATGACCTCGGTTGAATTTGATTCGGCAAGCGCGGCGGGTTTTGGTGGAGAGGGCTCGGAACTCTAGCTCGGAATGAAAAGCAGGTGGCAGTCAAAACAGAGGGAATCCAAGGAATCAAAGGAACGTGCCCACGCTGCCCCGGATTTTGGCCGTTATCAGATCAAATTTTTAAAGCGCGCACACACCGTGACACACCATTCCATGTCGAGCAATCTTCGTCATCTACGGATACTCCATGAGTCCATAGGTATGCCTCACTCACTGTCAGTGGAGTCTGTCATGACTCTTGGTACTTCATGAGCCCATTCTCCAACGGGGCTTGTCCGAACACCCAAAGCCCTCAATATTGGCGATAAAGTCCGATCATCCAACACTTAATCCCGATGAGTTGCTCAGGCTCGTCTTACCACAAAAAGGACGCCGAGTGGATTGAGACACAAATTGTCCACATTTTCTACAGACGTTCGCAAAACTGGTCTCCGCTTCCATTGGCAAGTGAGATCTTTCTCTCGAGCACGGGCCTTCTAATCTTGGAATGGCTTATCGGTATCGTTCATGATTTATCTATGATCATTAACAAGGAGCTTTTCCCTCAAGAGGACAGTGTTCGCGTTCGTTACCTTCGACTTTGGCATACGCGCCTACAGGGATCAACTGCAGTTGGCGTAACAGTTAGGTTACATTCTCCCCAAGAGCCTGTAGGAGCCATTATGCAAGCTGTTTTCGGATGTCTGGGGCTGAAGCTCGATAACATATCAACTGCGTGGGTGCCTTTGTAAATGTAAAGTAATGAGAACTCGCTGCGCTCCCTCCAAGCGGCAAGAAAGAAATGGTTCCAAATCTCTCAATATTTTAATCGCGTCTGATACCAACAAAAGCAAGCTCAGAAAGTACATGGTGAATATCTAGAAGAATGAAATATGTCTGCAAAAGCTTCTCGAAATTTCACCTCAAGCTGCCGCATTTTTTCTTATATGCTTCCCTGATGTGAGGGTTGTATCTGAACCCGAACTTGCTCTTGCAATAACTCTCGAACAACAGAGACCCGCAAGTGAGGACCTATTCGACGCTAGTAACCAGGCTAGGCTTGTTCACCTCCATTATCGTCTAAGGGGGAATGTAGAGCTGGTGCTTAGGGATGTTGTAGACTGCGGTGTGTTGTTTTTCTTAGGTGATGAATTTCTTCAAGACTCTAAGAAACAAGAGGACTAATAATGTAGGCCGAGACTGAATAGTTCTCTTGAATTGGTTGTATTACTCTAAACCTCCATCCGAATCTACTAAAGTCGAGTCCTTCAAAAATCGTTTTTTTCCCTTTTGATCTACAGGAACCAGTGGCTAACACCCCAAACTTTACTACAATGTCTCCGTCCACGCTGAGTGCCATACTCTAAGAAGAGCAGCATTGCCACTGGGTACCTATGTAAGCCGACGGACGTACAACAAGGGCGACGACATCTTGTACTTACCGACTGGTATCCCTTGCATTCGAATTTGTTGTTACCCAGGCCTGCGGCGCTCAACATCGTGTTCTTCTTTACGACGAGCGTCTTGAGGTCGGTTCTCTGGTCACACGTCATGGCAGGGCCTCCGTCAATGGAGCACGTCCCCGTCATGGTAGCCGTCCAAGTCTTCTCGTTTATCGAACATACAGTGTTCTGCCGGGCGTCGAGCTGCTCGGTGGGCAAGCCCTGGGCCAGAGAAGCCAAGGTAGCGGCCAAGAAAACGAGAGTGTGGGAGAACATTGCGGAGGATGTATCGCGGTTCGATTAGAGGCGATCTGGTAGAAGCGATGTGTCGACTGCGGTTGTGTGAATGGAGTTCCTCTATAGAGACGACGAGATATAGTCAGTCCTTTAAATAGTCTATGGCATCTTGCGGTTGTCTATTGTTGCAGATAGAGCCGCCGAAATTGCAATTGTAAGTCGGCGCCAACTGCGAGTCATGATGAACCTTATATAAATTCGGATTTATTAGACGCGGAGCGTGCGGTGCTGTGGAAGGTTTCCACTGAGGTGAAGCATACTAAGTCAGCTCTTGAGGCCCGTGAATTACTGATACGGGAGCCGATCCCCTGACCGGCAGTGCCGGGACCTCGAATTACTCCGTATATACTTTGGCCAAGACCCCCACTGTAATGAGAATCAGAACTGCATCTGGGGATACAGTCATTAATCTGATACTTCAATGAAGTTCACTACAGCTCCCGAAAAGCGTACACTAGCTATGCGAAACTCTGTGCACAATGTAATCGTTATCTTATCGAACTATCTACTGGATAAGTCTTTATTCTTCTCTCTCTTCTCCGTGATTGACTCAACTTTCTCGTCAACCTCGTTCTCTTATGGATCTTGGTGTACGGGTAGATTAGCCTGACCCATACTTCATACAGCAAGAATACGAGAGGCACGATGATGGTATTCAGTCGACTTGGCGAGGACTCAAGTTGGGATTGTGAAGGCAGTAGTTAAAAGACGGAAGTAACTTTATAAATACGGATGAACGCGTCCGTGACTAGTCATCGTCACAATCTATATCATACCACACAAGGACAAACCTCGTGGCCGAAAAGAAAGTGAGACTGCCTCATGGCACCTATGACGTCGAGAAATATAGTCGATATGTACGGAAATTGAAGAGGCCACGTTCGGCAAGCGGCGACGGAAACACTTCAAACTCTAAATTTTTGCGCTACAATTTTGATCCCCCCAGCAAGGCCAATAAGTCAAAACGACTGGCTACCTCTGCCTACCTGCCTCCACGCCGAGCCGAAGAGCATCTAAGCCGCCAAAAATTGCACTACGTGTAAATGCTAAAACACAAAAGTAGACGCATCTTCAACAATCTGCAGGAAAAAGAAAGCACAAAAGATTAACCCGAAGAATGGCTTTGCCAATCGCGGTGAGGATTTGAGCCTCACGCGGGGGTCGAACCCGCAACCTTGAGATTAAGAGTCTCACGCTCTACCGATTGAGCTAGCAAGGCGGGTTATTTGATGGATCCTGAGACCCGTTGTTGACTCTGAGGTTCGGAAAGAGGTCTAAGAAGGGTTGTCGTCTGTTCCGAGGACGAAAGTCGTCGATTGCCTCCCATCTGGCGGCTTAGGAGGCAGATTTCGTGGGGTTCTGGAATATGGTGTTGTCAGATTTGGCTGAGGCTCAGGAGAGCGTGGGATTGGGTTCCGTTGGAGATTTCTCCGAAACCCAATTCTTCGCGGGAATCCAGCATGCGCACATCTCCAAGTTCACGAGGAGAAGAGACTATAACAATTTTGGGACGCCCGCACGAATTACAATTACGCTGTTGCTCGCGGAAAAAAGTCTTAAACTCAGTGTCTTTTTAATATACGATGGCAACATTTTGGGAATACACCCAGGAAAGGCCGTCAATCGTGGTAACGGCTAAATCGTGACATTCATACACACTCTGCATCGTTGGACGTGACGTAACTCTATCAGCTTCTATTCCCTGAAGCTACAAACACCTAACCAGCCAAGGCTCTCTTTTCTTTCTGGAACCCCGCGCGGCCGGTATTTTGGATTAAGCAACCCAACCCTAATGCAAGATACAAGCGTGAAAACCCCAGGAACCCACCCCCGTTTCGATTCTTCTTCTTCCACTCTCACTCTCAACCCCGGACCGCAGCACCCAACGCGCCGCCCGTGAACTGAGTGCCACCGGCCTGCCGTTGGGGGTTGCCGCCCGTCCTCGCGCCTCCTCTGTTGCCGCCTCTCGCGCCACCGCGTCCGCCACGGCCGCCGCGGCCGCCCTGTCTCTCGAACGCGTTGGCAGAGCCCTGGGTGCGCTGCTCCAGTGTCCGCTCGTTGGTCTCGATGAGCGCGCTGGCCTTGTCTGAGAGGGTGAGGGCGAGGCTCTGCAGACGGCTGAGCTCGACACCCTTGCGGAAGATGACGGTCGATGTGACCTGATCGAGGGAGGCTGCGAGCTCCTCGTGGCTGATCATCTTGCTGACGATCGCGAGGACCTTGCTGGCGTCCAGCTCGAACATGTTGCTCAGAGTCTCCACGGCCAGGGTGTCGTAGAAGGGAGCGTAGGTGAAGAGGTATGTCCGCAGACCCTCCTCCTGGATCTGCTTGGAGAGCATGGTCTTGATGTCCTCGGTGTTGGGCATCAGGTCCCAGATCTTGATGCTGTGGATAAAGGTCGTGGACTTCTTCCATTCGCCAGCGGCCAAGGCCTTGGAGGCCTGCATGACGTGGTCTCTTGTGTTCTCGGGAGGGCCGGTGAAGATCTGGCGCTCGTGGTACTCGAGCATGCGGCGGTAAGTCTTGCTAATAACACGCTTCTTGACGTCGGGGGAGGAGCCAGTCTGCGCCAGGAGGGGGATCTCCAGGAGCATGCTGCAGGTAAGGTACACGCACTCGAGGAGCTCGAGGTTAATGTGCATGTGGAAGGGCAGCTGGCGCTGCTTCTCGAGCTTCTCCTGCTCGGGTGAAACCTGGCTGTATCTCTGGATCATGACACCCTGAGCAAGCAGCTCTTTCTGGCGACCACTGCCGCAGATCTCCTGCAGTGTGTTCTGGGCGTCGTAGACGAGACCCTGGCGGAAAGCACAGAGACCGACCTGGACAAGGGTGCGGTTGTAGAGGATTTGAGAGAGGACGTCAAAGTTGGGGATGTTCTCTTGCAAGTGAGACATGAGCATCATGTCACGAGCCTTGTAGTACTCGTCGTGCAGGGCAAGGAAGTAAACTTGGCACAGCATAGCACGAGCGCGGAGAATGCCCTCGGCGTTGGTGAAGAGGTAGTTGCAAAGGACGTTGACGAGGTTGTTGGCATCCTGAGCCTGGTCGCGGGGGGTGATGACGGACTCGACGGTTGAGGGGACGTTCTTCCAGCAGTTGTCCTCGAGAATCTTGACAACCTGTGCGGGCTTGAAGTAGACGTGCTCGAGGCGGCGAGTGACAACACGGTTGATGCTCTCTTGGGGAATCTCGAGCTCGGCATCCTTGCGGAGGTACTCGTAGTAGAGCATGCCGCGGAAGATGGTGTTGTAGAGGGCGCCCTCATCGGTAAGGCGGTCGATGTACTCGGAGGTGTGGGGATCGATATTTTGGAGGGAACGGGTGAGCTCGTCGTCGAGGCGCTCAACGTAGGAGACAATGCTTCCAGGAACCTTGATGTACTTCTGGCCCTTCTCCAACGTGGGGGGCTTCTCGTCATCATCCCACTCCTCGGCGTTCTCAACAACAATGTAGTCCTTGTTCTGCTCGAGGACCTCAAGAAGAGAGTTCAGCTCCTTCTCGGCAGCCTTCCAGTGGTCAACAGGCATGTAGGAGGCACCGCCGGAACCGAGATCGAAGCGGGTAGAGACCAGGGTGAGGAGGACGCGGATCTTCTGGTAGGGTGTGTTGGAGATCTCGTTGAGCTTCTCCATGATCTTGATCTGCTCCTGCTTGTCGGTGTTCTTCTTACCGCGAGTCTCCATGATGGCTCTCAGGTGCTTGAAGATGCTCTCAGGGGTGAACTGCAGAGTACGACCACCCTTTCCGACGGTAGCAAAACCCTCGTCGTCATCGCCCACTGCAGCCTCCTCGGTGGTGTCGACGAAACGGGCAGTCTTCTTGGCCTTGGGCGCGGGCTTCTCCTCTTCCTCCTCGGACTCCATGAAGGCATCCTTGTCGGCCTTGTAGGCATCGACCTGGGACTGGTAGTCCTTGACGATCTTCTTGATCTTCTGCTTGACGGCGTTCAATCCACGAGCAGAGGTGGCGTTCATTCCCTTCTTGGCGGGAGTGACCTTCTGCTTCGCAATAGCCTCGTTCATGTACTCCTCGAGCTCGGCAACGGCCTTGATGTAGACCTTGGGGGTCTTGCCACCCTCTTGAAGTTTTGTGACCTGGCGGTTGAGCTTGTCGAATTCTGCGCGTGGACGTTAGCGCCCGTGTCTAGAGCATCTCGTGGTCGATGTATTCCGTCGTATCTTACCTGTGGAAATGGAAGCCCAGTCACCAATCTTTTGGCCGTTCTCGATAAGCTTGATGGTCGCCTCGAGCTCCTCGATACGCTTGTCCTTGGCACTCTTGACCTTTACCCGCTCCTCGTCTTCGCTGTCTTCGCTCTCTGAGGAAGCATCGCGAAGGAAACGCGAGGCACCGGCCTTCTTTCCACCATCACTGTCGTCGGAATCAGAGTCGGAGTCATCCTCCTCCTCCTCCTCATCAGAGTCCTCCTGGTCTTGCTGCTCCTCCTCTTCCTCCTCCTCGGAGTAAAGCTCCTCCTCGTCGGAAGACGAGTCGGTGGAGCTGTCGTCTCCGCCGCGGAAAAATCGAGACATATTGGCGATCGCTTTCGGTTCGTGCAGGCGACGGTTTTGGCTGATGCGACTGAGAAGCGCGGGATCGACGGAAGTTGTGTTGTCGTCGGGACTTGTCACGGGGGGTCTTCGGTCAACCTGTCGAGAGGGGCTCCTCAAATTCGGGTTGTGCAAGAATTTGACGGGAATTTTTGGTGGGGGAGGAGGGTTTAGCGAACAACAGCTGGCAAACCGTGGTCCAGGTGGCAGCGGGGTGTTGTGTTGCCGCACTTGTGGAAATTTTTGGCTGGGCTCTGTGGAGTTGACGGGTGGCAGCGAGAAAAGCCACGCTAAGAAAAGTTTCAGGCACTTCCTCTGGTTCACCAGGGAGTGCCTTCCTTGCCTGCCCGCCTGCCTGCCTGGTGTTCGACTCACCTCTGAGGCTCTAAACGCACCAGCCACACCCACGAGAAGTGGATCTCGCCCGCC